TCCATCCTTTTGTTGTTCCAAACTGAACCAATTTGAAACCAGACATCAGGTTGAGTTAATGGGTGTGGAGGATTATTCAAAATGTATTGGAAGCATTCCAATGCTGGTTGTAGTTTTCCTTGATGTTTATAAATGATTCCCAAACGAAAGTAGATTTCATTGGCCTTATCAAAGTTAGGATCCAAGTCCAATACTCTTACAAATGCTTCTTCGGCGTATTCCAATGACCCATATCTATCATACAAAATACCAATACCGTGCCATAACTTTGGAATATTTGGATTCTCTAAATAGAATAATGCACGTTGATAAGCAGCGTAAGCACGTTGCAAATCATCCAACATCAAATAACAGTGACCTAATAAACCCCAAGTTTCACCATTTTCTGGATGGAAATTAAGTGCTTGTTCATACAATTCTGCGGCTTTAAGAAATTGATCTTTTGAACGGTAGGTGTTGGCTAATTTGATCAAAGCTTCTGGATTATTTGGTGCATGTCTTAATGCAGCATCGTATGAAGATAAGGCTCTTTCAATATCACCTAAACTTTCAGCTAAAGAACCAATAGCCAACCAGGTAGAAGCGGTAGTGTCACTAAGAATAGCAGAGCCTGGTAATTGACCCTGTTGTTGTTGAGCTTGTTGTTGCTGCTGGGCCTGTTGATTTTGCTGTTGTTGAGCTTGTTGTTGTTGTTGCTGCTGTTGTTGTTGTTGCTGGTTGGCTGCTGCTGCAGCGGCTGCAACGATTATTCCGGGTCCACTTTGATGTTGAGCTTGTGCTTGAGCTTGTGCCTGGGCCTGTGCCTGTGCCTGTGCTTGTGCTTGAGCATGTGCTTGAGCTTGTTGGTGTTGTTGTTGAGCGGCAAGAGCTGCTGCTTCATGAGAATTCTGTGGAACACCAGTGGCATGTAAACCACCATTTAATGGAGGTGGTTGTTGTTTATTGCCCACTGCAATTGGGTGAGCTGTACTGTACATAATAATTACTAGTTCTTAATAATAACAACACCTTTATATATATATGTATAAATCAAATCTGTTGTTGTATCACCAAGTGGGAATAGATTTTTCTTTTCCTTTAAAACTTCGTAATTGTTGTTGTCGTTGGGAGGGAAAAAAAAAAGAAAAACAAAGGAGTATGAGATTTTTTTTTCGCTGGAGGAGTCGTTGACAGGTTTACTTTTTTTTCGTTCGCACAGGTTTTTTTTTCTTTCTTTCTTTTCTGTAATTTCAAGATTGAATCGGAGGTTACAAAAATTATGTGGGTTGGGTAAGGGCCTCTCAAACACACACTCTCTTTTTTTCTCTTTCAATAATCAATTAAAACAAAAACAACCAAAAAAAAAAAAATAAAAAATAAAAACACACACTTGTCAATATGGGAAAACAAAGAAAGGATAAATGTTCTTTTTGTTAGTGGATAGATATGTGACTAAGTGAGATGATGATTGTGAAATTATTCCTATGGGAATGGATTGTAAAATTGGATAGATAGATTTTAATTCAAAAAAAAAAAAGAAAGAAAGAAAGAAAGAGAAAACAAAAAAAAAAGGGAATTTAATTATCGTTGTTAAATTTTTTTTGGTTTTTTTGTTTTTTGTTAGTATTTAATTTTCTCGTTGTTCTTCAAAGTTGTTTGTGGTTGTCTTTGTCTTTGTCTTTGTTTTCTCGCTGTTATTTTAAATTCTTGTTTCTATTTGTATGATATGACAGTACAAAATAATCTGCAACAGCCAGAAAGAACTCAATTTGCAAAAAAAACAGGGTGTACATGAATGGGATACAAATTAGCCATTATGCACTACCTCGTTTATTTCCTTTTAAACGTAAAGGGGGACAAAATATTTATCACCCACTCTCACAAACAATACAAATACCAAAAAAAAAAAAAAAAAAAATTTCTTTTCTTGTTCATGATGGGGTGTAATAGATTTATGTTCCCCAAATTGTGCCACCCGTAAACTAAATTACACCCGGGTAGAAATTTCACTTGTTTGTCTGAAGTTTAAGAATTAAAACAATTCATATTCAGTATTCTGGGAGGCAAGCCAACTCTAATGTAATGACATCCAAATCATACATATGACATACATCTCACAATAATTTTCCATTTAAATAAAAAAAAATAAAAAATTAAACAACGACAATAACAGACATTAAATATTAATTGACGAGTAATTGCATACGTTGAGTCTTTTTATTTTTTTTTTTTTCTGATTCTTCTCTCAGCACGGGGTGTTGATCCTGCTGGATTTTTTTTTTTTTTTTTTTTGATGAATCTAGATTGTTGCGTGTGAATGATTAAAAAAAAAATTGTCTTATTTCCCGAACTTGTTCTTGAAATGGAAAATTAAATAAAATGCAGAACGTGACTCCTTTTTTTTTTCTTTTTTTTTTTTTTTTCTTTCTTTGGGGTTGCGTTTTATTTTTCCTTTGCTTTTGCTTTCACGTCTTTATCGGGGCAAAAGCATTTGTTCTATTTTTGTTCCTTGTTTTAATTTTTCTGGTGCAAACTAACCACCGTGTGGCTTACCCATATATTTATTCCTCCAACCAAAATAAAACAAATTAAAACAAAGAGTTTAGAAACACATTGACATTGATTGACTATATTATTCGTTAACTTAATAGTTGATAATCAAGTATTCAACTAAATCATCCTATCTCTGATTCGGATCATTGAAAATAATAACTCCTGCATTAAACAACAAACCATAGCAATAACGGATTAATCTAAACATGGAGGGTTTCGTGAATCCTGCAGGAATAATTTGCATAGATAAGGGTTTTTTTTTTTTTTTTTCTTTACTTTTAATTGAAATTCATGATTGGATCAATCATGATTGCTGTTGACTAATCTTTCACATTTAATCATCACTGGTTGTAAATGTATAAAGAAAAATGTGAGCCATAAAATAGTATGGTTTGCAACGATAGTCTCATTTTTTTTTTTTTCAATATGTTTGACAGCACAAAGTTGTCATTTACGAAAACTATTAACCAGAATTGATGACGCATAAAAGGAATGAAACAAAAAAAAAAATCTTACAACCAAAAAAAAGGATCTCTAGATTATGTATTCTACTTTGATTATTCCTATAAATGTAACTTCTTACCCTTTTGATCTCTAAACAGACTATTGAATCCCAATAAACTATTCAAATCTTTAGCCCATTGATTTTGATGTGTTGCAACACACCAAATTCCATTTTTACTGCCTGATTTTGAAATATCGGTTCCTGGAATAATATCTTCTGATGTAATATGTAATTCATCACCTGGATGTAAATCAGCTTGAGCAATACCATCTATAGTTAATTCAATCATGTTGTTTCTATTATTTTCCGATAATTTAATCATAATATCCGACAGACTAGGTAGTATCAAAGGTCTAAATGATAACGATCTAGGACAAATTGGGGTTAATAAAATACATGGAACTGCGGGATGAGTAATAGAACCACCCGCTGATAATGAATATGCTGTTGATCCAGTTGGTGTAGCCAAAATAACTCCATCAGCAAATGTGGTGGTGAAAAATTCATTATCAATATAAATATCCAATGACGTTAAATTAGGTAAACTTGCTCTATGAATTGTAACATCATTCATAGCATGAACCATTTCTTTAGTTTTAGTATTATCAACATTAACAGTACTTCCTTCTTCCAGTTTAAATTTCTTTCTAGGAAGTTTTGATTCTTCTCCATCACTATCATATCCATTCTTCCGAATCACATGACATTCCAATCTATTTCTATGTAATGCTTTACTTCTACTTTCATAAACTTCTTTAAAACTTAGTTTAAAATTCTTGAAATTAAATGGTAATAAAAATCCCAAAGTTCCCATAGCAAATGATAAAACAGGAGGTACGATAACATTCAGAAATAAACTAACTCCATGTAAAATTGTACCATCACCACCTAACGTTACCATTAATTCAGTTTTATCAACAATATCTTCATTTTTGCCGGTATAAATAACATGATTAATGGTTGGGTCAAATTTTGAAGTTTCTTCAGGATCTTCATATTCTTCAATTAATTCATCGGCAACTTCTTGATTAACTATAATATTAATTGATGGATATTCTTTATGTAAATGATTTATAAATTCAATCATTGCTGAATGTACTGAAGGTTCCCATGGCTTTTTAGCAATATATACATTTGCTGGTGGTGATCCCCTCCATATAACATTATATAATCTACTTGTTGATGATTTAATATATTCTGGTAATTTAGCTTTCGGTAATTCTGAGCATTGTTTAATTGAAAGTAATTGACTTGTTTCTGAAGTTGTCATTGACCTTATTAGTTGTTGATTATGGGGATTATAATGTAGAATCCTGTTGGAATTACGCAATATATTCCGACTAACAGGAAACATTAAACAAATAAATAAATAGATGGATAAAAAAAAATGAATAGATTAATGAAGAACAACAGCAAAAAAAAAAAAGATCGATGAAGTTTAACCTCGGGTACGACCTTATTAGTATTTTGGGGGGGGAATGAATGCTAATGATTTTCTTTGACTCAGTTGAACAAGAGGAAGAGGAGGAGGAGAAGAAGAAGGGGAAAAGGAAAAAAAAAATGACTTTTGTACACACTCACTCACTCACATACTCAATGGGTAAAGAGTGGTGTGAGTCAATTTTTGGTAATTCTTCTTTTTTTTTCCTGTAAACCTTTTTTTTATGTAATACTCCACAGTTTAAACAAGCTTTGTTGGTTTAAGAAATTCTAAGTTATAAAGGGTTTGAAAAATTAAAATTATATCATACTCTTTAGATAAATAGATAATATACCTTAAATTTATTGGAGGAACTTTATCTTCTGATTACACGCCAAACAAAAAAAAACTACAAAATCGAGAGCGTTCTCCTCTATGTGTGCATGTATCACAACTTAAATAAAAGAAAAACTTCCCTTTACAAGAACAAATTGCAAAAGCAAAAATACACTGGCTTTATAATTGCAAAAATAAATCAAAAACTTTCATTTTTCTTTAAATTCTAGTAATACACATAAATAAACAAGTAATATTTAATAATAAGGAGTGAAAAGAAACTATATTAGATTATTATCAATGTCTACTCTTCTTTGTTTAATTCTTCAATTTCTTTCAATTCCTCCTCAGTTGGTTTGTTAGCATCTTCCATTGGATGATCTTCATCTATTGGTTTAGCATCTTCTGGTTTGGATTCTTTTGGCTCTTCAGGTTTGGGTTCTTCTTCTGCGCGTGGCTCTTGAGATTTAGATTCCTCGAGAGTAATGGTCTCTGGCTTGGTTTCTTCAGATGGCTTAGATTCATCAGCTGTTTTAACTTCTTCGATTGATTTTGGTTCCTCGACTGGTGCTGGTTGTTCCTCTGGCTTAGATTCTTCTGGTTTAGATTCCTCTGGTTTAGATTCCTCATGCTTGGCTTCCACTGGTTTAGTTTCCTCATGCTTGGATTCCTCTGGTTTAGCTTCCTCTGACTTGGCTTCTTCTGGTTTGGCTTCCTCTGGTTTGGCTTCCTCTGGTTTGGCTTCCTCTGGCTTGGATTCTTCTGGCTTGGCTTCCTCTGGTTTATCGATGTCCATTGCATCTTCGTCTTTGTTATTACTTATATCCTTTTCACCTTTATCTTTATCATCATCTTCATAAAATTCATTATCTGGTTGTATTTGAGAATCACGGTTCATTTCGGATCCACCTTTAGTATCCATTGCTTCAGCTGTATCTTCTTCGACATCTCCCAAATCTTCAGGATCGTTTGGAACTTCATTCATTTGAACTGAAGGAGCGTGTTTGGTATTTTCCAAATTGGATATTATATTCAATAAAATCTTGTCCAAAAATTCAGGGGAATTTTGATTAAACATATTAGAAGGTCGAACATCTAATTTATAATCTGGACCATAATATTCATAATATTCATTATAAGGTAATTCATTGGGTAATTTAACATTATTCAATAATCCCAGCTCATATGCCCAGGTACGTGCCACATTTCTCATGGTATAACCACCTCCACCAAGAACCATTAATGGAATATTAAAAGATTTGACAAAATTAACACAATTTGCATGACCATTCATAGATAAATTAAAACATCCCAATCGATCCCCACTTAAAGAATCACCTCCACATTGTAAAACAATAGCTGATGGCTGATACCATTCAATAATTTTAGTAATCAAAGGTTCAAATACAGATTTATAAGTAGCATCATCAATACCATCTCTTAATGGGACATTAACTGCGTGATATTTCCCTTTGCCAACTCCAATATCTCTTAATTCACCGGTACCTGGGAAAAATTCCCCATATTTATGAAATGAACAAGTCATAACTCTATCAGTAGTATAAAATGCTTCTTCAACACCATCCCCATGATGAACATCAATATCAATATATAAAACTCTTGGATGATATCTTAATAATTCAATTATACCTAAAACAATATCATTTAAATAACAAAATCCACTTGCTTCTGATTTTTTAGCATGATGTAATCCACCAGCATAATTGATAGCAATATCACATTTCCCACGATTTAATCTTGCTGCACCTTCCATTGATCCACCACCACTTATACCACAATATTCAAATAATCCATCAAATACTGGACAATCATCACCAACATTAAATTTAATTTGTTCTTTAGTAAATAAATCTAAATTATCAGGATTAACTCGACTTATAAAATCAATATATTCATCTGTATGAAATTGACACATTTCTTGTTTTGTAGCTGGTTTAGCACGATAAATTTCCATTTTTTTATATAATCCATAATTCATAATTAATGAATGTGCCATTCTTATACGATGTGGTTTCATTGGATGCCCAGCACCATAAGCATAATTCCCTATATCTGCATCATAAAAATATGCAATACGTTTCTTTTGATTTGGATCTACTTTTAATTCATCAAATGGTAGATCAACATACATGGCTAATTGGTTGTTATTGTTGTTGGTTGTTTATTTTGTTGTCAATATTAAACATGGGAATTTTTCGTTGAACATTTTTTTTCTTCTTCTTCTTCTTTTTATTTTCTTTTCGTTACTTCTTCTTTCCATCAAGAATTTACTTACGTGTGTGGCGGGGCGGAATGAGAATACAATTAGTTTACAACCTTTTTTACTATTGTTATCAATATACACTTCTAACCTATACATCTATAACATTTGTCGCTTCACGTTCTCTTCTAATTCTGTCTTTATAGCTTCTCAATTGTTGATTGAGCTGGTTTTGTAATTCTGCATTATGAAGATATTTAGCATATGTTTCTTCATCAACTTTAAAATTAATCCCATTTCTATATTCACTCAAGATTGATTTACGATTAATATCAATAGGTAATAACCAAGTCCAAATATTAGGACCTAAAACCAGTTTTAGGTTCTCCTTAAATCCAAGATCAAAAATATTAGCTAATTTCTTTTGTTTCCCATTAGCATCAAATTCATAATTAAATCTAGTTTGATCATCATTTGATCCTCTTCCATTCCATTTTCTTTCTTGAAACTCGATAGTAGTTAAATTGCTACCACATAAATAAATGGAAAATAACGAGAAAACGCTAACAGCAAGTGAGAAAGCAAATGATAATACTAATAAAAACACAATATTCAATGAAATAAATTGATCTTCAAATAATCCTTCAGTGAGGAATTTATAGATAATGTACCCACATATAATGAATAAAAAAATACAATAAATTGAAACATAGCATAAAAATTGTATGAAAAATTTATAATTGAAGAATCCAATACATGTAGAAAACCAAGGACAATAATGATCCATTTTTAAAATACATTTCCCTGAACTTGAACAATGATGACATCTATCAGGTTTCCAAACTGAACATTTAGCACAATATCTAAATCCTTGAGTTCCATTTACTTTCATTGTATGTAATACCAAGAAATCAGGAGGTAATTCAACTGGATCCGTATCATATGGATTCTCTGAAATTCTTGATACATTGCTTATTTTCAACTCTTCATAATCTAATGGTGAACCAGGACCCACTAGTATAATTCTATAATATGTAAAGATACATAATGAATATAGAAGAATCCCAATAATGTTCAACACAGTTAATATGAATGATGATTGAATGAAATCAGGAACAACAAATAGTAGAACATATAAAGACCAAGTCAAGACAGATGTGCAAAATACTTTAGGAAACAAACTTGCTAAAAAGCAGCATGATGATTCTAATGTTGTCACAACTCTGTTATCTGAAATCATTGAATATTTATATAATATTGCCATCAATAGCTAAATATGCAGAATGTTTGTGGTTGTCTATAAAGACTACTGATTTTTTTTTTTTTTTTTTGGTGATCGGTTTTTTTTTTGCTGTTGTTACTTTGTCCCAATTTAGTCGTTTTTGTAAGATAATCGTGTAAAAAGTCTGTTTAGTCTACCGCGCCTTTCGCCAATGCAGTCTGGTCCACATTAGCTGGACCCTGGTCTTAATTAATACTGATAATTACATCTATTATCTACTTTGAAAAAAATCTATCTATACTATTCTACTTTTGATTTACTCTTTTGTTTCTTTTGTTGGAATTTAATTAATGCTTCATAGCCAATTCCACCAAAGACTAATCCAACTCCAAGCCATTGTTCTTTGGTTAAGAAATGACCAAATAAAATCACACTCAAGATCATACTCAACATTTTTCTTGTTACTGTTGCAGTAATCAATATAATTGAGTCAAACTTCTCCAAGATGATAAATACAAATATTTGACCTATTCCTCCACAAATAGCAAATCCAATTAAATCAAGTAATAATTCAGGATAATTAATAGCAAATGTTAAAGTTTTATTAAATTCATTTGATTGGAAAATTAAAGTATATAAAGTTGTCCATAAACAGATTAATAAATTCAAATTACACATTAATTTCCCACCCGTTATTTTGTCATTTAATTTGAGTTTAAATAATTGATCTTGACTTGAATTAGTTAATCCATCTAATAACATTGAACCAATTAAAAATAACATTCCTAAACTTGTATTTCCATCATTGATTTTGGTCTTACTACTAGCATGTCCCATAGTGAAAATTGTAACCCCAAATGTAACTAAAAGTGCCACGATATATTTATAAATCGGAAATTTGGTTTGATAAAATACAAAATGAATAAACATAACTGGAATCAATTTACATGATTTGGCTAACAAATAAGCTAAATAATCTAAATGATTTAATGATTTATATCCAATAGGTGAAGCCAAACTAGATGTAATTGAGATTAAAATCATATACTTCAAAACATTGGAATTTTGTTTCCCATTTTTAAAGAATATATTAAATGGATTAGATTTATGAGTTATATAATTATAAATCAATCCAATTATAGATGCAAATAATGATTGGATAATATTAATGATTAAAGGTGATTGAAAATATTCATTGGTTGATCCATATGGTTTGGTATTAATACGTTCTTGTAAAATAGACCACGTTAAAAATGTACCATATAATCCAAGAACACATGTTATTAAAGTGAATACACTCCCTTGGTGTTGTTTCATTGACTTGGGTTGGTTAATTAGGTATCACTTCGAAGGAAAAAGAAACCAAGACATATACAGTAAAATACTAAAAGATACGTCAACTTTGGCTGAAAAAAAAAAATTTTTTTTTTCTTCATTCAACGATGTACCGCGACGTGTTGAAGTACACGTAAATATCATAACAATACTTTACAAATCAATATTTTTAATTTATTAATACAAAAGGCACATTTCACTTCCCGCCCCTCAACCTATTTAACTACGACCAAAGAAACCAAATAATCCACGTTTCTTAGAAGGAGAATCTGATGATTCAGTTGCTTCTTGTTGTGGTTGTTGTGGCTGTTGAGCAACAGGTTTTCTTTCTTTGGATTTATCCAAATCATAAGAAATATAATTGAATGCAATATCAAATAACACCGGTTTACACATTATTGGTTCAATTTTCTTAAAGTTGATAATTGATAAATCATCTTTTGGAAATTTATTGATGTTTTCCAAAGTATAGTTCGAAGTACCCTTTGAAGATTCAAATTGAGCACTGATTTGGGTTTGTAAAATCTTCTTTTTAATATCGGCTCTGAAAATTCCAATTTGTTCGTTATTACTTATATCAAATGGGAACTTGGTCTTGTAAAATTCTTCAGCAATTGATATTTCTTCGTCAATGTATTGGTAAATTTTCAAGGATTCACCAAACAAGGACTTGAATTGATATGATTCCGCTATGATTTGGTATTTCTTATAAGTAAAGTATTTTTCCAAATTGCTTAATGAATAGTATAAATCGTCGTCATTATAAACACCCGGCAAATCTTTCAATTCTTGAACAATGGCAATGACACCATTGTATAATCTAATGGCATCTTTGTTATCATCAATACTGGCCAATTGTCCAATCAACAACACATCTCTTTTCAATTTTGTAAACAACAAGTTATAGTTGATATAAGTCAACAAGATGGCTCTGTTTTGAACTTGTTCTAAATCATCATCATCTTGGTTCTTTTCGGTGTCAACTTTATGTAAATTCAAAACTTCCAACCATTCTGTTATAATTGAGTCGAATTTATTGATATCATTGGTTTGATCCCAGTGCAAGTTGTTATTCAAGTTTGAAATTTTGAAACTGACCTCATCGTTGTAAATCAAAGCCTCGTGATTTCTCCAGTTGATTTCTTTAGAAACTTCAACTGAGCTAGAAATATCAGTAGTATATTTTTCATCAATTAAACTCAATGCAGGCTTCAAGAATGTAATTTCATCATCGTGACAATATTTACGTGAAATAGACTTCAAGTCCGTGGTTGAATGTAAATCCAACTGATTGATGGCTAACTTCAATGAAGGGTCAACCAAAGTTTCATTCAATTCAGCATATAAAGTTTTACTAAATGACTCTTCTTGGTTTTCTTCATCCCCTTCATTGATTGTTTGATCTTGGTCATACAAATAATCCAAACAACATTTAGCAATTGAAAACGAGTTAAGAACTTTTGACCATTTTTTCTGGATGATTGATAATTGACCAACAATTAAAGCGGTGTATATAAATAATTCAATTCTAATATTACTGTTTGTTTCATCTTTAGTCAAGTCCAATAAATCAACAGCATGATTCAATGATCGTTTAAATTTGGTAATCATTAAATTCTTGTAGTTTTTCTTCAGTTTCTCATCAATTTCCATCAAGTTTTTAATTTCCAATCCGTACAAAATATCTCTTTCAGCTAAAAACAAATAAACCAATCCAGATTTCTTATTACTGTTGTATTGTTCAGGGGAGAGCTTTGGAAATTCATATTTCTTGGTGTTGGAATTAATCAATCCCAATTCATGACGTAAATTCTTCAACTGTCTGTTAACTCTCTTTCTTTGTTTTTTAAAATCATTAGATGTCACTAAATAAGCACTCATACGAGCACCTAATGTGTTAGATAATGGGGAATCCATTGTTAGGTATGAAATTTATATCAATATTGACCTTTTACTATCTGGATGTGTGCCTCGTAAGGAAAATTTTTCCTTCGCCTTTTTTTTTTATATTTATTTTTTTCGTTCGCCTGTTCGTTGAGTTGAGAACTCAAGGGTATTTTGATTTTGATCGCACGACTACTAGGCCAGTCGTAATTGACCTACAGTTGGAGCAATGGGGCATTCATATCAATAACATAAGAAAGCTATCAAGTTACATGGTCTAATAGTTACTCTTATTTCTGTTAGTATACGTATTTAGTATGTGATTTTATTGTCTAATAAAATTTTTTTTGCCAACTTTTTGCTGAAAATGTTTACAAATTTTTAATAAATATGATAAAACTCATGAGAAATTGAATCATTGTAATGAATATTTAACTTAGATACTAAAACAAGCCACTTTTACTCGTGCTAACTTATTTAGTTCAGAATTTAAATAATATTATATCCTAAAATGAATGATTACATACTTTAGTCATACTACAGTAGGCGAATTCAAAAATTCCACCATCAACAAATCACCTCTCGATAGCTCAGTTGGTAGAGCATTAGACTGTAATGGATCACAATTGGTTGCAAATCAACCAACCTTGCCATCTAATGGTCGGGTGTTCGACTCACCCTCGGGAGAATTTCTTTTTTTTGATTTAAAAATCTTTATTTTGCAACTTGCATGTTGCACAAAAAAAAGTTTAACTCAGTCTTTTAATTTTTTTACTTGTTATATCGTACATTATAGAATATATAGAAAATTTCTTGCTAATTCTTAATCATCCTTTTTGTTTTCACCTTCTTTATTTTTATTTTCAAATGTTTCTTTTGCTTCGACTTCTGCGGCATAAACTTTACAATACTCATCGGATCGCCTCAAAGCACAGTCAAGATTAGTGTTTGTTCTGAAACCCTTTTGTTCATGTGCTAACAATTTAGGATTAGAATTCTCAAATAATAATGACCGCAAAATACCTTTAAGATGAACAAGATCAACAGTTGCATCACGCCTGGTGATTGTGAATGTCATATAGTCCATGAGACTTCCATCTTTTTCCTTTTCAATATTCCATGAAGAAATACCATTTGGAATGATTAAATTTTTCGCAGTACATAATCCTTGACCAATCCACCATTCTAAAACTTCAATTCCAAAATCATTAAATGAAGATACATAAGAGAATTTATATTCCCTCTTATCTTTCATGAATACAATCAAGTTTGGACGATATAAATGTGTACCACAACCACATTCTTTTAATACTGCTCTAGCAAACCCAATCCAAATTTGACGTCCTTCAGGAATTCTCAATTTTAAATCGTCCAATTCTGGTAGTTTATGTTCATCTAAAATTCTGTTGATACTTACTAATTCAGTACCACCATGGAAAGATCCAGATCCCATATAGTCATTCACTTCATATTCCCATTCACAATTATCTTCATCATACAATGAACATTTTAATATTTTAGTATCTTTAAATTGATAAATAAAATATAAATGAGTATCAAATCCTTTTTCTTTTCTCATTTCATAATCTAAAAACAATCCCCAGTTTTTCTCTGTTCCCCTGCGTTCATTATTTGGCCTAATCATTTCTTTAATTTTAATATACTCCATAGAATGCATCTTTTTGTCAGGCAACTCCTCAAGGTTGTTTTTTCCCTTCTGAGTTCTCCATAACCATCCCAAGAAGATAGATCTGTACTTACCATATTTGACAACACTTTTTCCATCATTTTGAGCCTCAGTTTCTTTGATTTTCCTATGTGGAGAATTGTAAATGATTATTGGTTCTTCATCCCCATTCTTGTTTATAATAACTTGAATTCTTGGATCTTCAATTCCATAAAACTGACCTATTTTCACTTTAGCATTATAGTATAATGGAATTGGTGCAAATTGAGGGTATTGAACTGGTTTGTATGTACCATCTTCTTTTCGAATCATTAACTCAACATGATCCAATTCGTTCCAATCTCTATCAAATACCTGTAGATAGCTCAATGAAATAACACCATAGCCTTGATCCGTATCGGTATATACAATTCTTGAAATCATTAAATGAATGCCATATTGTTTCAACCAGACGGAACTTCCTATTAGTTGATACCAATGGTCAGATATGGTTCCTTCCTTTAACTGAGTAGGAAGTTCTGGGAAGAAGACTTTAACTTCTTGATAGTATAAACTATTTTCGTCCACGAATCTTTGAAGAATTTTAGTCAAATTGGAGTTCTTATTATAAGCAGGACTAGCCTCTACTTTGATGTTTGATGATAATTCCAGACATTGATCTAGATTTGAAGAAGCGGTACCTGAATCAAATAATTCAACATCATAAGGTTTGTAAGGAATACCATTTGGGATTTTATAGGTAAACCTGTTTCTGTAAATTAAATCTTGTGGATCCAAAGCCAATTCCAAATCCTTGATATAAAAATTGACCAATTTTCTATCATTTAATTCAAAGTTATTGGGGAAAATAATAGTCCTCTTATCAGAATATTTCGTTTGTTGTTCCAGCAACTTTTGCTCATACTCCTCTGTTGTTGAAGTAGTATTCGTCCATTCCGGTAATACGTCGTATCCAGAAGTTACTAGTATTGTTCCAATGGAAAACACAGCAATAATAAACACTAGAGTCAAGAGCATTGTCCTCTGTTTAATAGGCTTTCTAGAAACCCCCAATTTGGAATACGAAACTGCATTCAATAGTGACTTCATTTGGTGAATAGAAACGAAAAAGTCTTGGTTGAAAAGAAATGGTTTAAAGAAGAAAACAGAATTGTTGATAGTGTTTTACTATGAAATCAACAAACGGAGTTATCGATACATGTATCTACAAAAAAGTAGATACAATAAAATAAAAAAAACACGAACACGTTGCATATCGCTCATTTAGTGGAATCAGAAACCTATATTTTTTTCATTTAGTTTCCATTCAAACTGTTCAGACAGTTCAGCTTTCGATTTTCATTACTTTTTTATATTCTTGGGAATACCAAACGTATAATACAGACAATAGAATATGCACTAAAAAAAAAAATAGGGAATAAATCTCGTGACGCACGACTGACACGGCGATTCGGACTAAAACTTTTGCTTGATGAAATGCAAAATGCAAAATGCAAAAACGAATGTTGTGTTTATGTTAAATTTTGTTATTATCTATCTTGGCCAAAGACAATATGCAACGATCGACAATGAGAGCAATATCTCTTACATGTTACCACTTATTGTCAATGTTCATCATGGTGAGCTACCAATACAGTACAATGAACAGCATTGTTCAACCCAATGAATAGTCATCCGGCTTTAAGAAAGATAAAGAATGCTATGACCTATCTTTAGTGATTAGAATACACACAGCTATAAATTTTTACTATGGGCGCATATGTACTCTTGTTCAAGACACAAAAAAAGATCGTGTCTAAACCACACTAGTTTTAATGCCACAAAACTGCATGAAACGTTCATACTCACAAAGGCTCAGGAGCATCAAATAATAAAAAAAAAAAACCAAAAAAAAGGAGTGAACATCACAGACAAACACGGTTTTTGTCTAATGAATAATAAGACAATAAACTAGAATTTAATCAAGAAAGGCCGAGTGGAAAGCATTCCTTATATGGATATAGAAGCTAAAATTAGAATATAATTGATAACGCACGTTTCCTCTTGCTGTTACAGTAAGTTTCCACCTTTAGTTTTCAACTTTTTACCTAACATGATTTATTAGTTGTTGTTGAAACCTGTAGTATATAGATTTTCAAATTCTCTTCATCCTGATTTGCATAATCTGCAGTTTCAATTCCAAGTGCTATGTCTTGTACCGCATCTCCCTTTGTGTGTTCTCCAGATACTGAGCCATTTATTCGTAAACCAATGAGCAATTCATCTCTAATTTGCGTGAATTTGTTTATGTGGCAATTGGTGTTATCCATGCTTTATATGTGCTTCAGTTCTTTTGTATTTATGAACTTTGCCAACAATAACGATAATACTCGGGATGTTTTTCACCTCTCTTTTACTCGAGATGGTTACATTTTGTAGATGTTTGGCACTATATAGTGCTCGTATTTAATGTACTGTTCATAACTCTAATGGATATTTATAGTTTTCTTCTTTTTATCCACAAACCTAACTTGATAGTTAATTATAAAAGATCAGAATATTGACTTGGACTAATTGCTCGACACTATCATATAGGAAACTGTATTTATACACCAAGTGTGGTAAATTCCATTCGGCGAATAATCATTTACAGTGTTCTTCATCCACGTGCAGAAAGAGTTAATTAAAAAAATATAGGGAACCATTGTAATATTACATTCAATAGTGTTGTTCTTTCTCAAAAGGGAACTATTGTAAAAGGTAAAAAAAAAAATAATAATATCAAATACAATGAACCGCCTTCATGATAATTATAACTTGAAGAATAAGAATGAAATGTGACACAGCCTCCTTAATAAACTACATCATTCATTAAAAATTATTCGTTTTGGATGTTAAATACAGAGTCAAGATAACTGGCAACTTTACCGTTGAATTACAGGCTATTTTTGGGATCTCCACAACTGCCATCAAGGTTTTATCTTTTAAACTGTAATGTACGATTAAAGTTAACCTTAATCACAGAATTTATTATTAGAAATAATACCAAGCCTGTAGATTTAAAAACCTACACTAATTTAACTTTCTATTTTTCAAGGGCTTAGCGGAGATCCGTTGCATGGAGAGAGAGAGAGAGAGATCTAGACTTTTTATTCGTAACACCCACAGAGAATTATACTACCTCTTTGTTATCTTATGAAGATGATACGATGGTTAACCTGTGAGTAAAACTTTAGGTATAGACTAGCTCCCCTTTGTTGTATGTTTTCCAAAGGAGGAGAACTATGGAAATATTGGATGTTCAGTAAATAATAAGTAGCATTGCATTCATACATTCTAGAATCGAGAAAAAACATACTATCATTATAATGGTATCAAATTTTTAAATATATATTATTGATTCTATCCTATATCTTACTTAATAAGAATCTTCACTAATCCTTTTTCTCTTCTTCTTTTGGTTTATTGGCTTCTTCAAATGCTTTAACATTTGCCCCATATATTTTACAGAATTTGTCAGAACCATTCAAAGCACAAGTGACTGGAGTATTAGTATGGAAACCCTCCTGGTTAGTATTCAACAATTTTGGATGTGGATCGTCAAATAATAAACCGTTCAATATGCCTTTCACATAAACGACATCAACAGTTGCATCTCTTCTTGAAATGGTGAAAGCTAAGTAATCAGTTAAGCTGTCATCTTCTTCATCCTTTTCAATACTCCATGCTGATATACCATTAGGAATAATCAAATTTGTACCACTACACAAACCTTTACCTTCATGCCATGGTAAGATTTCAATTCCCAATCCAGCAAATGATGAAATATAAGCAAATTTATAATTCTCTTGATCTTTCATCAACACAACCAAGTTTGGTCTATACATTTTTGGACCACAACCACAACCTTTCATCATAGCTCTAGCAAATCCAATCCAAATTTCACGTCCTTCAGGGAATCTATCGAGTAAAGCTTCAAGCTTTGGAGAATTACTTTCCAGGATAATTTGATTAATGTTGATTAATTCACTACCACCATGCATTGATCCAGCACCCATGTAGTCATCTTGTTGAAATTCCCATGAACATGGTTCATCTTCATAAATTTTACATTTTAATACTTTCAAGTTCTTGAATTGATAAACAAAATAAATAAAGTGATCGTAACCATATTCTAATTTATCTTTATAGTTGAAGAACATTGCCCAATTTTTTTCAGTTCCTTTTCTTTTTCTGTTTGGTCTTAAAATTTCTTTAACTTTAATATATTCCATATTATTAACTTGATCATCATTGATGGGCATTTCTTCTAAATTAGATTTACCCTTTTGTGTTTTCCATAACCAACCCATAAAAATTGATCTGTAGCTGTTAAATTTGACTGTACCTTCACCATCGTTTTCAAAGTCAGTAGATGCAATCTTTCTATGATGGGAATTGTAAAGGATGATTGGCTCTTCATAACCACTTGGACTGGTAATAACTTGAATTCTAGGATCTTCAACTCCATAATATCTACGGGAGATTTGGTTTGGATTATGATAAACTGGAACTTGGGCAAATTGTGGATACAAAATTGGTTTATAACTACCGTCTTCTTGAGGAACAATCAATTCAACATTATCCAATTCTTTCCAGTTTCTATCAAACACTTGTAAATATGTTAAAGAAAATTGAACAGTACCTTGATCTTTGACTGTGTAAACAATTCTTGAAACCATCATATGGACACCATATTGTTTTAACCACACGGTACTTCCAATTAATTGATACCAATGTTTATCAATTGTATCTTCGTCTAATTCTTTCTTCAAATTTGGAAAGTATGGTTTGAGTTCGTTGTAATACGGACTATTTTCCATCATGAATCTGGTTAAAACTTTTCTCATATCTGCATTCTTGTTATAAGCGGGACTAGCTTCAACAGGCATTTTTGTTTGGAATTCATCACATTTATCTTCAGAAGCAGAATCGGAATTAGCACTAAATAATTCAAATTCTTGTTGACTAAAAGACAAATCGTTTGGTAATTTGTAGGTGAACCTATTTCTAAATATTAAGTCTTCTGGATCTAAAGCTTCTTCCAATTCTTCAACATAATACTCAGCAAGTTTAGCATCCGATTTTGGAAAATCATTTGGGAAGATAATAGTTCTTTTATCACGATGATTAGTTTGCTGATTATCTATTACCTTTGAATGTTCTTCTTCATTTTGGTATGAGTTTGTTGTTTCAAAATCAAATTTGGTATAAGCGAATGTGGTTGAAAGAGTCACTATTGCTAAAACAACCAACAAAAACAACACGAGCTTGTTCTTTCTTATTGGAGATTTGGTATTACCCAACTTTGTATAAGAAAATGAATTCATAAATTGACTAAACATTGCAGTGATTGTTGTCAATATATGAAGTAGTCTTTTAATATGAAAAGTAAATAAATAATTAAAAGATCACCTTTCAATATGAAAAAAAATAAAGGAAAAGAAGGTAAAATAAAATAATTGCTTTGGGGATTTTGAAGTTATTTTTTTTTTCTTTACCTTGCTAGCATTAGACAATCAAGTGGAATAATCTAACTATAATCAAACAAGTTTATGAACAGGAAATGTAGAATATAGACTGGTATAGAGGGGAGAGGTTAAAGGCGTTAGTATTAGATCTATAGTGCATCAATCCAAATACTACAAGTCTTTTACCATTTGTACTGCAAAATCTCTGTGACACAAAACCGACCATACTTTTAGACGCACATTTTAGCTCATTTGGGTTGACCATATGCAGACTTCCATTATTTTATGAAAATTCAATTAAAGCAAAGAGGAAGTTGGCATGTGGACATCTTTAATTCACGCAATTCTCATGCAAACATAATAGCATTACGAATTCTGGTAATTATTATTCTAACTAGTGAAGAGTTATATCTCCTTTTCTGACAATTACACAAGTTGGATCTTTATTTCTTACAAAATTCAATTTCTTTATTTGTACAACAAACTAGTTTTTTCAAAAATTTCAATTTTCTTGCTTGTTCTTACTGATTTTAATTAATTGAACTTTAGATCGATTTAGCCTAAAATGCTCAATCTAGGAAATACAGAGACACCAATTTTGTTCTACGAAATTCTTTAACTCCAGTCAAATTTCTCAAAACGTCGTATACGTATGGTATTCATGCACGCTTGTTGACTAAAATTCTTCAGAAAATTGTTCTTCTTTTTTTAGATTTTTATCGAGCCATTCGATAAACTCGAATTTTACTGAATATATTTTCTTCGTTCTTAGACAAACCATTGTGATTACAAATCCATCTGTGGAAATCCGTAAAATATATTGTTTGTCGTTTTTTTATTAATATTATTTTTTATTTTTTGCAATGTAGCAATCCAAATGCGCCAGACAACTTGTGGATTGTAACTGCTTACATGATATACAAATCTGAGAAGCTACAGAGTACATTTGTATATTCCAGTTTGAACGGATTTAACCGGTAGTGAATTTTTAATTTGTCAACATCGTCTTTACCACCCATTATTGTGAAGCTATACTCAGAAAATTGAGCTCTACAATCCAACAGACGGAAATATCAAAGTGCATACAGAAATGCCCATGAAAACACTAAAAATAATTTGTATTCATTAAAAGCAAATCTATTAATAATATACATAAAAAAAAAACAATTGTCAAGTTTGTGCAATCCATGTTTTGAGCACCTGTACCACTGCAGTTGAGCTATTATGCAATTAAATGATACATTGAAGATCCACTCACAACAATTTAGATTGTGAATAAAATCGCGCAGATCAAGAGATAGAATCGCAGTTGAACAGTTTCTCCTGTTCAGTACAGTTAGATCAAGGAATACTCTTTTTTTACTCTATTAGAATTTAACTAGATTATAGATTCCACAAGAGATTATGCAAATGAATAAATATACAGAGTAATGAAGTTTTACCCAAATAACGAGGCAACAAGTAGTACGCTGGATTGCTGGTTTAAAAATTTATGATCTCGTATTTTTTTTTTTTCATCCTTGCGGTAGAACAAGAATAGTAGTACCAGGTACTTGTAAACGTTGCTTTCTAATAACTAGACATTCTCATGTTGACACGCTGATATCAATGATGAATCATCAACTGGATTCAGAACTAGCGACAAACAACCTTGCAGTATTTGAAATTATGAGAATACAATAAAGCTGCTCTTATTATGGCCGTGTCAGACAAATAGTTTGTTGTCTTTTCAAACACTATTTATTGACCAGTTCACGTGGACCAACACTCCATAGAACTTTTTATACTTGTTGTGAATTGTTACATTTCTTAGATCTATATACCCTATTCTCACAATATTTATCAATAACTCTACTACTGCTTCTTTTCTTCCTTTGGCTTTTCTGGTTGGTTTAATTTCTCAAATGCTTTGGTGGTAGCAGCATATACTTTACAGAATTTATCCGAATATTCTAAAGAACATGTAATATGAGCATTGGTTGCAAAACCTTTTTGTTCGCCAACCAACAATTTAGGTTGTGGATTATCAATCAACAAGGCATTCAATAGTCCTCTCATGTGAACAACTTCTACGGTTGAATCTTTTCTGGAAATAGTAAATGCCATATAATCGGTCAATTTGTCACCTTGTTTTTCAATGGTCCAACTGGAGATACCATTAGGAATAATCAAGTTCTTACCTTCACATAAACTTTTACCTTCATCCCAAGGCAAGATTTCAATACCCAAACTAAAGAAGGACGACACAAAAGCAAACTTATACTCGTTGTTTTCTTTCATTAAAACAACCAAATTTGGTCTATAAAACTTGGAAGCACAACCACAATCAATCATAACGGCTCTAGCAAGACCAATCCAAATTTCACGACCATTTGGAATTTTGTCAATTATGCTCTGGACTTCAGGATAATCATATTTTTCAAGTACGTCGTAGACATTGATTAACTCACTACCACCGTGCAAAAGACCAGCACCCATGTAGTCATCTTGCTCGTATTCCCAGGTACATGGTGCATCATCATAGATTGGGCATTTTAAGATTTTCAAGTTCTTGAATTGGTAAACAAAATAGACATAATTATCGTAACCATATTCTAATTTCTCTTGATGGTTGAAAAACATAGACCAGTTTTTTTCCTTAGAACTACGTTTACCATTTGGTCGTAAAATTTCTTTGACTTTAATATATTCCATATTTTTAAATTGCTCATCATTGATTGGAACTTCCTCAATATTAGATTTACCCTTTTGAGTTCTCCATAACCATGCCATGAAAATAGATCTATAACTGTCAAATTTAATAGTACCTTCAACATCATGTTCAAATTCAGTACCCTTGATTTTTCTATGATGTGAATTGTAAACAATCAATGGTTCCTCATAACCTTGTGGATTGGTAATGAGTTGTATTCTAGGATCTTCAACACCATAAAATCTACCCTTTGTTTGCTTCTCATTGTGATAAACTGGCATAGGAGCAAATTGTGGATACAGAATTGGCTTGTAGGAACCATCATCTTGAGGAATAATCAATTCAACATTTTCTAATTCATTCCAATCGCGATCAAACACTTGGAGATAAGACAATGATATAACTGGTTGAACTTTTTGACCAGATTTAGTGTAGAAAACCCTGGATATCATTAAATGGACACCGTATTGTTTCAACCAAACTGAACTACCAATCAACTGAACCCAATGTTTTTTATAACTTCCGTCTTCTAATTGGGTTTTCAAATCTGGGAAAAACCTTTCAACTTCATCGTAATACTCACCTCTTTCCAACATAAATCTGGTTAAAATTTTCTTCAAATCAGATGATTTATCCAATGGTTGACTACCTTCTACTTTGATCTTTTTATTGATTTTTGAACATTCCTTTTCATTAGCTTCGTCTGACCAAGCGCCAAATAAATCGATTTCATCTGGAGTGTATTTTAAATTAGTTGGCAATCTATGAACAAATCTATTTCTGAATACCAAATCTTCTGGATCTAATGCTTTTTCTAAATCTTGAAGGTAATAAGAAACAAGTTTACTATCCGCCATTGGAAAATCATTTGGGAAAATGATAGTTCTTTTATCACGATAGTTTGTTTGTTGTTCAGTTATTAATTTTTCATGTTCTTCTGTGGTTGGCAAATAATCATCAAGAAGATCGGATCGACAATATACAAGTGTAGTTGCAATAGTTAAAACCGCCACTATAAATATTAACAAAATGCCTGTCTTCCCTTTTCTTATGGGTGATTTGGTTGCAGGTAGTCTATTGTAAAGTAATGAGTTTAATAATTGGGAAAACATAGTAGACAGAATGAATTTGCAATCGGCCAAAGTTAAGAAGAAGATAGATTTTTTCTTAACAAAAAAAAACAGATAAAAAGAACAAATATTCCAGAAGGATAATAAATTAATTCAAAAATTGATTAAATTCTGATTTGTACGTTAATGTAGAAGATGAGAAAGTACTTTCAGGAATCCAGTTAACTTTCCTAATTTTGAAATACCTCATAATGTAAAATTATGTATATACCACTATTTCAAAAATTACATGAACAAGGACAAAAAGAAGAAAAAAAAAGAAATTGTGATGCAAACTAAAACAAAAATACAATTGTGCATGAAATAGGACAATATCGAACTAGGCCACATATATTACACAAATGTATTGTGTTTAGCACAAGAGATTCAAGAGATTCATAGGACTTCATTTGCAGGAAGCTGCGGTTACTTGTTATTGGTAGAATGAGAGACTTGTTTACAAGTTGGCAATGTCCATCATTTTTTTTTTCATACTGATTGGTAGCAAACATTCTATCGAAATATCTCGTCACATTGCATTCACTATTGTAAAGTTGGTAGATAAGCCTCATGATCTAGTTTACAGAATTTGATGGCTTTTTTTTTAAAATTTAAATCTGTTACAACGTATTTTGGTGTTATGCACGTGTTTAGCTTCCAAGTTGTGAAAAAGGTAGTTCGTTTGACGAATTAAATGTTTGCTGCAGAAAATCTTAATGTATGAAAAATGAAAAGAGAAATTTTTCTTTTCTTTGGGTAATTTTTCGTTCCCCTTTATTGTTAGTTAAACCCGATGGGAATGGATGACCAGCGAATGGAAATATTTTCGACTCAAGTTGGCTAGTCCATATATGGGTTGAATATAATTAGGTCCTAAATTTGAACAAACGATTGCTAAATCTTTTGTTTGGAGATGTACAATTATGAAAGCACTCATTCTATTTTTATTGTTTGGATGCCTACATCAATTAAGATGCAACTATTTTGCACGCCCCTTTTGTGTATATAAAATGTACAGATGACGAAATAGATTTTGCATGTTGGTTTGTCAACAAAATAGAAGTTATTTTCTATATTCGTAGCTCACTCTTCTAACCCTTTCAAATTCACGAAGTGAGTATTAATCAACAACCTAACAGGTCAGATTCAAGAAATAAACAACCGCACAGTCATCCCTTGAGGCTCATCTCCGTGGATCTGTTATCTCTGAATTTTAAGGTGTGTAGTGGCAGGACTAAGCCGAGTGTTTAATTGGAAGAAGATATTTAAATTGAACTCGAGACAAATCAACAGTCTTCTGTGCATCCATGAGAAATAAATGTATATTTTGTTAGAAAATAACATGAAATTTCATATTGTGCTGCTCTGCTCGACTTGGTGACTCTTGGCGTTGGTTTTACCATTTTTGATTCTGGGATTTTTCTTTTTTTGTTTTCTCAATGTGAGACATCTGAGTATCAAAACCACCATCATAGTTCAAAATGTCTCTTTTCGGAAAGAGTTCCGATGAAGATAGGAAGGTGTGAAATAGTTCGTATACACCAACAATGGGAACATTCTCACTAACTTTCTTGAGGGGTATCGGTAATTTTTTTTACAAATAAAAGTTTGATTCCGACTATGATAGCCGTTCAAGGATCAAAGATTCTCAGACTGTTCTAGATCTCCTTAATATCGTGTGATTCGACTCTAACCAAAAATGGGGGGGGGTGTGTGTGCTTAACTACAGCTACATTGTTCTTTACTCGTTCTTGATATTGCATAAATTCAATTACGTTGTCAATGTCAAGTCCGTATTGATGTACACCCAAGTAGTTGTACATTCAAAGGGCCATATTTGATTTCTGTATCACATTGAATCTACGACAATGGCTAGCAGATGCATTTGGAATGAAATTAGGTGCTTCTTATTCCATAGAGTTTATCAACTGTCTCTTTCTTTTTTAAAAATTTCTTTGTTTTGGTGTGCTCTTAGGTCCAGTAATTACCTGTCCATTCAAATATCATGGTGCTTGATCGTACTATCAAATCATATCCCTATGGGCCACTAGTAGTGATATTCTATTAACGGTCGTGCACAAAGTCTCGAAAAGGGGTTCACGTTTGATTACGTGCGACTTAGACAAAAAAAAAAAAATATTATACTCAAATCTGATTCAACAATAAAAGATCTGAATAACAATCCAGTGATTACACCGTGAGATTCTGTTAGCATATATCATGTCAGAAACAAAAGGTTCATTGCTCTTAGCTTGGCAAGTCAAGGATAAACATTGTTTAGTTATTGGATCTGGTGATGTTGCCTTATCCCGTATACAACATTTGATTACTGCTCAAGCAAAAATCACTGTGATTACAGGCACGTCTAAACTCCACCCAAAGATACTTCAATTGAATGAACAAGGCAAGATATTCAACTTAGTTCAACGTGATTACCAATCAAATGACTTGACTTTATACGAAAATATAAATTCCAGAGTGAATGATTTGGATTTGGTAACAGAGGATAACTATAAATTTATCGATCAACAAGTGTTTCAAGAGGTTTTTGCTGTTGTATGCTGTTGTATTGATGATTATGAGTTGTCTACCAAGATATATTATCAATGTAAATACTTGAGATTACCAGTTAATATTGCCGATAAGCCAAACCTTTGCGATTTCTATTTTGGATCCATGATAAACCAGGACAATTTACAGATTATGATCAGTACAAATGGAAAATCTCCTCGATTATCAAGAATGATCAAGGAGAATATTGCTAAAGAGTTTGAGGACGTCGATTTAAATAAAGCTATTGAGAATTTGGGTTTAATTAGAAGCAGATTAAGAGAAATGATTTTAATTGATGATGATTTAATGACAATTGATACGAGAATGACATGGATCAAGAATTTAACTGATTTCTTTAGTTTGAAAGAATGGAGCGAGTTAGATTTGATCCCTCCTAGTTCTACACCTCCACATGATAACAGATTTCAATATATTGACAACATTATAAACTTTTTTCCAGATTATCCTCCAAAGGACTATGAAGAATTCAAAGACGCTGTAATTAGATGATTTTATCAGTAGGTAAATCCTCATGAATAAATAGTTTGTTACCACCACCACCAACGTATTCGCCTACAATATGTCCATCACCTCTTAATTGATATTGGTAACTCATCAACCCTTCTAAACCAACTGGTCCTCTAGCATGTATCTTATTTGTACTTATACCAACCTCGGTACCAAAACCATATCTGAAACCATCTGCAAATCTGGTAGACGCATTCCAGTAAATACCTGAAGAATCAATACTCTTTAAGAACTTTTCGGCATTTTCTTTGTTCTCGGTGATTATACTTTCTGTATGTTTGGAAGAATGTTCATTGATGTGTTTAATAGCAGCATCGACATCGTCAACCAATTTGACAGAAATATCGAAACTAAGATATTCCTTGTCAAATGAATCATCTTCAACATCTTTGACGAATTCACTTGGTTCTAATAATTTTTTGATCTCTGGTGTAACATGAACAGTTACTTTTGCAGCAATTAATATGTTTAATAATTCTTTAATGTCATTTTCTGGAATTTTGGAATTGAGTAACAATTGTTCAACGGCATTACATCCAGCTGGGTAGTTGGTCTTCGAATCGACAATAATTCTTTTAGCTTTGTTCATATCAAATTCTTGATCAACATAAATGGAACAGATACCATCGGCATGTCCCAAAACAGGAATCTTTGTGTTGGACTTGATATTACGGACCAATTCGTTAGAACCTCTTGGAATGACCAAATCGATGTATTTATCTTGGTCTAACAAACCAGCTACATCTTCTCTGCTTTGTATCAATTGAATGGCATCACCTGGAACATCGGTTTCATCCTTTAAGGTTTCATTAACAATGTCACTCATAACTTTGAAAGTTTGGTAAGACTCTTTACCTCCCTTCAATATAGCCGAGTTTCCTGATTTAATAGCCAATGCAGTAATGTTTGCAATAACTTCTGGTCTACTTTCAAATATAATCAATAAAACACCAATTGGCGCGGTGACTCTGTATAAATTCAAGCCATCATCCAATTTCTTTGCCAAGGTGATCTTACCCATTGGATCTGGTAAATTAGCCACATCTAAGATACCTTGTAACATGGAATCATATTTACCTGGGTTGGACAAATCCAATCTCTTGATTAATGATGAAGATAACTTATTCGATTTGGCATTATCCATATCAATTTTATTTGATTCAAGAACTTTGTCTTTATTCTTCAACAAAGCATCATGGATTTTTTGCAAAGCAGATGATCTTTGCTCGTTGGTTAATGTTTTCAAGGAAGAAAATGCTGCGTTTGCAGCTTTTGCTATTGATTCAGCGGACATAGTGTCTTGACTATGTTTTAAAGTGTTGTGAAAACAAAGGGTCAAGTGGCTACTTTTTTATAATTTTTTAATTTTTTTTTTTTTTTCACACCTGATTATAAATGATGAGTCAGGTTAGTTGTAACGAACAATGTCGCAAATCTGTTTCATAAAAAATGGGTCTCTCCAGGTTTGCGACACTCTTACATTTTTCATCTTTCTAGGCAATAGACACGCACTGTATTTTCTTTTTTTTTTTTTTTTCTTTGTTTATTTTCTCTTTCCTTCTGAAAATTAAAGTGGGAGAAACAGAGAGAGAGAGAGACAACTCATTGGTTTTTCAAAGTGGTCAAGGCTGAGTTTTATGACATTGTGAGTTTGCCACTAAGCACAATTAACCATGTCAAATAATTACAATAATAGAGACAGGAATACCGAGTCAGATGATAATAACCCATTTTCAGATAGTAATGGTCACAGTAACCTTATTGATTTGGACCTAGAGACAAACCCGTATACAGATTTTGATCCCAACCGTGTTTATCCACAGCATGCGCATACAGTCAATGATCCATTTGCGGATCAGTTTGTCTTATCGGATGATTCTGATGACGATGTTGATGATGGTCAAGAAGCTGGCCATGGTTATGGTTATGGTCGAAATGATCTAGCCAACACATCGTATGCATCGTCGTCCCAACACCGACAAGTCCCGCTATTGAATACAGCCAATACACCTAATAATCAAGGTAGCTTTTTTAAAAGTGGTAAAAGTGGGGACTATATAAATATGCAAAGTCAAGAAGAAAAGCAACGCGATTTCGATATCACACATATGTTCCAAAAGGTCAAGAGTAAGATTACAGGGAAACCACCAGGGCATGCAAAGCAACAATCAAAAGAACCTCGAGAAATATTTATCATGAACCATTCTGCCAATTCCCATTTTGGATACTATGGGAACTATATATCGACAACAAAGTATAATTTTGCTACCTTTTTACCCAAATTTTTATTTGAACAATTTAGCAAGTATGCTAATTTGTTTTTCTTATTTACTTCCATTATCCAACAAGTTCCTCATGTGTCACCAACAAACCGATATACCACTATTGGTACCTTGATCGTGGTGTTATTAGTTGCGGCAATAAAGGAAATCCTTGAAGATATTAAGCGTGCTAATGCAGACAAAGAGTTAAACAATACTAAAGTTCTAGTTTTGGATCCAAACACAGGTAATTTTCAATTGAAGAAATGGATCAAAGTTCAAGTTGGTGATGTTGTGCAAGTGGCCAATGAAGAGCCATTTCCAGCCGATTTGATTTTATTGAGTTCTTCTGAACCAGAAGGGTTGTGTTATATTGAAACTGCAAACTTAGATGGGGAAACAAATTTAAAGATCAAACAAGCCAAAACAGAAACTGCTCATTTAGTTAATCCTCATGATTTGGTGAGAGATTTAAATGGTGCTGAAATTGTATCTGAACAGCCAAACTCATCATTGTATACATATGAAGGCAATTTGAAGAACTTCCGTCGTGGTAACGATATTCCATTGAGTCCAGAACAAATGTTACTTAGAGGAGCCACATTAAGAAACACCCAATGGATTAATGGCGTGGTCATTTTTACAGGTCATGAAACCAAGTTAATGCGTAATGCCACAGCGGCACCAATCAAACGTACTGATGTTGAGAGAATTATTAATTTGCAAATTTTGGTTTTGTTTGGGGTTTTGATCGTGCTCGCATTGATTTCTTCAATTGGTAATGTTATCAAGACAAAAGTAGATGGTGATGATTTATCATATTTGCATTTGGAAGGTATTTCGATGTCAAGATTATTTTTCCAAGATTTGTTGACATACTGGATTTTGTTTTCTAACTTGGTGCCAATTTCATTATTTGTTACCGTTGAATTGATCAAGTATTATCAAGCTTTTATGATAGGAAGTGATTTGGATATGTACTATGAAGAGACTGATACCCCAACAGGGGTTAGAACTTCGTCATTGGTTGAGGAGTTGGGTCAAATTAACTATATATTCAGTGACAAAACTGGTACCTTAACTAGAAATGTCATGGAGTTCAAGTCCTGTACAATTGGAGGAAGATGTTATATCGAAGAAATCCCCGAAGATGGACATGCGCAAATGATTGATGGTATTGAGGTTGGGTTCCATACTTTCGATCAACTTCAAGAAGATTTGCGAAATACTTCATCCCAGCAATCTGCAATTATCAATGAGTTTTTAACATTATTGAGTACTTGTCACACTGTTATCCCTGAAGTCACCGACGACAAAATCAAGTACCAAGCAGCTTCTCCCGATGAAGGTGCTTTGGTACAAGGAGCAGCTGATTTGGGTTATAAGTTTATCATTCGTAGACCTAAGGGGGTTACTATTGAAAATACTTTAACTGGAAGTACATCTGAATATGAATTGTTGAATATTTGTGAGTTCAACTCAACAAGAAAGAGAATGTCTGCGATTTTCCGTTGTCCTGATGGGGTTATTCGTTTGTTTTGTAAAGGGGCCGATACTGTTATTTTAGAAAGACTTTCTCAAGATGAGCCACAGCCATTTGTTGATGCTACTTTAAGACACTTGGAAGATTTTGCGGCAGAAGGTTTGCGTACGCTTTGTATTGCCTCACGTATTATTTCTGATGAAGAGTACGATTCATGGTCAAGAACTTACTACAAAGCTTCCACTTCCTTGGAAGATCGTAGTGATAAATTAGACGCAGCAGCCGAATTGATTGAAAAGGACTTGTTCTTATTAGGAGCAACCGCTATTGAAGATAAATTGCAAGATGGAGTTCCTGAAACAATTCACACGTTACAACAAGCTGGTATTAAAATCTGGGTTTTAACAGGTGATAGACAAGAAACTGCTATCAACATTGGTATGTCTTGTAAGTTACTTTCTGAAGACATGAACTTGTTAATTATTAATGAAGAAACGAAGAAAGATACACGATTAAATCTTCAAGAGAAGCTCACAGCTATACAGGAGCACCAATTTGATATCGAAGACGGATCCTTGGAATCTTCACTAGCTTTGGTTATTGATGGTCATTCTTTAGGATACGCATTAGAGCCTGATTTAGAGGATTTGTTTATCGAATTGGGTTCTCGTTGTCGTGCGGTGATTTGTTGTCGTGTGTCCCCATTACAAAAAGCACTTGTGGTTAAAATGGTTAAAAGAAAGAAGAAAAAGTCTTTGTTACTTGCCATTGGAGATGGAGCAAATGATGTGTCGATGATCCAAGCTGCCCATGTTGGTGTTGGTATAAGTGGTATGGAAGGTATGCAAGCAGCACGAAGTGCTGATATTTCTATTGGTCAATTCAAGTATTTGAGAAAGTTGTTATTAGTTCATGGTGCTTGGTCTTATCAAAGACTTTCAAATGCAATTCTTTACTCTTTTTACAAGAATATTGCGTTGTATATGACACAATTTTGGTTTGTTTTCACCAATGGATTTTCTGGTCAATCAATTGCTGAATCTTGGACTTTGACATTCTATAATGTGTTGTTTACTTCCTTGCCACCATTTGTATTGGGTGTTTTCGATCAATTTGTTAGTGCAAGATTATTGGACCGTTATCCACAATTGTATCAATTGGGTCAACAAAGAAAATTTTTTAATGTTGCAGTTTTCTGGACCTGGATTTTGAATGGATTCTATCATTCTGCAGTTATCTTCTTGTGTTCGTTTTTCATCTACAGATACATGAACGTTTCTCCAAATGGACAAACAGCTGATAATTGGTCATGGGGTGTGGCTGTCTACACTACATGTACATTAACTGCCTTGGGTAAAGCTGCATTGATTGTCACCATGTGGACCAAGTTTACCTTAATTGCAATTCCGGGTTCATTCCTTTTATGGTTAGGTTGGTTTCCAGCATACGCCACTATCGCTCCAATGATTAACGTTTCTACTGAGTATCGAGGTGTATTAAGAATGACCTACCCATTAATTGTTTTCTGGTCCATGGTGTTTGGGGTGTCAGCATTGTGTTTGTTGCGTGACTTTGCCTGGAAATACTTCAAAAGAAGATACAGTCCAGAAAGTTATCATTATGTTCAAGAAATTCAAAAGTATAATATTCAAGATCATAGACCAAGAATGGAGCAATTTCAAAAAGCAATCAGAAAAGTCAGACAGGTTCAAAGAATCAAAAAACAAAGAGGTTTTGCATTTTCTCAAGTTGAAGGTCAAGACCAAGATAAGATTGTCAGACTATATGATACCACTAAAAAGAGAGGTGCATTTGGTGAATTATCTGAAACCAATTAGTAAATTCATTTATATATGTATTTTAGATTGTAATATGTTGTGTATAAAACAAACTAAGTAGACTTTTTTTTTATATAACAAATATAGGGTTTATTTTTCATATTTATATGTCCTTTCGCGTTTTTGCACTCCAGAATCTTCGTATATTGTGCACGACCATAATTGATTCCTTCCTAAGCAAAAAAAAATTTTTTCTTTCCTTTGAGTAATTGCATTTTACAACCTCAGACATCATCAAGTGACCATAAGCACATAGAAAATCATGGCCGAACCTGAAAAGAAAGAACTGACTCAAGCAGCTCCTCAATCGGCTGACAGTGGCGTAAAGAAACTTTCTGCCAAAGAATTGAAAGAATTAAAGAAGAAAGAAAAAGCAGCCAAGAGAGCAGCTCAAAAGGAAGCTAATGGTATCAGTCCAGAACAACAAAAGAAACTCGCGGAACAGAAGATTGAAAAGAAGAAACAACAGCAGCAACAGCAACAGTCAAATGCATCTTTGAAGAAACAGTCATCTCAAGGAACCAAGCGTGAAGAACGTAATGTCCCTGCTGTGTTTGGACATTTGGAAACTAGAGAACAAAGAAATGCATCTACTGCAGCTCCATCATCAAATGCCATCTCAAATCTTGTTCATCCTGCTATTTTGTCCTTGACTTTAAAGTATTCAAATTATAAAGTTGTTGGATCAAGTTCAAGATTAAAAAATATGTTGTTGGCTTTCAAACAAGTTGTTCATGATTATTCTACTCCCGAGAATACTACATTAACCAGACATTTAACAGCTCATTTGTCGAATCAAATTGAATATTTAAAGACTGGACGTCCATTAAGTGTTTCCATGGGTAATGCAATTAGGTGGTTGAAACAAGAAATCTCAGTTATATCAATCGATACTTCTGAAGCACAAGCTAAAGAGACACTATGCACAAAAATTGATGATTTTATTAAAGAAAAAATTGAATTATCAGATACATTAATTGTCGATAGTGCATCTAGACATATTGTAAATGGTTCAACAATCTTGACTTATGGACACTCTCAAGTTTTAGAAGAATTGTTCAAGTATTGTGTTCTCGAACAAAATAAGAAATTCAACTTGATTGTTGTTGACTCAAGACCATTATTTGAAGGTAAGAGAATGGTTAGAAATTTGATTAATACATACTTGGAAGATGATCAAGATAATCATGACCAACCAGATGAATTTGCATCTGTTAATAGCAAAACTGCACATGTTAAGATTCCTATCACCAAAAATCACATAAGTATTCAATATGCATTGATTAATTCCTTGTCATCTACATTATTGGATGATGTAGATTGTGTATTTTTAGGTGCACATGCCATGTTATCAAATGGTAGATTATATTCAAGAGTTGGTACTGCGTTGGTTGCAATGATGTGTCATACAAGAAACATTCCTGTTTTAACATGTTGTGAATCTATTAAATTTTCCGAAAAAGTTCAATTGGATTCTATCACCACAAATGAGTTAGGAGATGCTGATGATTTAATCCAAGATATAGATTGTATGAAATTATCGGCAAAGAAATCATTTGCTTTAGAACAATTTTTAAAAGAAACCCAACCAGAAAAGAAAACTCCAGAAAAGTCCGGCAAGGGTAACCAATCCGGAGAAGAAGAAAAAGAAGGAGATGACAGTTCATTAGAAAACTGGAAAGAAATTGCAAACTTGAGTGTTGTAAATATATTGTATGATTTAACTCCACCTGAATACATCAATAAAATCATCACCGAATTGGGTGCATTACCTCCATCATCAGTGCCTGTTATTTTAAGAGAATACAAGAATACGTAGTAGTGATAATAATAATAATAATAATAACAATAATAATAATATATACTTTTTTTTTTAGTGTAACCCATCAGATCTATCTTTTCTTTCTAAGTTCAGTAAGTACAACATTGGAAGTTTCATTTACAGAAAACTCATCAAGTGATTCATTGATTACCGGAGCCAGTTCACCAATTTTAGTGACATAGTCACTTAATTGTTTAGATAATCTAATAAATTGAATCTTGACATTTTCAATAGAGTCAGCAACTAAGCATTGCTGTCTAAGGAAATTCCATGTTTCAACAAGAATTTTAGTGTCAACCTTTTGGTTGGAATCGTCGATTTCGGTCAATATTTTTTTAAATATTTCAGTTGTTTGTAACTTGGATCTCCATGTGTTTTCAATAATCTTGGAATTAAACATCTCAATCAATTGTTCAAACGTGAATTTAAACAATTCAAATTTGATATCTGGGGTAGTGTAGAATGCGACAGAAAGGTTCTGCAACACTTTCAATTTGTTTTCCTCCCATTCAATATTTTCTTTGGCATTTAATTTTTTGGCATCACCATCTTCCATATCATCATCATCGTCATCATCAGTGGTTTCATACTTGTCATCCAATACTTTTCTCATTATTTCAATATACAAATCTACCATTTCGTCATCTTCGTGGAAATGGTGGATATATTTCCCACATGTGAGAATGGCTTGTTTTTGATAAGCTTTGTTTCTTCGTTTTATTTCAACAGTGACAGTCTTTTTGATAGCCTCGCCAATATTCTCATGATGATTAATGTACGACTTGGACATTATAGCGAATGAAATCAAAGAATCAAATACCAACTCCTTACCGTCCCATGACTTCCCCTTATTCGACTCTATTAAGAGCTGTAAAATTTCCTCAATAATGGCAGTTGAAAATTGATTCAAATTATCGATAACCAAACACAAGTTCGATAATGCTTTTGCTAAAGTCTTTCTAATAGAGAACTCGTTGGATTTGAGGTATTTCTTAACCAAGTCAATAATTTCAACCAAATACAACTTAATAGCCGAATTCCCACCACTAGTATTTTCAATCCATTCGTGTTCAAAATTAGAAACCACTTGTTTGTTCGGATCAAATTTACCAATATATGCAACTGGTAGGAACGCCGAACTCACTGGTTCAAATTTATCACCAGCGTATTTGGAAACATTTTCACTGGCAATTGAAGCCAAAATTCTAGATCTCTCGTCACCAGCTTCTGAACCTTCAAAATACATTTGAGTTATTTTCTTCGATAACTTGATTATAGTGTCTACTTTAGAAACTCGACAAAGATACCCACAAGCTGCTGCGTAACTAGATGCAATTGTATCATTCCTGTCATTTATTTGTTCCATAGTTACTAGCAATAATTTGTCTCCATACGGTTTGATTAATTGTAAATGATGGGTAACCATATTCATAATGACCATGGCAGCACTCACCTTCGAAGGCAAACCAACCCCCTTCTTGATTGCTCTTTCCAATTTATTAATAAAGTCGGGTAAATTTGAATTATCTAATTGATTGACCAATTTGTCAATAGCATCCATCAATGGAGAATGGCCAACACTCTTCATTCTTTTAGCATCAATATCATTATGATCAACGTTATACTTACTGGCATTTAAAACTAGATAGTTAACAACCTCTGGCTCTAAACTTGAGAATAAATTGATGAAATGTTCAATCAATTCCGGAACATACTTCTTCATGCTCTTATTACCGGACTTACATAATTTCATAAGCATATCTAATGCAAAGTCTTTAACTTCCTGAGAATCGGATAACAACCCCTTGTTTCCTAGTAAAAATGGAATCAAGAACAGTAACAACGAATCAGTTCTTGGGGATTGACCAGAATTTTTCTCCAATATTCTGGTAAACTTTGTCGCCAATGATTTAGTTAAATTGGTTCCTTCTTTACGAACACTTTCTTTAATGTCGTCCATCACTCTAAAGCTCATGGTCCAAATTTCATCAAGTCTTTTTTGATACTTGTCTAATTCTACCATCTGTAACAAATCATTCAAAGCAGCAGTACTTCCTTGACGAGTTCTCCATTCCTTCTTACCCATACTAGCTAACAATTCATTTAGGATTTTTTCAAAGTTCACTTCAACCGCTTTCGACGTGTCTTTAATCAAGGAATTCCAAATATCATTCATAGACTTGGAAACACCCAAATTTGGATCGTATCTATATCTGAACAACTTAGGAATCAATCTGTCAGATAATTGTTGGTTGTTGGCTAATAATTTATCTAAAGATGACTGCGCTAAAATTGACTCCAATCCAAACGCAATACCTTTTCTTGATGACCACAATGATGAACTTTTAGCCAAGGACATAAACTTATAAACCAAACTAGGATCACCGACATCTTGGGCTAAATTTAAAACATCCTTATATGTAGACACGGATCCCTCGTTTGTTCTTAATAAATCAGGTTCAAACAACTGAGTGTCATGTTCAACAGATCCTGAAGTGAAATTGGTTGTGTTTGATTGTGTAAATGATTTCAATAATGATTTAACTAAAGTCTCCTTCAAATCAAAATCACCCATTTCATCAACCAATCCCAACCCCCTGGATGCGGACTCTTGAACTAACTCATCTCTGTCGGCTAAAAATTTCATAAATGCAACATGGATTTCAGAAGCTCGCAGACGAACTGCTTCCAAATGTTTACAATATTGAACAAATGACAACAACCAAATACAACCAGCTTTTCTTAACGATGGTTGAGTGTTAGCACAGGCTGCCAATACCGTGTTCAATAAGACTGAAACTCTAGATGCATTTACTGGCACATATTTGATTGTCTCATCAGGAATATCTAATTGCTTGTTCAACAACTGGGACTCCCAACCTGCAGCATCTAAGACAAGTGCTTCTCCAGATGTGAAAATATATTCGACTTGTTTGGACACATAAGTGTTGTATATGGTTTGTTCGTCAATCAGCAACTCATCTATTGATGACTTCTCTTCAGTTAAAGTTAAATATCCAAGGGCTAACACTGAACGTTCATCAATCTTCTTAACTCTAATTCGAATAATCTCTTTGAATCTCTCAACAAATGGTTTGGATTCTGGGTTAATTATTGGTCCCAAAGTACCAAACATCGATAGCTGTGATATAGCATCTAATGCCAAGTAGTAAAAACTGGCGTCGAGTAACATTCCTTCAAGAGTCTGCAAAATAGTGGATAATTCATTGCCTGAAATCAAACTCAACCTATCTCTTAATGTCAATCTGGAGATTAAATAGCATACAACCAAAACTCTCGATTTCGATTTTTGATATGAAAGATTGCTTACCAAAGTATTCAACAAAGCACGAACATCTTCATCAGTATTGTTAGGATGACTTGCAATTATACCGATAGCTTTACAAATTCGGGATAACGAAATATCATCGAATGTATGAGTATCAACCAATTCCAATAACTCGGAAACCTTAGGAATTAACAACGCAACAGCTGGACCAGATGAAAATGAAATCAATCTAGCTAAAATCAATGAGTATGTCGTATCTAAAACCACCCCAGTAGAGTTTTTAAACTGGCCAATTAATCCTTCAATGCAAATATTTAAAAGTTCAAAGATACTTTTTTGCAAGTTTTCTTCCTTCATTTTGGAAATCAATAATTTTCTAACAGTATCATTCATTTCGATCGCCTTTTCTAATCTAATTGACCAATCCTGGTCTGGAATAACAACAGTATCCTTACCTTCAATGGCTTGCATGACTAAAACTTGTTCTGCAAACTCGATTGCTTTAGGGAGTGCTTGGAAAATGGCTGATTGCTGTTGGTCTTTTGCCCTTTCGATTTCCTTATTGAGTCGATCAACAAAAGCTGAAAATGAAGGAAACCTCACGATTGACTCTTGACCTAGCAAATACGAAGTCGACTTGAATTCAGTCGTATTACTGACTTGGTTGATGTTAAACCAGTATGGGTGCAATCCATTCAACGCCTCTTCGATAGTATGTGGTGCATTATTCTTCGAAGTTCCTAATATCGACAAATATCTTGCCTCTGGATCTGAAAATGGGTAAGCAGAGTTGACATATTTGATAGCGATGTATTTCGCTGCATTGTTGCTGATGTGTTTTCTAATCAAATTCTTCAATGCAAGTTTCTTATCTTCCGAAAGTCCAACCAAGTGTACTGTCAATCCTGAGAGTGCATTTTGAATAGATGAAATCAATTCCGAAGTCTGAGAATTTCCAGCCAATGAGTCAAAAAGAAATTCTAAGAATGACCAATCATTGTAGAAAATCTTTGGATGATTCTTTAATATTTCGCCCAACGCTTCATATTTCGATTGTACATCATTTAGTCTTTTCAGATAGTTTGTTCCATTTGAAACTTCAATACTTGGCCAGCCATCTGCTAGTATACTGTTCCTTAATTGATGGGCTATATCTTCATTGAACCTTTCAAAGTCATCGTCATTACCAATACCCGAAGCTGGCCCAAGTTTTCTGATAAACTGGATAGCCAACAGTCTCAATCTAGCATTGTCGGAATTAAGGGAAACTGTAGCTATCTTATCTTGCGAATCCACACTACTACTTTTGATCAAAACTTGGAGAATCTTGCATTGAAGGTTTGAATCAGCGACTGGAACTTCTTCACCAAGAAACAAGCAAATTATGTGCTTGATGAGTGAAACACCACCATAAACTGTTACTTTATCCAAATCAATGCCCAATTTTTTAAATGCAATTTCAGAAGACTCATTGATGGATGATGATGGGTCAGCGGAAGAAATCAACAATGGCAATGCTAACTGCTCTGCTGAAAACCCCACTTTTGCAAACTCAAGCAAACTTTGTTTCACATTGAAGATGTCGTCTCTTGTTTTGTAAGTAACACCAGCATCTGAGTTGAAAAAGGTATTATCTTGGATATTCATCCCTGGTGAAGTTTTATTGTTGGAATCTGGTAATAGCATCATGAATTTACTAATAATCATAGAAAGGTACTGTTCATCGGTTGGGTTTTTATCAAATTCAAGAAATGACGATCTGAAATCATCAAATTCTGTTGTTCCCTTCATTGGTGGCTTCCAATTCTTCAATAGTTTGCACAATATGTTAAACATTCTAGCTGATATGCCTCTTGGATAGCTATGAATTCCTTCAATAACACTTGGGATTAAGCTTTTCTGTTCGTCAACACTCAATCTGTCAACACCTCTGGATATAAATAATGTCGAATAAAGTCTTACGGAATTCAGATCTCCTGCAACATTGGGGGATTTGACTTGTTGGATAAGATTATCAACCGGGAGTTTAATTGATCGTGCTGCAGTTATTCTTGGAATGACATGTTGGATAATCTTAAGCACTGCTTGTCTAACTGCTGCGTGGGGACTTGCCAATTTCAATAAGACCGGCGCAAGATATAAGTTCAAGGCATTCTCAAACAGTTTATCATCTTCAGCTAATGCAATTCTAAGTTCAACCTTATTAACCAATGCCAATTCCTGGTCCGCCATGGTATCTAAGTTGAATAGTTTATGAAAAGATAAGTGTAGTTCACTATGGAAAAATCAATAGAGAAAAGAAGAGAAAAAAAAATATTGGTGGCGGCAAAGGAAAAAAAACAGACACGAAAAATCCGGCGCCACCTTAAAACAATTGATCTGCAACAATTAAATGTGTTATTTACAAGTTTATTAATTTGAAGTTCATATTGGAAATTTATCAATGGCATTTCCATAATCATAACATTGTAATAATCTAGATAATACTTAAACTACTTAAAAACATATACTGTAGCTTAAAAACCACCTCTCAATCTCAAGACCAAGTGCAAAGTAGATTCCTTTTGAATGTAGTAGTCAGACAAAGTTCTACCGTCTTCTAATTGTTTACCAGCAAAAATCAATCTTTGTTGATCTGGTGGAATACCTTCTTTATCTTGGATTTTGGATTTGACGTTATCAATGGTGTCAGAAGATTCAACTTCCAAAGTAATAGTTTTACCAGTTAAAGTTTTAACGAAAATTTGCATACCACCTCTCAATCTCAAGACCAAGTGCAAAGTAGATTCTTTTTTGAAATGTTGTAGTCAGACAAGGTTCTACCGTCTTCTAATTGTTTACCAGCGAAAATCAATCTTTGTTGATCTGGTGGAATACCTTCTTTATCTTGGATTTTGGATTTGACGTTATCAATGGTGTCAGAAGATTCGACTTCTAAGGTAATAGTTTTACCAGTTAAAGTCTTGACGAAAATTTGCATACCACCTCTCAATCTCAAGACCAAGTGCAAAGTAGATTCTTTTTGAATGTTGTAGTCAGACAAGGTTCTACCGTCTTCTAATTGTTTACCAGCAAAAATCAATCTTTGTTGATCTGGTGGAATACCTTCTTTATCTTGGATTTTGGATTTGACGTTATCAATGGTGTCAGAAGATTCGACTTCTAAGGTAATAGTTTTACCAGTTAAAGTTTTAACGAAAATTTGCATACCACCTCTCAATCTCAAGACCAAGTGCAAAGTAGATTCTTTTTGAATGTTGTAGTCAGACAAGGTTCTACCGTCTTCTAATTGTTTACCAGCAAAAATCAATCTTTGTTGATCTGGTGGAATACCTTCTTTATCTTGGATTTTGGATTTGACGTTATCAATGGTGTCAGAAGATTCGACTTCTAAGGTAATAGTTTTACCAGTTAAAGTTTTAACGAAAATTTGCATACCACCTCTCAATCTCAAGACCAAGTGCAAAGTAGATTCTTTTTGAATGTTGTAGTCAGACAAGGTTCTACCGTCTTCTAATTGTTTACCAGCGAAAATCAATCTTTGTTGATCTGGTGGGATACCTTCTTTATCTTGGATTTTGGATTTGACGTTATCAATGGTGTCAGAAGATTCAACTTCCAAAGTGATAGTTTTACCAGTTAAAGTCTTGACGAAAATTTGCATTGTGATATGTTGATTAATAAGTTTGTTAATTAGATGATTAAAAGAAAAGAAAGAAGAAAGAAAAAGAGAAGAATTCTAAAAAAAAAATTGTGTTCAAGGAGTGTGTTGCCACTCTATTTATATACAGATTGTTGGACGATTCTCTATCGACAAGCAGCAATTTTGCACGACCACAAAAGAAACAAAAAGAAATTTCTTTTTTTTTTTATTTATTTATTTATTTTTTTTTAATTGAGCGATTTTCTTTCCTGCCAATGTTACACCATTATAGTTGCCAATCCAAACAGAGAGAGAAGTTTGTTAGCAATTGAGTTTAGAGTATAAGAGCATAAGAAAAAAAAAATTTTTACCATCATTATACGATGACATCCCTAGGCGGTATTTGATGAATCCACATGACCTTTATTAAATAAAGGTCCCATTAAACAAGTGTTATCGTCAAAGATGATGTTGTTACTAAGGTATTGTGTTAATCCTCCCCCATTGATAAGGTCAGCCTTTCGCAATACACAAAGCAGAATTATAAATGAAAAAAATAGGGGTAAGTCAGAAAATAAAAAAAGTAAAAAAAAAGAAATTCACAGGTCACGTGGTATGTGTTGCACTGGGCAATAACCTCCGAGGTGAGAATCAGAAGAGAGGGAGAAAAAAAAGTTTAGCTTACAAATTGAATTGTACTGAAATTAGATATCCATATATTGAAACCAATATTAAAAAAATAAAAATTAAATAAAAGCATTAGTCATATACACGATTGAAATGAAAGAATAAAAGTCCCATGAAATATTAAAATAAAATAAAAAAAAAAAAGAAAATATGATAAAAACTATTCATCAACGTCGTAGATAAAGGTTTTTTTTTTAACAAAAAGAAGATAAAAATCGACTCAAAATATTGGCGATAGTTGATGAGGATTACTCACTGTTGAAGCGTTTGTTTGTTTATGATTGATTGGTATAGTTGAGGCAGCAAAACTTGGAGAAGATGATTGACTGGTTAAAGTGTAGTTAGAATCTTGGTCACCGGATTCGTCATTATGATGTTCATGAATCGATTTCAACCTTAATATTGGTGGTGTAGTAGGACGAATACGGGGAGAAGAAATCAGTTGAGCTGGTTCGAATTCTTGTTCTACTTGTAACAAATCGACACCATCCAAGCTTGTTCTTTTCAATCCCGGTACCAACATATCACTTCTCAATTTGTGAATATTTACCCTATAATTGTTTAAGTTCTCGGGTACTTCCAATAAGGATATGATTTTATGGATTTTATGTCTAATGGAATCTTTATACTTTGATGGATAAGGCATTTCTAAAAGAGGAGATATTATTCTAGGGTAATCTTTAAGCAACCAATCTATGAACTGGACAGATCCATTTTGCAAAATATATAAAATCACAGTTAAAGTTTTCAACAAACTAAGATATGTTTTATCATCCAACACTTGTTTTTGAGATGGGCTGCGTAATGCGCCAGATATGGTGTTAGATCTTCTTGGTGTGCTATAGTGAGTTCCATGTGGTGCTACTGATGAGTTTGATCTTTTGATGGAAGCACTATTAGTGTGGGATTGTAATACTGGCTTTAGACGCTTATTGATAACAGATATGATGATGGACAAGTGTTTTTTGCTGAATGTTAGCCTAGCAAGTTCTGTCAACTCGCTATTATAAGGACCCAACGGATCCTGGTTGGTTGCTGTTCTGATTTTGGACTCAGTGGAAGAAGTAAGGTTTTTTAATGATTGTATAAAAGGCATTGGAATTATTATGACCGATACGATTTAATGGTAGTCTTTCGGATAGAGCGAAATGAAACGGGAAAAAAATAATACTAACTGCAAGATGGAGGGGAAATATAAGTGAAAATAAGCTGGCTTTTTTTTTTCAGTGCACAGAAGGAATGAACTTGATAAATCAACAAACTAGAATAAACAAAACTATACTTGAAGATTAAGTTGAAGATGAGCTTTCTTTTATTAAAAATTAGAAAAAATAATTCTTATATTCTTTTACTTTTTTTTTTGTATTCTTAAAATTTTCACGAACCCGTCTGGTACTTAAAGGATATTTCGGATGTAAAATTTATTGTGTCACAATAACAATCTCCAGATACAGTACACAATTTGATGACCAGTAATATGCTTGTGCGAAACAAAGAGAGAGCGAGGGAGAAAAAAAAAAAGCAAAAGCACAAGCAAAAGAGAGGACCAAGCAGCTGGGACATTCAGTAAGAGAGCAAAATCTGTACGAAGATTCCGTGGAAGATCTCGCAGGGGTTCTACTATTATTATTTCCTTCAGTTTTGGCTTTCCCACTCGGAGTTTAAGTGTTCACTTATACTTAAGTTCTCTTCTTTTCTCTTCTCTGGACTTTCATTACAGGCTGTGTTTTAAGTTTGTCTCCGTCAGTAAGTTGTTGATCACCATCACCATCACGATCACGATGGAAATCTCGTTTATCACTTCTCGTAGATTTATTGAGGTGTTTTATTTTATTATTTTCCTTACCATCGTCAGACTACATGCATTTCTTGTGTAGGTCATCATAACCCCATGAAACATTTTTATTTTTCATTGTATTTTGCATGGGAGAACTTCCGGCAATAAAAAATCCGGATGAGTGAAATTTTAAATAGGGAAAATTACAACCGGAACAAATATCCATAGCAACGGGTGTTTTTATTTATTTATTTATTCTTTGCTCGACAGAGGGGCAAGTGAACATTAATATTCTAATGCTCAATCTATCAAAATTCTATTCAAAGCCGGCTTTACATTCTATGTCCTGATAGGTTCCCCAAATAAAATAAAAAATATCATTCAATCAAAATAGCAATCACAACTACACTCTCGGTTGTACGTTTCACCATTCTCTCTCCATTTACCATTACTAATGTATTATTAGCCAGCGATGAATTGGTGTGTGTTTTTCTTCTTTTCGTAATTTGATTTTCTATTTTTGTTTCATTATACACGACCCTAGAATGCTAATGTCGTGTGTACACAATTTCATGCCTACGAATCTACTGATGGTGGGAGACTCACTATTGTACGCCCATAAATCAGTTGTTTGAGAATCAAATGTATTACTATCCCCCCTTTTCTCTTTGACTCTAGAAAAATGTTAGTAATATGATTGCTAGAATCGTGTGTCCTCATCATCATTGCTCAAAACAGAGTTTCGTTATCGAAATCAACACTGTTCCTTCGGAAGAAAGGTCTCTTATTGAATTAATGAAATCATCACTAAACGTCGCACGCGACTAGCTTTAATTGGCAGAGACAAAAAAAAAAATTTTCTCTTGCTTCAATTTTTAGAAATAAGTCGATTTTTGTAGGAACAAGTTTACAAATCTACTTCATTCCTCCCATCTCTACCTCTCTCATCATCATTTATCCACCGACCCTATAGTTCATTCCTCCGTGTTCTATATTTCTATATATATATTATTTTTTTTTTGTTTTGGATTTATTTTCACCATTCCTAGTCCACCCATTCTTCCACACCAAAACAGAGAATTCCCTTGTCTTTTTCATTGTTTAAATGTTTGAAAACTCAGCAAAGGAATCACTGATGTCATCTTCAAGAAGTTCAGGGTCTCCAGATGTATCTGCACTTGTCACTCCTAATAATATTGAAGAAGTAAAAGAACCGGAATTATTGAAAATCATACCACCCCAAGGGCCACCTCCGTCTTCCTCAGGATCTATTTCTCTAGAAGATTTCAAACCTTCATTTAATTATGATTTGGAAGTGTTTAATTTATGTAAAGAATACCTTAATACTAGAAATCATCATGGTTTGGCATTGATTACTAGACAAAAGGGGATTCCTCCATTTCTCAGGTTTAAAGTCTGGCCAATATTATTAAAATCACATCCATTCGTCATCAATCCATTTATACAACCAGATCAAGATTTAATGAAAGAATCAAGTAGTTCGAGCACATCAAGCTCAACATCCACAACTGGTAGTCCGATTAATAGTGAACATTCAAGTATTAAAGATGGAATTTTAAATCAGGGTAATGATACCAGGGAAGAGCCACAGCCACAACCAAGTGATCCACATGAAGAGATTAGACAAAAGATAAAACGTGATCTTGGTAAATACATTCAAAGACTCAAATATTCTCAATCAAAATATACTGTTAGTGAATTGGAACATCAAATACTATCGATTTTGGAAGATTCAGTATTGAAATTTATTTTAAAATGGGGGAAAATTATCAAATATGATCTGTCTTTGACCTGGGTTGCTTTGAATTTAGCAGAATGGTTTCCTCCAATTCCAAAAACTCCGTGGGTTTTGGTTGGTAGAGATTATTCTACTGCTGACTCATCTTTGGTTATTAATTTAATGGATGATTATTCAAATTATATTGACAATATCCCAGATTTAAAAAGTTACCTTGAGAATTTGATTTATAATGATGAAAAGATTTCCAATATGTCATTTAGAGAAGTTTTTGAGAGATTGGTATTGGTATTGTTGCATTGTCCTGAACCCGAATCAAGAAGGAAAAAATCAGAAGTATCGAAACATGCATCTGATTTGGATCACTCACATGTACAATCTATGAAAGTAAATAAAACTACATTACCTAAAACAGGAGGAACTATTGAAGAAAGGGTCTCGTATTTTATTTATTGCTTACGTAAGCTATTACCTGAATTATCACAATATTTCCATGAAGAACAAATTTTAACCAAATTTGGATGTTTGGATGATGAATGGTTAATTTGGTGGTTGAAATTTTGTGGTACAAAAGTTTGGTCCAAATATGACAGAGGTAGGATCTGGGATTTTATGTTGGGCTGGAGATTGAAAAACCCTCGAAGGGATTTTAACTACTATTATGAAAAATTAAACTATGTCAATAGAAATACTTTGGAGAAATTAGGTCCAGATATATTCTGGTCTGTTGGATCCGAAGATAATAATAATGTTGAAAGATTTAAAAATAATCAAGGTTTAACTAGAGATAAAAAGACAAGTTCATTTAAAGATTTGATTAATGATTTACATAATGATTTGCATATTTCCAAAAAAGTATCTACATCGCCAGGTGTACGAAATACTTCACATTCATCAATCTTGGATTCAAGTCCAAATTTTTCAATTCCTTTTTCTAGAGTTGATCCTCATATTGCATTGATTTTTATTTCATTGTCATTATTAAAATCAAAAGAAAATACATTGGTTGAATTAGATCAACATGAAATACGACAATATTTATCACGATTACCAACCAAATCATACAAGTATAAACTGAAGAATAAAATGAATGCTACTCAAAAAAGGATGAGTAGTTCTTCAAATTCTTCATCTAATTCAACATCTCCATTGGGTCTGCCACTGAATTTGAATTCTAATACTGATGATCCTATATTGTTACCCACCAATAGAATTATCATCAGTAATGATTCGAATTTTGATCTGAAACATAAAGTAAATTTCATAGATAATATTATTTTAGAAAGTGGAGAATTATGGAGAAAATGGTTATGGCTGGAAATGATTGATGATAATTAAAAAGTAATGAATGTTTTCATATCCGAATTTTTTTTGTCTCTATTTATATAGTAGATGATTTGTATTCTTTTGTAATTAATGATAAATGATTTAAAGAGTTGTCATCTGTTTTGTGTCACGTGAAAATCATTTTGATGGTAAAGAGACATGAATAAAACTGCGAAGTAGAAAAAAAAATATTGAGATGAGTTTCACTTTTGGAAAAGTTAAAAAAAAAAAAGAGACTATATACACCAAGAACCATAGACATGTCTGATAAAGAAGAACAGATAGTATCTGAAGTTACTTCAGATGTAGAAGAAACACCAAAGAAAGTTAAGAAAGATAAAAAGGAGAAGAAAGACAAAAAGGAGAAGAAAGATAAAAAAGAAAAAAAACGTAAATTAGATGATGATGATGATAAAGAAGAACTTGAAATTGATTTAAATGCTCAAATTCCATTATCTAAAAAACAACAACGTCAATTAAAAAAAGGTAAATTAGATTTAGAAAAATTAGCTAAAAAACATCCTGCTCCAAAACCTGAAAATGCACCAGAAGAACCAGAAAAAGAATCAAAAAGATCTGAATTTGGTGTATGGATAGGTAATTTATCATTTGATACAACTAAAGAAGATATTATTCGTTTTATAACTAATAAAACAATTGATTTAGAAACTAAAATTGAAAATGATGATATTTCAAGAATAAATATTCCTAAAAAAGGTACACAAATTAAAGGATTTGCATATGTTGATTTACCAAGTTTAAATCATGTTCAATCAGTTGTATCATTATCTGAACAAATTCTTAATGGTAGAAAATTACTTATTAAAAATGCAAATTCATTTGAAGGTCGTCCTGAAAAATCAACTACAGAAGGATCATCATCAGCATCAAAGAATCCACCAAGTAGGATTTTATTTGTTGGGAATTTATCATTTGATACAACTGAAGATAATTTAGAAGAACATTTTAGACATTGTGGTGATATAACAAGAATTAGAATGGCTACTTTTCAAGATACTGGGAAATGTAAAGGATTTGCATTTATTGATTTTAAAAATGAAGAAGGTGCTACTAATGCTTTAAATTCAAAATTAACCAAAATTTTTATTAATAGAAAATTAAGAATGGAATATGGTGAAGATAGATCAGCTAAAAGACCAAAAAGATTAAATGAGAATAGAAATAACAATTATAATAATAATAATTATGATGGTAATAATGATAATAATAACCTTAGTAATAATAATGGTGATTATGGTAATCAAGGATATGAACAAAGAGAATATACTCAAAGAGAACCAAAGCAATATGATAATTATGATAATAGTGATTCATCAAGAAAAAGACAATACCGTGAAAGAGAAACTTCAGGTTCTTCTGGTCCTCAACAATCAAATAAACGTATGAAATCTTCTGTTGCTTTAGCTTCTGCTCAACGTGCAAGTGCTGCTATCGTTCCATCCGCTGGTAAAAAGATCAAATTTGATTAAAAGTTATACATTTAGATTTAAAGTACAACAATATACTTATAATAAACAAAGATAATAAAAATAATTAAAAAAAAAGAGATTACATATAAACTTGATAACAAAAATAAAATAAAAAAACACATTTTGTTGGATAATAGAAAAATAAAAGAATAACTCTTCTCCGACATTTTACTATTCGTCAATTCTTTCTAAAAGTTGAACTTTATTTTCCAAATCCTTATGGGTTTGGAAATCTTCAGAACTGACTTCAAAGTAATTTGGATCATTCTTATTAGCTTCGAATTCACTATCAGAAACAACTTCATAAACTGATTGGATTTCATATGATTCATCGTCACCAACTTCGGTATCATTCTTTTGTTCTTCTCTTGCAACAGATCCAGTTGGCTTGTCCTCAATATCATTGGCATTAACACCACCAATAGTCTTGACATCCTTGGATACAACGGCATCTTTTTCAGCATCTAAAGCAGTAATTCCACCAGTTGGTAACTTATCATCTTTAGCAACGACACTACTATCACCATTCATTTCCGTAGTTGGCTTTTCAGAATCTTTGGAAACAACAGCATCACCATTGGTTTTAGCTTTAGTGACCGGTTTAGTTTCCTTGGATTTTTCTTTAACTGGAGAAGCCAATTTTTCCTTGGATGAAGAAGCACTCAATTTTCTACCCCAACCTTTAAACTTTTCAGTAAGACTGCTAGATCTTGCTTTGGTAGGAGTTACAGGTGCCACGGTTGATGCTGCAACGGTAGCTGCGGCCACAGTAGCTGCCTTTTCAGCAGTAGCCTTATCAGAAGTGGCTTTTTCTTCAGCGGCTTTTTCAGCAACTTCCTTTTCTTCAACTGCCTTTTCGGCGGCAGCTTTTTCTTCCGCGGCAGCTTTCTCAGCAGCTGCCTTTTCAGCAGCTAAATTTTCGGCCGCTCTCTTTTCAGTAGCAGCTTGTTCACTGGCTGCTTTCTCGGCAGCTTGTTCAGCAACATCAATTCCACTCAGTTCTTTCTTTGGAGAAACCGGTTCCATATTCTCAACTTTGGCGACAAGAGAATCAACTTGACGTCTTGGAACACTTTCACTTTGAGGAACATTCACACTCTTGCTACCACCAAGACCACTACCACCACCAGCAGCTGATGAAATAGCATTAGAAGCACCAGATACTGCTGAACCAGCAGCTCCTAATCCTGCACCAACACCGGCAGCAGTACCAGCCAAAAGACCACCAACAAAGCCTGCAGTAATACCTGCAGCATTGCTTCCACTTCCGCTCTTCTTCTCTCCTGAAATTTCTTTAGTATTGACATCGCCTCCTACAACGTCCTTTGAACTAGGAACAGGGATGGCTCCAGATTTGTGACTATCATTGCTAATCCCTAAAAAAGAACTTTCAGTTGGTTTCACTGGCGGTTGATCCCATTGAAGTTTTTGCGCCAATCTATCAACTTCCAATTCTCTTTCTTGAATCAATCTCTTGACTTCTTCCAATTTAGGATCTTTAACTTGTTCGATAGCCAATCTAGCTTTTTCTTCTCTCAATTCACGGATCTTCTTCAAGTTTTCAACTTCTTCTTCCAATCTTTGTTTTTGCAAATTTTCAAAAGCCATTCTTTCTTCATACAATTTAAGTTTAGCTTCATGTTCCTCTTGCAACTTCTTGATTTGATCCAACTTGAGTTGAGCAGTTCTTTCAGCTTCTTCTCTCTCCAATTCAATAGCTTTTTCCTTTTCGGCCTTCAAATCTTCAATTTCCTTCAACAATCTGTCTTGCTCTTCCTTTTCTTTAAGCTTACGCTCGTTATAGATACGTTCGTCTTCAGCTCTTTCCTCTTCGAATTTCTTTTGATTGGCTTCTCTTTCAACAATAGCTTGTGAAACCTTGTACTCGACATCTTTCTTTCTTGCTTCAAGTGCTTCTGCTTCCTCCTTTTCAAGTCTGGCCTTTTCTTCTTCGGCTTCCTTTTCCTTTCTGGCTTTCTCTTCAGCTTCTTCCTTTTCCTTTCTTGCCTTTTCTTCGGCTTCTTCCTTTTCCTTTCTGGCTTGCTCTTCAGCTGCCTCTTTCTCTAATCTAGCCTTTTCTTCAGCTTCTTCTTTTTCTCTTCTTTCTCTTTCTTCGGCTTCTTTCTTGGCTTGTCTTTCTCTTTCTTCAGCCTCTTCTTGTTCTTGTCTTTCACGTTCTTCCTTCAATCTTTGTCTTTCCAATTCTTCCATATGCTTTCTGGTTTCATACTCTTCGGTTGCTTCCAATCTCTTACGTTCGTGTTCTCTGGCAGTTTGTTCGGCTAATTCACGTTTTTCTTGTAACCAAGAAGCATGAGTTTCTTTAGCTTCATTGAGTCTCTTGGCTCTGTCTTCTTTATCAGTATGTAAAGAAGCTAATTTGGCAGCATAAGCGGCAGCAGCACCAGATAAAACTCCAATTTCAGCCAGTAAAGCAGTATGTCTTTCGCGTTTATCGGAAAGATCTTTACGAACTGTAGTCAAATTGTTGTCCAATTCGTCCTTCTTTGACAAGTTAAGATCAATGGCATCTTGGTGAGTCTTGTGTTGTTCCTTCAATTCGTCCAACTTGGAAATCTCACCATTCAATTGGGCAGTCAATTGCTCAATCTTATCAGCCAATTCGGAATTTTTGTCATCCAATTCGGTTTTTTTATCTTTCAATTCTTCAATTTCTTGAGTAGCGGTTTCTTGGCCAGTCTTAGCATCTTCCAATTCTTGCTTTTTGGTAGCTAACAATTCTTCGTGATTCTTTACAAGATTTTCTTTATCAGTACCATGTTGTTCAACAGCCTTAGCTTCACGTTCCTCAAATTCTTTGTTGGCAGTTTCAATTTCACCTCTAGTGGTTTTCTCAAATTCAACTGCAGCACTGTCGGATCTTTGGATCAGGCCACCAATATTAGATAATTTGAGATCAATTTCTTTGTTGAACTTGTCCTTCTTTTTGCCAATCTTACCCAAGTACTTTTCAAATTCGGATTGTAATTTGTTTTCGTGCTTCTTGACTTTCTCGGAAATCTGTTGCTGTCTCTTGATTTCATCTTCTTGTCTACTTTTAGAAACAGAATCATTGATGTTGGTGATGACTGGTGCAACTCTCTTTGCAGCAATATCCAACAATTGTTGTTGGGTCATTCTCAAACCAGAACCCAATTCAACAACCTTGTTTGGATCTTCAATTTTATTGGCAATTGAACCAACACCAATGGCATTCAATTCAGTATAATGTCTCAAGATAGCTGGCTTATCCTTAAACTTGTCTAAAGTTTCTTTGTTTGGTAATTCAACTGGTTCATATTTAGTCTTAACCGGTTGGTCTACCAATTCAATTGGAGTTTCTTTAACCAATTGCTCGATGTTATCATCGTTACCATTAGCTTGAACTTCGCCATTGGTGGTTAAAACTTCCTTAGCTTCCCCATCGAGTTTTTCCTTTTCTTCAGTAGGAGCAGCAGTGGAAGAAGTACCTTCAATTGGGGCACCATCGGCAATAAGTTTTTCCTTGGCAGCTTCATCGAGGGTTTCTTGTTCTGCTTTGGCATCAGCTGAAGCATCTTCGTTACCATTTTCAGTGTAATCCTTTGGTTCATTTTCGTCTTTGAGCTGTTCATCTTCGATCTCTGCTTCCTTGGCTTCGTTATCAAGTTTTTCTTCTTCTTCTGTAGCAGCAGCATCTGTTGAAGTAGTAGTAGCAGCAGCAGCTTTTTCTTGCTCTTTCTTCTTTTTGGCCTCGGCTTCCAAAGTTGGGTGGTAAGAATATTTAACTGGGACTTTGATATTGTCAATTTTGTTTGATTCTCTGAATTGTTTGTATAAATTGACTTTTTTCTTTGCTTTTGGATCATTTTCATCCGGTTGGGTTCTAAATGGAGATACCCAACTACTTCCAGATGCCAATTTTTTTAACATATTCTTGGATTCGGGTTTGGTAGGTTCTTTAACTTCAGACATTTTGGATAATAGTTTCTTTTCTTCAAATATTACAATGCTGATAGTTTCAATTGGTCAAGAATATGAAAAAAAAAGTGGTCCTAAAATGTTGTAATAAATTAAAATAGCAAACTTGAAATTAAAGAAGAGAAAAAGTTTTTGGTTGTCGAGTTTTTTTTTGTCTACTGTATTGCATAATTCATACAAGAAAAAAGAAAGGGGGTGTGCGTGGAAGTGTTGCCGAAAAACCAAACAGAGAAGAAGAAGAAGAAAAGCAAAAAGATAAAAAAAATTACAAAATTGTATGAAATTGATTGCAAGGCTAAAGCAATTGTACAACAGAGATAAATATTTTTGTCTCTATAGTTGATTACAAGGAATTATGATAGAGATTGTCTGACTATATATATTTCAGTAATACTACTACGTCACAAATATGATACCAATATCGTTGATAATTTGTGGTGTGGTAATGATGATGTGTGTAGTTTATGGACAATTCAGTGTTTTTTTTTTCTTTTTATCTAATTTTTAGTAAATTTCATTTTATTGTTTTGGTTTTGTCTTCTTTTTTTTTTTTGTTTGATAATTTCTACTTTCAATAGAAGATGAGTAGTAACCCGCGAGCTAGGCCGTGTATGCGGTGGTGGTGGTGGTGGGGAACGTGGACAAAAGTATTTTGCAATAATTATCCACAACTTTTATCAATTTTTTGTTTATTTCAACATTTGCATGGATGGCTCGGGATTTGCTAAACATAATTATCATCATCGAGTTTTAAACAACATAACCAACACATAAATATAGAGCCTACTTGATATACTTGAATTAGATTATACTTCTGATGACATGGGTTCTTTGTTTATACTTTTAATTGATAGTATAATTGATCACTTATAATTTGTTAACTACCCCATAATTGTGAAGTGTTACATATTCTTGATAATAAAATATTATCTTAGATGATCGTCTGATTATCCTGTACTACAGGTGGTTCCTATGGGTATTCTATTATAACTCACAAACTCTCTAATAACTTTGTCCTCCTTTTATTCTATTTCTAGAATTCTCGTTCAATTTATTGTGTTGTACAAAAATCTCAAAGGGGTAAAAAGACAAAAACGTCACGTGCAAATTCGCCGCATGTACCTGTCAATAGTTAGTAGAGTATGTAAAACTTAAGTTGTTGTGTTTTTGATTTCACTTTTATTGGTTGTAACATAAACATGTCATTGTAAGATGATTTGTAGTTTTTGTTATCTTGTTATCATTGGTTGGTGAACACTCGTGGTCCCCCTTTTTTTTTATAGATTTTTACATAATATTTGGTACAAATTTCAAACGAAATTAATTAGGTTTGATTACATTAATGATCCAATCCATACTCATCTCTAATCACAACCCCACTATGATTGTTGTTTAAGCTATTTATTCAATTCAAGATACCGTATCATATGTAAACTTTCGATTTTCCTATTGTGGAAATTCGGTCTGGCTTTCATTTTTTTTTTATCTCTCTTTGCTTTGTGAGCCACAAGATTCAAATGTTCTCAGAGGATCTGGGTCATGACAACTCTGATTATTCTCCACAATATTGATTTAATTTATGAATGACTTTTGAAATTTTGTGAAAACTAGACCTACAAATGGAGGGGTGGGATATCATGTCATTAAGAAATTCACGCTTGAAAGTTACAATTATGGTGGGGGAGGGATCTGTGGAAGATGATGATGATGAAGAAGAAAAAAGACGTGCAGCGTATATGAGAAATATTCATACGGCAAATGAAACTGAAATTTGCGGCTCTCAGAGTTACAAATATTTGATAAGAAGATTCATGAGTGTACAATTCAACTTTAATTGGTTCGTTCATTTGAATATAGGGGAAATTGAACGCCTCCTGATTTAACTCTTTCTCAATTTAGATTATCTGTAATTTTTAGTACTTTGGTTTTACGACAATAGCCAACTACAGTACATATATTATCTGGTATTGTCTCCCCACTATTCTCACTTTTGAAGGAACCTGTAGCCCTTACATCCAGACCCAGTGTACAAAAACTATGATAACAAGCAATACCAACACACTTCCGGTTTTCTATCTAAATAATTTATTTTAATTGCATTACCCAACAAGAGTGTTTCTGTGTATTATGAACAAGGATAAATAACCAGTAGAATAGGTTCCTTTTTTTTTAGTTTTTAGTTTTTAATTTTTAATTTTTAGTTCTTACAATAGATCTGAACATGAATAAAATCTTTCTTTGGTTTTTCTCTCTTTTTTTCTTTTTCTCTCAGTTTCAATTTAGTCAATTACGAGGAAATATTATTTCCCATTTTATTTACACAATTCACCATAGCGGATATAGTACCATTATACTTTCAATTGTCCTTTATCATTGCTCTACTTGTTATCCAATACACTTGAACTAGAATTTCAGCATCTCTTAAATTTTTGTTCCTTTGTTATTTTCAATATTTTAATTTTATTTATTACTCGCCTCTACGTAAAGACATCCAAGTCAAAAAAAAAAAAAATACAGAGAAAAAAGGACTTTCTCACTTTACAGAAACAAACCCAAAAAAAAAATCCTTTCAATTCCATTTCTATCCACCAAATTTTTACCACAACTTAAAACCAACAATTTTTACCACCATCATAATCTGTCGTCGAATTTAATTGTTTCATGAGGGAATAGAAAACAACACTTTTTATTTAATAAAAAAAAAGCTATCAACAAATAACGGAAGAAATAGAAAGAAAACCAAAAACAAGAAAACATGGCGACATTAATACCAACCGCAAGTGCGTGTTATAGCTTACAACTACCTCCAACTGAAAAAGACGATCGATTAAACTTGAATGTCAGAACTGGTTCTGCATCGACTTTATATAATTCTATGGTTTTCACACATGGTGGTTTGACCATTGGTCTTGAAATTCTTCACCAGACTATTCAGGAGATCAATGAAATCTTTTACAACAGAGTCAATATATCAAACTCAAAATTTAAAAGTTACGACAAGTATTTATCAGGAGAATTATTCTATTTAAATTTAATTGAAAGAAGCTGGTCTCGTGCAATTATTGACGAAAATTCTCCCCGTCCAAAACCACGATTGTTTCACCAGATTTGCTCTCTACATAACTGTATCTACTTGTTTGGAGGGTTGGGTCTCCCAGATCATGCTCTCAATGAAGGAGATCAGCAACAACCACAGTCGAACATCAGCCTTGTGCCACTTAATGACTTGTGGGAATTTGATTTAGAAGCCATGAAATGGACATTGTTGGATGATGGATCAAATTTTGAACAAGACGATGCTGTCCCAGTACCTCGATTTAACCATAAGATGACTGTCATTTCTAGTTTATCATTTGTGAACAAAAAAGATCATTTTGGTATATTCATAGCGGGAGGCAAAGATAAAAATTCAGAACCTATATATGACAACGTCTTGTTTGATTTAGTGGAGAAAAGGTATGTTGGGTCACAGCCATTTCCTCTCGTGGCATCAACTGGCAATAAGCAAAAAGATGAAGAATCGGGATTAAGTGCATTTATAGCAAATGATCAACACTATTTAAACATCGATAACAATACCAGTTCCATTGTCAACTTTGTTGAAGAATTCGAAGCTCAAAAACCATTACAAGACAAGAATGTACCTGCAACTCCTGGTAAGCGTATGGAATCAATAATAGTATACGATAGTACAAAATATGACCTACAAAAGGGCCATAATCCATTACTTTCTTTTAAGGTTGGGAGGAAACGCATAAAGCATGGAAAGCCTTTAATGCTTCACCGATCTGACGCGTCACAGAAACGAGCTTCCGTTATCCCATATAATTTATCTTATCCAACTGGTGGTTTATTCGGTCAAAACATAGTCATCACAGGATTTTTACCTGACGAATATGATATATCAATTTTTGTTTATAACAAACCTACTGGTAAATGGTCAAGATTAAACATCTATTGTAACCACGACTATGGTAGTCATAGATTTTGGGGTGGTTTTGCATGGCAATCGCATCATAAGGTTGTTTTAATTGGTAATAATTTAACATCGAAAACGACAAGTTGTGTACGATTTTTCACTGTAATGTTGACTGTTAGTTTGCCAATCACAAATCTTTTAGTGAGTTCAGAGTTGTCGACTAGTCGTTATCATCACGACAGAGATGGGAATATAGTATACCATGGTGATCTGTACATTAAAGAAAATCATTCTAATCTGGATATCCCATCACGAAACAATACCACTTCACCAAGTTCAAGCAACCGTGAGGATCTGACAGACAGTGGAAGCGATCATACACCAGAAGTTATCCCCAAACAAGCACCAACAATTAGAAACGATGATGCATCGATAGTGACAGGAAGTAGGGCAAGAAAGAAATCAATGACTTCATTTTCTAGTGATCAGTCCCCCACGGCAGTAAGCTTTAGTGAATATGTTCATTACGCAGCACCAAAGACTACATACACAACAATAAGATCCGTTTTCCCACCTGAAGCTGTAACGTTGGGAAGAAATGCATTTGATAGATATGGTGACTTATTGTCAGATTTTGAGATGGTGTCTTGTAATGGTGATAGAATTCCTGTGTCGTCTGCCGTTTTGATGGAAAGATGGGGAAGATTTTTCATTCAGTTGTTAGCGAGAGGGTATGTTAATGCCGTTGATAAGTTTGAAAATGACCAAGCATTGGGTTTACACGATGGTCAAAGATTAAGATCCAAGACCAGTCAATCAAATTCATCTGGATCTGGAGATATGCCACAACTTAAATTGTCATTAAGCGAGTCATCCTCACCACCATCCGATGATCAGGATCCGAAGAAAGAGGAAGTTCGCGTGAGTGCTGAAAACAAATCAATTAAAGATGTGCCTCAATTTAGATTGCCATTTCAGAACTATTCCAGCTCAACAGCGGAAAGTGACGAATGTCCGAAAGAAAGAGGACTTGGGACTTCAATTTCCTCAGCTGTCGACCCACATCAAGTACTTCCTAGAAAAGCTTCAGTAAGTTCTTCACAATCAAATGCCAGTTCATTATTGACATCTCATTTGCAGGATATTCCACCACAATTGCCATTACCTGAAGAGCAGATTCCAAACGTACCTGCGGCTCCAGCATCTTACAGAAGTACATCAAGAAAGAACTCTCAAGACCCAAGTTCACCAAGATCGTCATTGATTCATACTTTGACAGCGTTAAGAAACATCCCAATTTCGAGATCACCAAGGGACTCTCCATTTTCGTCTCCACGTCCTTCAATATCTGGTCCTGGAGGCAATGGTGGTAGTGGTAATGGAATCACTGGTATGGGTGGAAATAATAGTGGAGACTTATTCAGTGCACCATTTCCTAATTTGAAGCCAAACTTTGGAAAGCCTCCAACAGGGCATTCTCCACCTTCTAATACCGGTGGTATCGGTCCTTCATCATTTGGAAAGAAACCATTTGAAATCATGGACCGAAGTTCTGAAGAAAAATTTGATTCATTTTCGTCTGGCGCATCTTCGTTTACTAGGCTAAGTAGCACTGCGGAAGAGCAGGACAATAGATTTTCAGACGATGGTTCAGTGAGCCCACCAGAGTTCAATAAGAAGCGAGATGGTTTGTTTGATAATGTATTGTTGAATTTTGACAATATTGATAATGAAACATTTAAAATGGAACCTTCTTTGGTTCCAAGAAAGCTATATATACCCTTCACTACAGTCACAGTCAAGGCATTCTGTGAATACTTGTACACCGGTCAGATTGGTAATAAGTGGTTATTAGCTCCAACATTAATGGACAATCTTTTGATTTCAAAGTTTTTTAGAGTTCCATTACTTTACGATTTAATAAGTGAAATTCTATTCGGGGTGATTGGAAGGAAAGAAGCATATATAATCAGCGAGGCACGTAAATTAAAAACTCGCTACTTTGCTTTACTACTGGAAGCTAATATCTCTGTTGCCAATGATTATGTTTTCCCATTGGATGAATACGAAGGATTTTTGGACAGTGTTGATGATGGTTATCTTGATATCACGTTATTGAAGAAAACATCTAAGAATCATGCAGATAGTGTTGCATTGTCGTGGAAGAAAAAATCTGTAACCAGTCAACACTCCCATAAGCCATTGGAGAAACAAGAAAAAGATGATGGTGAGGATGATGGTACAAAGACAAGTTCCACTAGTGAAGAAGACGAAGTTGATAAAGAATATGCATTGCATTACTTGGAAGCTCGTGATAATCCATTACCATCAGTTGGGCCAAGATCTAAATCAGTGTTTGATAGACATGCGTTTAGTGGTATCAATGAAGATTTAGATACCGACAAACAACCTGAAGAAGAAGACAATTTAGATGCCTCTATTACCATTGAAGAGTTAGTAGCTCCTGACTCTCCCGTGCCTTCAGACTATGTGATTGATTTAATTTTTGAAACCGCTACATTGGTTACAGATATGAAATTATTGCTTAGAGCTTCAAATTTAAAGGCCATGACTACAAAGTTCAATAAGAGTAAGCTTGAAACCGAGGCAGCTATGGCACAAATTGCCTACCAAGCTGCACAAATGCCACATAAACAGTCGAACAGTACAAAGGAAGTACAATTGCCAAATATTGATACTGCTTCGGTTCACCAGCCAGTTTCACCATTGCCACCATCAACTCCAACTGTTCAATCACCCAAGGGTACAATTACAAAAGCAATGGCAGCTTCACCGGTTTCTAAACAATCAACAGAGCCAGTGCAACAGCCAGGTCTATCTCGAAGTTCTAGTATCACCAATAGGAGTACTCCAACAAGGCCTCCATTATCGTCACAAAACAGTTCAATCAAAGAAGACTCGCCTGTTCCTCCATCATCATCAACCATATCATTAAACACTACTAAAAGCGCATCTTCACTTTCAAGAATTGCGTCACATACTAGTTTAAGAGCACTTTCATCTACATTGCCATTCCTGTCATCAAACAATAACAGTAATAACAACGATCATAACAGTGGTATTCATACTAAAAGAGTTGAAAGGGCTGCTACTGAAGGTCCATACAATGACAGACAAATGGGAACAGACGGAATTTCGAAAACAAGATCACATAATTTGGTATCAAGGATACCCACTGGATCATCAACTGTTCATAAGCCATCCGAAAAATTGCAAAGTTCGGCTTCATCAATCAAATCATCGACAAAAAAACATGGCTTCTTCCATTTAGGAAGTAGTCATAAAAAGAAAGAAAGCCCTAGCTCGATTGGTAGTGGTGGTGGCGCCGATGATGCTGTGTCTATTTTCTCAGCTGCTCCTAAATTAGAAAGAACAAATGGAGGAAATAGTGATAATATTAGTATTAATTCCGATTCAAGTAGTAAAACTACAGCAACTGCAACTTTACGAAAGAAATTTGGTTTGTTGAGTAGCTTTAAAAGGTGACTGTGACATGACATAAGAAAAAAAAAAGTACCAATATTCATTTGTATTCGTGTATCAAAATTGACAATTTATATATTATTATTTTGAAAATACCAATGTAGAATAAAGTTTGTTTGCCATTTGACGTGGTAAACTGTAGTTTTACATCATGGTGTCGGAATCAATTACTTTGTTGGGCTGCTTATTAATTCATAACCTGTTTGTGCTACAAATGTTTTATTTTCCACTCTCTAATCAATTGTGTGGCTCTAAATTTGACGCATAAGGACAGAAAATTTCGTTAAGCTTCGTCCAGCAATTTTATTCATTTTTGCTTCAACTATATATTAATCAACAGTTTCCCATTCATTTCTGTTATATATATATTTTACTCTTTTTCTTTATTTTTTTTTGTTATTTTTTCTAATTTCATTTCAACAATTCAAATCAGTTTTATCACAACAATGCCAGCTCAATTGAAAGTTAACCAAGATACACTTACCTTGAACACCGGTGCTAAAATCCCAGCCGTTGGTTTGGGTACTTGGCAATCAGCCCCGGATGATGTTTACAACGCCACTTTGACAGCTTTGAAAAATGGTTACAGACACATTGATACTGCTGCTATTTATGGTAATGAAGAAGATGTTGGTAGAGGTATTAAAGACTCCGGTGTTCCAAGAGAAGAAATCTTTGTCACTACCAAATTATGGAATACTGAGCATAAAAATGTTCAACAAGCATTGGATATTTCTTTGAAAAAATTGGGATTGGATTATGTTGATTTATATTTGATCCATTGGCCTGTTTCTACTGACAAGGCTACCAATGCTCCTTATCCAGATTATGATTTTGTTGATGCTTATAAAGAATTGCAAAAAATTTACAAAACTACTAATAAAGTCAAAGCAATTGGTGTTTCCAACTTTACCGTTAAGAAATTGGAAAAATTGTTGACTTCTGAAGGTGTTGATGTTGTTCCAGCCACTAACCAAGTTGAAGCTCATCCATTGTTGACTCAACCAGACTTGTACAACTATTTGCAAGAAAAAGGTATTGTTTTGGAAGCTTATTCTCCATTGGGTTCAACTGGTTCCCCATTATTCAAATATAAAGATGTTCAAGCAATTGCTGAAAAGAATCAAGTTGAACCAGCACAAGTTTTGATTTCTTGGGCTGTTCAAAGAAAAACTGTTGTTTTACCTAAATCAGTTACTGATGCAAGAATCATTTCAAATTTGAAAACTTTTGTTTTATCAGATGAAGATTTCGAAACTTTGAATAAGATTTCTTTAACTGAAGGTGAAGTTAGAACTTGTGACCCACCATTCAACAATTTCAAAGATTAGATTAAAGGTTGATTTTGTTTAGAAATTACAATAGACTTTTTATTTAGAAGTATACAAGAGTTGAATAACTCGTACAGTTTGTCACAGGATTGATTTTAATGCACGACTTTTTTTTTTTTTTTTGTAACCATACAGCTGTTTTTTTTTTCTTTTCTTTCATGAGAGATTGATTTCCAATTTTTTTTTATGACATTTGTCTCTCTCTCCTTTGTAAATCTTGACAACACTCAGTAAACTATATAACCACCTTTTAATATTCAATCATGTCACACAATTGGAATTCAACAAATAACGTGACACCAGATGTTGATGATTTTATTATTGCAGATGATGATAATACAGGTAATACTAGGTCACTGAATGCCAACAACACTTCCTCAACATCACCATTTTCAGCATTCAATTTTGTTCCTAAAGTTGATTTATCTACAGCATTTGGACCATTTTCCGGGTTTGCTGGAGGTAGCGGTGATTCTGCATTACCATCCAATGTCAAAATAAAAGAAAGACAATATACTGGTGGTGATACATTAGATGAACCAGTTTGGGAAACACTAAAGAGAGATTTATTACAAATTGGGAAAAGATTAGCTATTGTTGTATGGCCAATGCAATTGGCAAATTTAGCTAAACAACAACAATCGAGGTTTTTAACTTTTGCACAATCTAATGGAATTAGTATTCCTGAATCTTTAGGTAATGTGATGTCTGTAAACCAGGGAGAGGAAGAGGAGGAAGAAACAGGAATTTCAAGTAATCAATTGATTAATCAAGATAATTTGGATTGGGATCTTTGGGGACCACTTATATTCTCCTTGGTTTTTTCGATTGTATTGGCGTTTACAAACAAAAAACAAACTACTGAAGTATTTAGTGGCTCATTTGCATTCATTTGGATTTTTTATTTTGTCATTGGATTAAACGTTCAATTATTAGGGGGTACTATTTCATTTTTGTCAGCTATTAGCGCTATCGGTTATTCAATGTTCCCAATTGTTGTTGGGGAGTTGATAAGTACGTTGGTAATTAAATGGAGATGGTTGAGAATTATAGTCATGATCGTGTTGGATGCTTGGAGTATATTTGCTGGTGTAATGAGTGTAAAATGTTCGGGTGTATTTCCAGGTAGAGTTTTGTTGGCCATGTATCCGGTTGCTCTTTTCTACTCAGTCCTTAGTTGGTTAGTTATTATCTCATAGGTTAAATAGACAAGGTAAATAGACATGTTAGCAAAAGAAACTGATCCAAAAATAAACTTTATCGTATTTACTTACCAATACATGTCTAACCATTGCAACATGTGGATTTTCAAAAAAATGTGAGATTTTCCTCATTTGGCATAGTTGGAATTCGAAAGCTCTGGACACATTTCAAAGAAATGTCGAGTGTTCGAAACCTATGCTTATATGCTACGAAGTTTTTTAATTTCACTATGATGATTAAAATGGATGCGTGAACAATCTCTGAACGTGAGTATCGAACGATATTCACATGGATTACAAAACCCTGCCTTCCTACTGACACTTCAAATTAAAAAACCTGTTTTTGACCGTTTATATTCAATTTTGTTTTTTTTTATCCAAAACTGAATATATATACGTATTATTTAACAATTGTGAATGTAAAAGGATAGTAATACTACTACTACTAATAATAATAATAATAAACATCTATTATATAATATTTTGCACTAAACAATAAATCAGAAATCAAAGATAATCAAGGAGGTGCTAACTCTTTTGTCTTCTTTTCTTTCTTTCTAATCTGGCGATTTCTTTCAAATCATCTTCACTAGGCTCATAGATATGCCAGATAGTATAATGAGGTAACCCACCAACTTTGAATCCCATTTTTTTAGCCATCTTACCAAAAGCTTCAGTTTCAGCATGGTTTAAGAATGTAAATGCTGGAAAATGAACCCCTTGTCGGAAAATCCTGGCTCTCGCAAGAATTGAAACACCACCAACACCATCTAAATCAAGAACTTCTCGAGGATCACCATTTGCATCTCGAATATAAGCTAAATGTGCTCTCCACGTTGGATACTCAGCATAACCTTCAACAATGACATCATCTTCGTCTAAAGATTTGGCCAATTCAAGACCAGCATCGGATTCAATCCAGGAATTCAAATCGTATGGTTGTTCGTTTCCTAAAAATGTAGGTAATGGTCTCCACACATTAGGTACCATAACATCATAATCGTGCAGCATCAATTCTTCGATAACATTACCAGGACAAGTTTCTATATCGGCATCTCTCCAATACACCCAGGAATGATAAGGTTTTAAAGCAGATGAGGTTAACCAATTTCTTGCTCTGCCCATCAATTTTCTACGGATACCTTGAACTTTAACAGCATGTCTATCACTGAAACCTTGTCCAATAACTTGACCAAAATCTTTTTTGAAAATTGTGACGGATCTAAATGGAGTTCTGTAATTTGGATGATGTGATTCTGGGTTACTGTATGCCTTTTTAACACCTTCTATGTATGAAGGTTCCATATAGGATTGATATAAATCATTGGTACCTTTTACATTAGCCCCAGATTTGGATTCTTCCTCTTTTTTCAACAAGTCAACCAAAGTTCCATTCTGTAAGGCAACGGAATATTCAAACACAGTTTCCAAAGTAGTATCATCTGGAGAACAGTCAGATACTAAGAATGCAATATCAATTAAACTATGATCATAAGTAAGATTCATAAGATTGTAGAATGCCATTGGTAAGACATGTTCGGCATTTCTCAAAGGCATAAGGAACAACAAAATATCTCCATTTTTGGCCCCTTCTCGTGATCCTTGGTAGTCATTCAAGTCATAAATATCAACGTTTCCTTTATAAAGGTCTTCTCTAGTAACTTCTGGTAATTCTTCTTCTTCGTTCTCAACATCTCCGTTGGTGTCTTGTTTGTATACACCATCCTTGGTAACCTTGTATACTTCATGATCATTGTTATCATCAAGGTCTTCTAGATCTTGACCAGATGACGGTAATCGACTGTCATCATCACTGGAAAACAACCGATTAAAGATGCTATAAGTGATCAATATGAATATCACCGAATAGAACACTCGTTTGATCAATATACGCTTGGAATGTTTCCTAGGCGTAAGCTTATTGAATCTAAAAAAAAAAAAAGATGAATGTTAGTATGCTGTCCTTTCGAGAACTATATGAATTCATCCATTTTCAAAATACATACATTGGTAAATCGGAATTCTTCGGTTTTTCACTATACATATCAGGTAGAATATGACTTTTTTTTTTGTCAAATAAAAAAGACTATGAATTGTATCAGACAACAATGCAAGAAGGTGAAAATAATAATTTACCACTAATTCACCTAATTCTTCTATCTCCAAATAGGACTCTTTACTAGGATTCTTTTCTTCCTTTTAAAACAGTAAATAAATGAGAATACAGAATGTTCGATCTAACTTTAAAAGTGAATAAGTATCAATGTATTTTTTTTTCTTTGATTCGTTATTTACTTGGTGTTGTATATTTTTTTTTTCGTTGTTCCCTGGTAGAAGGAAAGCTTTTTTTTTTGTCTTTGCTGTTTTTCCATCCATTATACAGAAAATGAACAATCAATTTTTTTTTTGTCTTCCTTTCCCGCTCGCCGTAGCAATGTTTTTTTTTTTTTTTTCATTATTTCATCACGTTTCGTGTTTCATATATTTTACGCGTTCTGCATTTCACCTGATAAATGACTCCTATATAAGAAATCTAATAATAATACTCTCTCCTATATCCTAAGGTCTTACTTCTTGTAAATTGTATTGTTCCGGTTTAAACCAGTGTTCTTTTAATGTGTCCCAACATTTGACAGCAATATCAACTGCACTATTCTCGTTCTTAACTGATTTTCCTTCAACATAAAGTTTCAATTTAGGTTCAGTACCCGATCCTCTACATGTAAATCTAACAACAGCATCTTTATCATCTGGTAATCTAAATTCAGCTGTAATCATTTGAGAACTAGAATCAACTGGAAGAATAGGAATGTGATCTTTGGTGGTAGATTCATATCCAACTGTCAAATCTCTCCATGCAGTAACCTCAAATTCACCTACTTTCTCAGGATAATCTCCATTGAAAGAACCTCTAATGTTGGTAAAGATTTTACCTAATGTGGACATATCACTGAGTCTATAATAACCATTATAGTCTTTGAACCAACCATATTTGGCATAGCCTTCTTGTAACTTATCAGTGACATCTACTGTTCCATCACTGAACCATTTTTGGTATAATTGTAAGAAAATAACAGCAGCAGAAACACCATCTTTATCATGAACCAAATCAAACATAAATCCAATTGCTTCTTCGTATCCGAATGGAACATTGTAGCCTTCTTTTTGTAAATCAATAGCTTTGTTTCCAATCCACTTGAACCCAGTTAAGGTATCTTGGAAATGGAACCCATCTTTTTCAGCCATTGCTTTCAATATTTGTGATGAGACAGTAGAATTAACTAAATATACATTACCCAATGTCTTTTGTTGTTCAATAATATACATGGCAAATAAAAATCCAATCTCATTACCAGTCAATTGTTTCCATTGGCCTTTTGTTGCAACGGCAACACTGAATCTATCAGCATCTGGATCATTGGCTATAACCAATTTATATCCTGATTCTTTGGCAGTTTTTATTGCCAAATCAAGTGCACCTTTTTCTTCGGGGTTAGGGAAACTAACCGATGGAAATGCCGGATCGGGGAGCGCCTGCTCAGTTACGGCTTTCCACTGAGAACTATGGAATAACCCAATCACTTTTTCAAAAATTTCTAATCCAACCCCATGCATTGGAGTATATACAAAATTGAAATCTAAATTATTATTCTTGATTAGTTTATCATGGACCCCTTTAAGGTATTCTTGGATAACCTCATCTCTAACTAAAACCAACAAGCCATCTTTAACTGCTTGGTTAATGTTCTTGTAAACGTCCCAAACGCCATCCCATGGAACTAAATTATTATCAATAGAGTCGGCAATTTCTTTATCAACAGGAGGAATGATCTGACAGCCATTCAGGTAATACACTTTGTAACCATTATCGTTAGCTGGGTTATGAGATGCAGTAATCATAACACCACCAGTTGCACCGAAATGATCAATTGCAAATGGAACCAACGGAGTGTGAACATATCCCCTGTCAGCAGCATCATTGTTCTTAATATCACCTTTAGTTAACTTTAATGTTTCCTTTGAAAAGTTTTCAACTGATCCCAAATAATAAACTTTCACATTCTGAGTAATGGCGACACTAGCCAAGATTTCAGCAAATCTTTGAGAATTGTATCTATGGTCATATCCTATAACAATTGAAGTTGGTTTTGCATTGAGTAAATACTTGATTAAACCTTGTGATGCTTGTAAAACAGTGACGTCGTTCATGTGTGAAAACCCTGATTCCATGGATGATCTCAATCCGGCAGTGCCAAATGCTATTCTTTGGGATAATTTTTTATCCAATTTTTCGTATTGCTGAGATTGTTGTAATTGTTGAATTTCTTCTCTTGATTCTGGATTAATATCTACTGACAACCAAGATTCGACAAGTTTGTCGATTTCATTGTGGTTAATAGAAGACATGGTTTATAAGGCTGCAGCTAGTGGTGGTGTAGATGACGTAGCGCTAGAAAAAAAAAATAATGAATAGAAAATGCCATCAGCTATAATTTTTTTTCGGGTTGTAAATTTTTTTAATGCTTTACTGCGAACTCCAAACGATGAGAATTAGGGTTGCCAAAAAAAAAAAAAAACTAGTATTACATTGTATAGTAAACTATTTACTTATTTCACTATATACCAATGAGTTCTTCTTCAAGTCTACTGTGAAAACTTCAATTGGGTTATTATCAAGTATATCAGAAACTGTGGTACATAATTCAATATGTGTTGGATTGAATGAAGCATCCAAATTTTCAGGTTCACCTTGTGACCAAGATTTGGTTTTTTTGGTATATCTGGAAATAGTGTACATTTTCTTAGTAAAAGTCAAAAGGGCACTTGTTGTTGGATCAATGATAAAATTAAGTACTGTATCATTGAAATCGAGTTTGTGAGCTTCTGTTCCTTTTCTTAAATCAAAAATTTGTATCAAACTTGTAGACTTTTCGACAGACAACACAAGTAACCAGTACCCATTGCTAGCAAATTCAATTTTGACGACGTTATTGTAACCAACACTAAATTTACCTAATTGATCGCCAGATATTATACTAAATAATTGGATTTCACTATCAACTTGTGCAGCCAAAATTTCTCCGTCATAATGAAGTGCTGCTGATGATAAGACGATGTTGTGTGTGACTAATGCACACTTTGTGTTTACAACCATCCAATTTTTATCTGTAATAATAATGAAAATGTCTAGCGACAGATGGGGTATTATTTGCTTAGGTTCACCTGTCAATGGAATGGAACTTTCAGTAGTAGAAAATGTTACAATGTTTGAAGAAACAGCTGCAATAACACCGTTGTTGGATATAGCCGCTAATTCAGGTTTGGCAGTTTCAAAATATGAAGTCACTCCATCAATGAAACTTTGCTTGATTATCGAATTTTCACATACCCCCACAATAGTCTTGATGTTTTTATTGTATGAATATTGTGAAACTTTTTCAGACTCAAATACATCCTTTTTATTAGTCAACTCTAATTTAACAACGGTATCCACATCAAATGGAAACTTGACTTTTTGTGATTTATGTACTTTGAAAAGTTCATCCCTAGCATTGGTAATTTTTTCCAACTCTTGCATCTTATTCACCAGATTGTCTTCTTTGCTATCTTCAATTACATCATTCATTGGTTCATCTCTCACGCTTAATGACAGGGTTAGCATTTCCAATGCTTCTTTTGCTTCATCGCGTTCTCTTATTGCCTTGGCAGCTACATTAATAGCAGCATCTTGTTTATACAAGGCGATACTAAGTTCTTCTCTGGCACGATTTAATTGTTTTCTTAATGTGAACATTTCTAATACTAAGGCATCCCATTCATTCTGAAATGTAGAAAGTAATGCAGGAATAGATGTGTTTGATGAAGTAGGAAGTTGTGGTGGGGCAATGGTGCTCGAGTTTTCTGTTGTTTTTATTGTAATTAGTTCATCTTCTGTCAATGGTTCATCAGTTATGGGATCGGTTCCACTTGTTGATATGTAATTAATTATATGTTTCTTTTCAAATATAGCCCCACTCTTTGGGGAAACAACTGGTTCTTTAACCGGTTCTCCTGATATTGAACAAATCATTTGGTTTGATGACTTATCGAGATGTCTAGTATAATTGAAATTTTTTGTTTTCTTCTTCTTTTTTTTTGTCTGCGAGATTTTTATTTTTTTTTTTTTCTGGCTTGTGGTTTTCTGAGTTTTACAAAGTGATTCAAAACTATGAAAATCTGTCCTAATATTTAAAAAAAACAACAACTAAAATCAAACATAACCTATCTAACTAATAATTAAAGAAGAAAAAAAAATGCAATATATAAAATCTATGTATAAGATTAATCAACGTACTCAAGAATTGAAAGTGTGTATACGGGTTTGTGTTAACGAAAGTTTGATTATTCACTATCAGACATCTCCTTCTCATGGTGTTCATGTTCATGGTCATCGTCATGATGTTCTTCTTCATGTCTAATGGTTCTGTAATGTTTTCTGTGGCCAAATAATCCACAACAATGACCCAATAAGTTGAAGAACACAACTAACATTGAAGCAACTGCAGCAGACCAAATGAATGCGTTGAAATTCACAGATAAGAAAGATTTGACACCATAAATATCAGTGTTGTCATTAACTTGACTTCTAACATATTGATAAGTACCTGTTGCAATACCAGCACCGACAATTGCAAGCAAACAAATAATACTTTGGAACAAAAAGTTCAAGAATGATAAGCAGCATTTTTCTGGAGAGAAACAGAAGGCAAATAATTGAATAATAACAGAAATTAATGACAAAATTGCAACGGAGAATAATAAACCAAATGAAGCACTAGTCAAATTGTGCAAAGTGTTTAAGTTTTTATCAAGATTACCTGGTAAATTCAAATCATCTTGTTGTAAGCTGTCAATCAAAACTTGTAATTCACTTCTTTGAGTGTATGATAATTCACTGATATATGTTGATTGAGCATCAATACCAACCCCCTTGACGGTTTTCTTCATTTCATCCAAAAATACAGTAAGTGGATTAAAGAAAAAGTTGACTTTGGCTTTGGAACACCAAGTGTAAACAACATGATCATTGTCAAAAACTTTGTTGTTGTCTCCTGATTGAACAACATACCCACGGCAGTAACCCCAGTATCCAATGGAATAAACTTGAGCCATACCTAATTGTTGAGGACTAACATCACCTAACAAATCACGGACAGCCTGGGCAACAGTGGTGTAATAACCACCTGATGTAGAGCTACCATCAGTAGCTTGGCTAGCAAGAGTTGTTTCACCAGATTGACCAACGTTGGTTGCAGTAGCAGGGAGATCGCTTTCACCAGAAACAGCAGCAGTTCCAGAAGCTTGATTCCACCATTTGGAGACAGAAGTGGCAGTTTGGTGAGAAGTAGCAGCAGATGTAGCACTTGATACAGAAGCAGATTGGGAATCACCTGCACTTTGTGTAGTTTGAGAACCTGGAAGATAATACCAACCGGATTCTTGTGCCTCTCTCTTTGATGGAGCACTTGGAGATCTCTTTTTGGTTTTATCAAAGTAGTTAACTGGGGTACTTATTTCTTGGAGTTCTCTTTTAGTTAATTTGGAGTAGTCTATTACTGCACCTAAATTCAAATTATCAAGATGGAAATTTATAAGGTAGGTGTCAGTAAGGTAATTTTGATTTTTGTAGGAACCGGTAATTGCAAACAATTGTAAGATTGCAACAATAAGTGATAATATAATCAATATCACTCTGAATATTTTGAAAATCATGGTATATCTATAAGTACGGTAGGGTTTGCGAGTGACTTTTGATTAAATTGAAAATATAATAAGTAGCTGATTAGAAAGAATAAAAGAAATATATAAATTCCTTTTTGGAATTGATGGAAATTTAGTAGTATTTATACTTTAAATATATATAGGGGATGGTATTTTAAATGTATAGATCAGACGAAATCAATCTAACCAATTCCAACCCCATGTGCAATCTAAGATTCATAATAATAATTAAAAAAAAGGAGAAATTCTCTTTTATTATTTTTGATTTAGTGTAGTAGATCATTCAATTTTTAATTCCATTCTTATTCTAACAAAGTTTAAAAAATAATACAATATTATTTATGTGGTATGGTGAGGGTTCAACTTGGAATTGCTGGTGATAAGTAATAAATTTTAGAAAACATAATTGTTTTGCATACACTTCTGAGAATGTTAAATTAAAGCAAAAAAAAAAAGATGGCTTGCTTGTTGCAAAGTGCGCTAATAACAACCGAAATAATAAAACACAAAATCATAAATTCGCTTCACATACACGACTAAGTTACGATGTAACCAGCCCCCCCTGGAGTCGTAATCTCAGGAACTAAAACCAAAGAAAAAAAAGAAAAATAAAAGAATCAGACCAATAGGAATAAGAACGCTATTAAATCAAATGACATTTTTTATGTATTACTAAAATTATTATACATATGATACATTTAATACATCTGAACAGTTTATTTTTTTTTTCTCTTCTTTTTTATTATTTCTTTCGTTTATATGAATACTAATAAATACACGACATTTAAAAGGATTGAATTTCAGGTCCCAATTATTTCTCCTTTTCTTTGAGTATTATTATTATTTTCGTTGACATAATTTCAAAGAAAGGGTCCATAATTGTAGACATCCGAGGGGTTTTTTCTTTCCTTTTTCTTAAGTTTTGTGACTACTCTTCTAAATCATCAAAGCCATCAAGCAACTCTTTTTCCAAATCATCTAAAAATTCCTCATCCATTTCAACCTTTTGTTTCTTACTTGATGTTTCACCATTAGTTTCAGCATCGCTGTCTTCTTCTTCTTCTTGCAAGGGTCTCTTCTTGTTACTATAAAGATTTTTGATAAATGAATCGTGGCCATTCGTAGTAGAAACCTCTTCTTCTTCTTCCTCTTCATCAACGTTATCTGCTCCTTCAAGGACTTTGTTACCATTGTTGTCTTCTTCTTCTTCTTCTTCTTCTTGTTCTTGAGCAAAGTTAATGTTGTTTGCGTTGTCAAGATCACCATCATCTTCGTCGTCGTCATCATCACTTAAACCAGCCAAGAAATCATCCACTTCTTGGTTTGCTTCATCCAAGTCATATTCATCAAATGAGTCAATGGAATCTATATGGGTAGCTTCGGCCATGTGAGCTCTCTCTTCCAACGCTTTCTTATATTTCTCAAGCTCGGCATTTTGTATTTTCCAAAGCTTTGGATTCTCTGTAGAAACCAAGTATTCTTTCTCATCGACTATAGTCCAATTGCTTAAACATGCAAATAACCAATCAGGATTCACAATCTTAACTGTATCCGGATATAACTTTCTTGCAACTCTGGCCTTAAAAGTAGGTCCAATATCCTCACCGATGTCTCGACAAACAACATGAGTAATATCTGGATATACTTCATTCACGACTTTGACACCAAATTGCTTACACCATATCACGATGTCAGCAGAATCTAGATTGATACCTAGCGGGATAATACCAGAAAATAATACTGTTATACCATCTAGCACTTTACTCTTCATAGTAGGAATTATCTCAGTCAAATCTGGTTTATTTTCCTTATCGTATCGTTTATAATATTCCTCATGAATATTTACCAACACTTTGTCTAACGCAACTAATTCATTATCATCATCACGTAATAAATTATCCTCGTCATCATCTTCATCTTCAGATCCACTTTCCAGAGATTTACTTTCTGTATTTTCATGACGGTGTTCATGCATCTGTTCGAGGTCATGTTGCAATTTAGCCAACGGGCGATCCTGTTGTTGTTGCTCGATTGATTGGTTTCTTGCCAATGACTGGTCTAATAATAAACTGGTATTGCCTTCACCACCACCTAATTCGAGAATCCTCTCTACTGGAGAACTTGTAGAAACATCAGAATGGGCATCATCATCATCATCATCCTCACTTGCAGCTGTTGGGACCGGTGTTGTGGAAGCAGTTGTGGCACCATCGCCATCTCGATTAGTATCACTGGATATAGACTCAATTTCACCTTGTTCATCTATGATTTCGCCTTCCTTTGATAATTCGGCAGCTGCCTCTAACTTGGCAATATTTTTCCTCTTCTTGATTGGTCCAGTAAGTTGGCCATTCTTCTTTGGCAAGAAGCTCGAATTAATATCACCAATGCCCACAAAGAAGTCGTATGGAACAACTTTAATTAAATTACTTTCCCATTGCCATACATCACCTCTGTCATCTATTATAGCAACCATCGACTGATCAACTGGAAATAATCTCTTCAAGTTCTTATGAGTCAAGGAACCACTTTCGTCACGACTAAGAATTCTATCTCCAAAATATTTGCCTTCGGGATCAATTATTTTAGCAATGGCTAAAGCATAGTTTCTTGTTGCCATGGTATAAATATGCATCTCGTATTTTTCTGACATTCTTTCCAAAAACTCCAGTAATCCAGGACGAAGTTTCACGTAATAAGTACATTTTGTAGGTGCCAATTTTGGACCAGTCCATCCAGGAGGAACGATAGGTTGTTCTTCTAAACAAAACGATCTGACGTCTTTAACAGCACGATAATTTGGGTTTGAAGGGTCCAGTTGCCATTCACCAACCGTTGGGTCCACAGTTGCATGGATGACTGTTTGATCCAAATCCACAACAAGAATCAACTTCTTCTCGTCAATTAATCTGTCGGTCGTGCTGTGTTCGATTTTAGCTGCCTCATCAAAACTTATTTTCAATCCAGTTTTGTCATGAGACATTTCAATTGTTGCCCTATCTTCATAGTTGTATCCGGAGTAATCTTTTTCTTCTTCTAATGATTTCCCACATAATGCACATAATCCTCCATATTGAACCGTGTGAGGACATGCTTCTTTGATAAACATTAACTCAATGCCATTGTGAGTTATCTCATCTTGTGGAGATATATTGATTTTATCGATTTCGCCTTCAATTGGGCTTTCAAAAGTACCCAATCGTTCAACTCGTATTTTCTTTGGAGGGTCTTCGGTGGAATTAGGGTCATCTTGATAATCCCAATACTTATAATTGAATATAGTTTTATGTTTAGAAACCACTTCACCTGGTTTACATAAAACTGAGGATACTACAACTGGAAAAGGAGCAGATGAAGGGAGTTTTATTGGAGTAGATTCAGACATGACTGGATTTATTTTTAAAAGAAATACAGATAGAATGAACAGGAGGAGAAACAAGAAAAAAAAAATAAAGTAAAGTCAGGGAACTATATTGTAGGTGGACGTGTCTATTTTTTGGGAGTCTTTCTAATATAATTGTCTTCTTCGTCTGATAATATGTTTATGTACGCGGGTACTAGTTGACTTTGTAATTGATTTAATTCTTGAAAATGGGTTTGTTTTGTAGGGATGTTGATATAGCTTTCTCTTCTTCTTTTTTTTGTAGTTTGTTTGTTTATTTTGGTTTTTTTTTTTTTTCTTTTCTTTTGTTTCTCAGTGTTTTTTTTTTCTGTGAACTCTTTTGGTGACGCTCGATATTGGATTTTTGTTGGTTGCTTCGTACGGCCCCATACACCGAGAACAGTGTTAGAAAAGAGAAAATCACTTCTTATAGTCAACTAACAAAGGGTCGAATATGAAAAAAAAAAACTATAGATCCATGAGTTAATATCACAGCCTTCACTTTAATATAGTGTTGGTTATCGTATTTACACTAGTTAATCAGGGTTGCTATCCACATAGTTATTCTCTAAGCAGCTTTGTTATTTTTTTTTCTTTAAGACGGGTATGAAGTTGTCTCTTAATTTCACAAAGTTCGCGTGAGGGTATCAGTTCATGAAAAAAACAAAAATTACATCAATGTTAATTAGTCTCTCCAGATTCTATAATACAGACAAAATGGATATTAATCTTAGCGATAGTCATTGTCATTTTCATCCAGAATGTACTATACAACAGGCAAAGAAATTTGCAGATATTCTAAATGAACTGATAGATCAATTTCCACAAAACTATCTTCATCTTATGACTACCCAACATTTGGATCTTGAATATTTGGATATACTATTGAGTAATCTAACAAAACCTGAAATAATTGTACCTTATTTTGGTGTACATCCTTGGTTTAGTCACTTATTCTACATTTCCGAGACAATTCCCACCAAGGAAGAGCATTACAAGAAGATTCTTAAGCCAGAACCGAGCCCAGAATTACTTGAGATGCTCCCTGAACCAATTAATCTCAAAGATCACAAGGAAAAATATTTACAAATCATTACAAAACATAATTTGAAAATTTTTGGTATTGGAGAGATTGGTTTGGATAAATTGTTTAGAGTTCCAGGTAATGGATATTACGGCAATTTGGATTTCCCAATGCCACAGGGAAACAAACTATCTCCATGTAGAGTAAATATTAGCCATCAAGTGGATATTTTCCAATTTCATTTATCTTTTGCTAATGAATTAAAGAAACAGGTCTCACTCCATTGTGTGAAGGCGCATGGTTTAATGTATGATGAGGTGAAGAAATTCCCAGACCTAACGGTGATCCTTCATTCTTATACGGGGTCGATTCAACAGGCGGAAGTATGGATGAAATTTACTCCAAAGGAGAAATTATTTTTTTCCTTGTCAAATTGGATCAATGGGGAAAAGTCGGAACTGTTGGAACTACTTTCGGCAACGTTAGCCCCGAACCAAATTCTCACTGAATCGGACATTTATGTCGATAGACTATTCATTGAAAATAAACAACAAGAATACTTTGGTCACATCAGGGGTATTTACGATAAGCTACATGACTACAGTTATATCGAATCATCACAAATTCACGAGAATATGTTAAAATCTATAGGCGTATACAAAACATTAAAATAATCAACGTTGATTTATCATTTATTGTCTGGATTTGATAATGTCAACGAATTCTGGTTTCAATGAAGCACCACCGACTAAGAAACCATCAACATTGGCTTTGTCTTTGAAGGTTGGGGCATTCTTACCGTTGGCAGAACCACCGTACAAGATTCTGGTCTTTTCAGCTTGTTCAGCACCAATGGTCTTGGCCAAATGTTCTCTGATACCTTTGTGGGTTTCTTCAGCATCTTCTGGAGTAGCAGCCAAACCGGTACCGATAGCCCAGACTGGTTCGTAAGCAACAACAATGTTGGTCCAGTCAGAGACAATCTTGGAAACAGCATCCAATTGTCTAGCACAGACATCTAAAGTGACACCGGATTTTCTTTCTTCCAAAGTTTCACCAATACATAAAACAACACCAACACCGTTGTCTAAGGCAAATTTAGTCTTTTGAGCAATGAATTCATCGGATTCACCAAGGATGGTTCTTCTTTCACTGTGACCAGTCAAAGTCCATTTAGCACCAACATCAATAAGTTGGGAGGCACAAGTTTCACCAGTGAAAGCACCACAAGCTTTGTCAAAGACATTTTGAGCACCAACAGAAATAGTTGGTTGTTTGTTCAAGGAGACAGTCAAACCCAAGTAGACAGATGGTGGGAAGACAACAACATCAACGTTTTTTGGTAAATCAGCACTGTTCAAGTTTTCAATGATATCAGTGATTTGTTGTTTGGTACCGTTAGCTTTGAAGTTACCTCCGACGAAGAATTGACGAGCCATTGTGTTATAATATTAATTGATTTAAATAAAATTGTTTTATTGAAATAAAAAAAACAACTAAACAGAAAAAGGGAAAAACTTTTTTTTTCCTTTTCAATTGACCTTGGTTTGAGACCTTTGGGGAAACAATTGTATATTTATATTCCTTTTTTTTTTTGGTAGTTATTGTTAACGAATTTTTCAATCCCGGTGTTACGCAAAGGAAAAATGGAAGTGGTAACACCACATGAATTTTTTCTTTTTGGCACGAATAATTATTGTCTACATCCCACGCACGCACGCACCACTTCGCACACACACAGTATGAGAGAGTAAAGTAGAAAGGAAAAATTTTTGTTTTGTGTTTCGTACGAGTCTAATCCGGGGCCTTGTAATTTTTTTTTTCTTTATTGCTTGCACTGGTGAGTGTATCATCTGATTCTCTTACTTACACATTCTCTGCTCCCAAATTGTGTTGCAGAACATGACGTGAACCCATCTGATCACATGTACTGTACTGTATACAAAATGTGTATTGAAATTAAAACAAAAAAAAAATGTCTACTGAATAACCACTACGTGATATCCTATCTACTGAAAGCTTTCAACACTATTTGTTACACTCTGGTTCTGCATTTGAAAGGTGGAGACCAACTTATTCTTATACCCATTCTGTTGAGTATCATTATACACTTCCCTGTACATTGCTTCAAGTTTTTTATTCTTCTTTTTTGTCGCATTGACTGCATCTCTTTGTTCTTGGATCAACTTGTAAACCTCCAGATCACTCGATCTACATTCACCCAAGGCCAATTCATCATCTTCATCACTATCATTCCAAGTGAGTAATCTTGTCTTTAAATGATACTTTTGATCGTCATCGTGTTTCTTCATAACCAAAAACTGGCAATGTGGGATGTTTTTTAAACTTTCAAACTCTTCGTAACTCCATTTAAACCATTTCATAAGAAACACTCTTGACCAGATCCCATGACTAACCAATACTAAAATATTAGGAAACGTATCATATCTGAACTTTCTAAATAATGATTCATTGAAACTTGCTACTCGATCATAAACATCTGCTGCACTTTCACCATGAGGTATTCGGAAAAAGAAGTGACCGTATTGTGCTCTTTCTTTCCAAATTCTCTCCATCTCTTCCAGTTCAGGTTGAAAGTTACCGAAATCTTGTTCTCTCATTCTTGCATCTTCTCTAACATCATATTCCACACCAGGAACATTCTTAATTCCTTCAATGATATTATTGCAAGTCTGTCTGGTTCGTAAGTACGGGGATGTGAAAAACATAATCGATCTAGGATTACGTGCCTTGTCGTCATTTCCTGCTGTCTCTAATCTTTGATCTAACAAGAACTTCAGCAAGGCTTCACCTGCTTGTAATGCTTGCATTTTTCCATTGTGAGTCAAAGGTACGAGATGGTTGGGAGTGTATCTATTGACAGTTTTATCACAATTTCCCTCGGATTCACCATGTCTCACTATTAGAATATACTACGTCATAAGTGGTTAGTATCTTTAAAGTAATCTTCTATGTGACATAAATCATTCAGTTTACTTACTTTTGGTCTTCCCATTATTGGCTAAAATTCTTTTCGTTGCTCTTTTTCAAAAGAGAAAGTAACTTGAATGTGTATGATTTTTTTCCGTCACTATTTATACTCCCAGTTGTGATAAAAATTTGGTGACGATCAAAATGGCTCGGCTGGATAGGATTCTAGAAATTGTTTTTTTTTTTTTTTTTTTGTATATTTTTTAACTTGGAAAGTAAAATGTAATATAGATGGCATCGTTGTGATGCGATGATCCAAAGTAGTTCTGGTCACAAAATATAACCAATCATGAAATGCTATAAACCTACTACTACAACTACATGTCGTTTTTTTTTATTTCTTCTCTCTCTCTCCATATATCCGAAGTTTTCTATTCTACTATACATTAGTTATTTGCTCCCTATTTAGTTCGTACTTAAGCACTCAACTTTCTTTCAATAGCAAAGCTTTTGATCAACTCTTCATCACACTTCTTTAAAATGTCGTCAGATAAAACATCAATAGAACGACTGTGTAAAATATTGTTATATCTTGATGGTTCAATTGGTAATTTGAAAATGGTTTTCCATTCATCGGTATCCAATTCCTTTTCACCTCTTTTAGCTCTTTCCAAGTTTTCCAATTTTCTTTGTTGTTTCCATTGTTGAATCTTGGATTGTTCCTTTTGGTATTGTCTTTGGTAGTAGTTGAAGTTGTTTTGATCGTAGTTGAAGGAATCAATTTGTCCGTATAAGGATTCCAACAATTGACCAGTGGAGTTCAGGTTGGATAAAAGATTAAGTACACCTAATTCTGATTCAGCGGTTGGTTTTGGAGACAAGCTTGACAAGTAAACATCGACCAATTTTTGGTTCTTGATATTCAAATTTAATTTATCAAAAATGTTCAAAAAAGAAGTTTTGTTGGCTTCCAAATTTTTAGACTTCCATTTACCTTCAATATAAGCATTCATAAAACCAGTAGATAATCTCAAAGCTTTGATGGAGACTTCTTGTCCGACACTGGATAAATCATTGACTAATATGAATGCATTAGAATTGTTTAATTGTTGTTGAGCCAAGGCTTCGATTAATTGATTGGTGATGAAATTTCCTGATACGGTTGATTGGAACCATCCCAAAAATTCAATACCATATCCTAATTTTTTATAGTTTTCCAATAAATCTTTTTGATATTGACCACCACTTCTAGATTTGAAAGAACCACCTTCATATTGATCTGGATATGGATATGGGAATCCATGAGTAACATCTATTAAATTTTCATCTTCGAATCCCAATAAAGCACCAGAGAATAATTGTGGGTAATGTTCAGAAGTGTGTCTCAACAAGGATAACAATACTGATGACGAGATATTGATAGTATCCAATGTAGCTGGGGTGTATTTAGGGGCCATGATGTATCAATATGGGGGGATTTAGATTTAAATTTCAATATTCAACCTCTCACTAACGAAAAATTTTTCTTTCCCTTTGGTTGGTAATTTTTTTTTTCTCTCTTTATTTTTTCTTTTACTCATAGTGTGTTCAAGCGTTGTAGTGCGAGACTGGAGAAAAACTTTTTCACCCAAGATGATGAGAGAAAGAAAATTTTTTTTTAATAGTTGTTTCTTAGTTTATCTCTCGTTCAACCTTTTCTTATTACCAATAACCAACCCATACGAAAATGTCTGAAGAAGTTGATAAAGTTGCTGAACAAGTCCAAAAAACTTACTTGGATGATGTCACCGGTGAACAAGTTTCCAAAACCGAATTGAAAAAAAGACAAAAACAAAGAGCAATTGAAGCTAAGAAAGCTGCTAAGGCTGCTGCTGCTCCACCAAAGGCTGCTCCAAAAAAGAAAGATGAATTTGCTGACTTGAACCCAAATCAATTCTTTGAAATTAGATCCCGTCAAATTTCTGACTTGAGAGATAAAAACAATGCTGATCCAACTGCTTTCAACCCATACCCACACAAATTCAATGTCGATACCAGACTCCCAGAATTTGTTGAAAAATACGGTCACTTGAAAAGAGGTGAAACTTTATCTGAAATTACTGTTAATGTCAGTGGTAGAATTATGACCAAGAGAGAATCTGGTTCTAAATTGAAATTCTACGTCTTGAAAGGTGATGGTATTGAAGTTCAAATCATGGCTCAAGCTCAAGATGCCGAAAGTCTCGAAGCTTTTGAAAAAATGCACGAAATGTTGAAGAGAGGTGATATCATTGGTGTTACTGGTTATCCAGGTAGAACTTCTCCAGCTAAAGGTGGTGAAGGTGAATTGTCTGTTTATGCTAGAACTGTGCAATTGTTGACTCCATGTTTGCACATGTTGCCAACTGAACATTATGGTTTCAAAGATCAAGAAGCTAGATACAGAAAACGTTACTTGGATTTGATCATGAACGATTCTAGTAGAGAACGTTTTAGAGTTAGATCAAAGATTATCCAATACATTAGAAAATTCTTGGACAACAGAGATTTCGTTGAAGTTGAAACCCCAATTTTGAATGTTATTGCTGGTGGTGCTACTGCCAAACCATTCATTACTCACCACAATGATTTGAACATGGAAATGTTTATGAGAATTGCTCCAGAATTGTTCTTGAAAGAATTAGTTGTTGGTGGTATGGAAAGAGTTTATGAAATTGGTCGTCAATTCAGAAACGAAGGTATTGATATGACCCATAACCCTGAATTCACCACTTGTGAATTCTATCAAGCTTATGCTGATGTTTATGATTTGATGGACATGACCGAATTGATGTTCTCCGAAATGGTTAAAGAAATCACTGGTGATTATGTCATTAAATACCACCCAGAAGGTCCAAACGGTAAAGAAATGACCTTGGACTTCTCCAGACCATGGAAGAGAATCAACATGATTGAAGAATTGGAAAAGGTTTACAATGTCAAATTCCCAGCTGGTGATCAATTGCACACTGAAGAAACCGGTGAATTCTTGAAGAAAGTTTTGAAAGACAACAAATTGGAATGTAGTCCACCATTGACCAACGCTAGAATGTTGGATAAATTGGTTGGTGAATTGGAAGATGCTTCTATCAACCCAACTTTTATCTTTGGTCATCCACAAATGATGTCTCCATTGGCTAAGAAAGATAGAAATATCCCAGGTTTGTGTGAAAGATTTGAAGTTTTTGTTGCTACCAAAGAAATCTGTAATGCTTATACCGAATTGAATGATCCATTTGACCAAAGAGCTAGATTTGAAGAACAAGCTAGACAAAAGGCTCAAGGTGATGATGAAGCACAAATGGTTGATGAAACTTTCTGTAATGCTTTAGAATATGGTTTACCACCAACTGCTGGTTGGGGTTGTGGTATTGATAGATTGGCTATGTTTTTGACTGATTCCAACACCATTAGAGAAGTCTTGTTGTTCCCAACTTTGAAACCAGATGCTTTGGTTTTGAAAGGTGAAGAAGAATTCAAGAAACAAGAAAACTAGATAATATATAATGTATAGATAAAGTAACAAAAATAAAAATCGGAATATATTATTTTGTTGTATTTAACCTATCGTCTATGTAATTCACCATTACGTTTCATTTCTAATGCTTTTTTATAAGGTGGTGCAGTTGGCATTTGCACTGGCTCTAAAGATAGCGTGTTTATATCTATGCTATAAGTAGCATCAGAATCAATATCATTTATATCACCACAAGCAACAAATGGAGCAATTTTTCTTTCTTGAGGACCAAATTCTTTAATTTCCATGGTTCCTTGTTTACCTATATTTGCACCTTCAAAAAATTCTTCTGTAGATGTAGATAATTGTAATTTAGGTTGCCAACCTTCTCGAGGTTTATAACCAAGACAAACTATGAATGCTTCTAATGAAGTCCCTCTACTTGATCGAGGTTTAGCACAGATAACTTTATCAAATAAATAACTTAATTGACTGTATAAAAGATCAATATCTCTACCACGGAAAATTTTTGCAACAAATTTACCGCCTGGTTTTAATAAACATGTGGTTAATTGTAATGCAGATAATACTAATTGAGCTTGAATATATTCATCCAAATCATGTAATCCAGTAACATCTGGAGCACCGTCACTACAAACAAAATCAGCTGGTTCACCACCAAAACAATCTAGAATTCTTTGTAAAGTTCTTGGATGTGTGATATCTGCTTGAATAGTAGTAACACCATCTATAGGAGTCATTGGTTGTAAATCAACAGCAACAATAGTTGAATTGGGTCCTAATTTTTGAGATAATACTTGAGACCAAGAACCTGGTGCTGCACAAAGATCAACTACTCTAGTTAAATCTTCAAAAAGATTAAATTCTTCGTTTAATTGCAAAAGTTTAAATGCAGAACGAGCTCTCCATCCTTCTTCTTTGGCTCTTCTATAATATAAATCACGTTTATCTTTATTAGCTTTACCCATTATTCACTATATGGCGATGATAGATGAGGTTTGATGAGAAAAATCTTACAGCCAAATAAATAAAAAAAAAATTTTTTTAATGCGAATAAAAAAGAAGACAATTTTTAAAACAAAAAAAACTCAAGAAAGAAAAAAGAAAAATTTTCAACAAATAGAACCAAGTATTAATCAAGTTAAACCATGATTAGACCAGGGATTAGATCTTTTTCTACACGTAGTCGTGTATTCAAATTGTCACCAAAAGAATTTATGAACAAAGTCCAACAAGAAAAAATTGAAAATGAACAATTCAAACAAGCATTATCAAAAGATCAACAAGAATATAATCCTCAAATATTAAGTTCCCATAAATTAACTCATAAAAGACCAACTCCAATAAATGTTGAATTATTGAAATATAAACCATTAAGATTACCAAAAACTCATGGTGATCAAGTTGCCACTTTGACTTTAAGAGGTTATGATGAAGACGAATTAATTAGAATTGGGGAATTTGCATTAAGAACTGCGTACTACATGGGTATACCTATGTCAGGATTAGAAAGTCTTAAAACTGAAAAGAGATTATATACTGTTATCAAATCACCATTTGCTCAAGCTAAAACTAAACAAAATTTCCATAGAATCACATATAATAAGAAATTAGTTGCATATGATGCTAATCCAGAGATTATTGATTTGTGGTTATCTTATTTGAACAAATACAAGTTCCCAAATGTTGAATACAAGGCTACTGTTGTGTCTTATGAATCGTTAGACTATGTTAATGAATTGAAAGCATTAAAGGAATTCAACTTGCCTGATGCTTATGAAGGTCTTGAAGATCCAGTTGCTAAGAAAGTTCAAGAATTGCTTAATTCTTCGTCATTTAAAGACCATTTACAAAAATAATAACTTCACTTATCTCATCATGTAAATATACATTTTCTTCTATATTATTAAATATTCATCCATATAAATCCCAGTCCTCTTCTTCTTCTTCGGAATCTTCTTCTTTGGCTTTTCTAATCTCTTCATCTATCTTTTTCCTTCTATTTGCTTCAACTTCCAATACATTTGTTCTACACATTGGACAAGTTGAATTCATTTGCAACCAAGGTCCAACACATTCCAAATCAAAAATATGATTGACACCGTGACCACAAGGTAATCTAACAACTAAAGGATATTTATCATCTTTAAAACGATTTGTACAAATAGGACAACATGAATCATTATCAATTTGTTTAATTGGAATTCTTTCTAAAGTATCTAAATATTCCGAAGTTACACCTTTTGAATGTTTACCTTCACCTAATGAATCCATTAACATTTGAGCAATATTTGAACCATCACTAGATTCACTCAATTGACGTAATGCCGAGATTAAAGCCTCTTCGTTTGTGTCGGATATTGATCTAGACGAATATGATTCTCCATCAGATCGTCTATTTAAAAATGAATCAATTAATGAAGATAAAGTTTCATGTTGTCTACCACGGTTCTCTCTTTCTGAGTTCTGTATTGCAGGGGTAGGTGTTATATTATGTTCATCTTTTTTTTTTTAATGTAAGTATTAGTAATTGTCGTTGCTAATAGGCTATGGATAATGTTACATACCTTCGTACGTTGACATGATTATTGGTGGCGGAATAGTATGTAATAAAAACTGAGAAAAAAAAATTAATCAGGTCCATTTGTTCGAAACACTGCCAAAAAAAAAGGGTACTCACGTCGTACGTCGACTTGAGTCGCTCTCTCCCCCCCCCCCCCACATTCAAACTAAGAAATAAACTCTCTGACTATGTGATTATAACCTATTAAAAATAAAAACCAATTCTATATTAACCTATATGTCCCGCTTTATGTGTGTATATATGTGTGTATTTACAACTCTTTATATTTAGTAATCCTTTTGCACGTCTTCATCATCGTCTTCCTCTTCACCTTCGCTTACTCTGGCGACTCTAGAAAAATAATCAGTTTTAGAATTTAAAAATAATGGAGTCATTGGCAATTCTTCAATCGGAGTTTGAACTGGATATAATACTGGAGAACTACTCCCATTATTATGTAGCGCCACAGTTGGTCTACTTTTGAATGAATTATTAGTTGATATTGGTGGTGTTTGTGAGGATAACCAGAATCTTGAAGGGGACCCACCTAAAGAAACAGGATCTAAATTTGGAGAATCAGGGATTGGGATTCCGTTTACATGATTGGCATTATTAATATTTATGCCATTTGATGAATGAATATAATCAGGTATTTGAGATGGTGAAGTCATTTTCTGATATTGTTGTAATCTCTGTAGATTTGAATAAGAAGCCATAGAATTCTTTCTTAATAAAAACGAACCTCCGCTTAATGATTTAGGGGATTGATAAATATCATGGGATTGTTGAGCCTGCTGTTGCTGTTGCTGTTGTTGTTGCTGTTGTTGTTGATTTAACGATAGTAATGAAATAGTTGAAGTTGAAGGGATCATTCTCCCATCAAATCCTACTGAACTGGCTAATAGTTCTGGTTCTGGATGTTCAATGAAATTTTCATCTTCTATAACTTCATTTATATTAAAGAATGCACCTCGTTGTCTCTTTTCAGCTGCTAGACTAGAAGAAAGTAAAGATCTTCTTTGTGGTAGTATATCCTGTGGTGATGTGGTCATAGGGTTAGTTGAAGTAGATAATGTTTTGGTTGTAGTGGGTGTAGTTGGTTTAGACAAACTTAGTTTTCTTTCTGATAGTGATAGATTAGTGAATTGCTTGTCTATACAATCTGGTGAATTTAGTTGTCTTATTGACATTTCGGAAGAAGTAGAAAAAAAAAATATACAAGCAATTAGAAAAAAAAAATTCTCTTTTATCTTTTCTGTCTTTTTTTTTTTTATTTTTGTTTCTCTGATAAACGAAGCGGATGTGTGACCGAATGCGAGCTATTTTTTTTTAATAATAGGGGAAGTAAACGGGTATCAGATGAATTTATAAATGAAAATATTATCAACTCGTAATTATTGAAAATTATCTAATAGGTAAGATATGGTTCTTGCTTCGTAATAATATATAATAATAACAGAGAAATGTAAAAGAAAAGAAGAAGGAGCAACTAAAGGAAAAGAGGGAAAAGAAAGAAAAAAAAAAAGGAAAGGAAAAAAGTACAGTCAGAGCAATATTATTCATCACTACTGTGCTCTACTGTATCTATTTTTTTTTCCCTTGTAGTCGCATTAATGTCTTTGATTTGTTGCGTTGTTTTTTTTTTCTGTATGTTTGATAATTTCTTCTTGTCTGAATGTTGTGTGTTGTGTGTGCAATTTTTTCCCAACAATAACGGAGAAACAAAGAAGTCAGAAAAATAAATAAAGAAAAAAAAAAAAGAATTTTTTAGCCATTGTTAACGTAAAGATAAGTTAAATGCAGGAGATTGTTTCTTACCCCCTAAAAAGGAATTTGCTGTGCATTATCTGTAATTACTCCACAATATTCAAATAGAAAAATTTTTCACAGCGAGTCTGATTTAAAAATGATTGTAATGCCGAAAAACGTTTGACATGGATGATTATTAATCAACTTTTCTTGTTTGTTTTCTGTTAACTTCTCCACATTCGTAATTGGTAGCATGTGCTTTTTATTCCAGATGAGTTGCTCTGATTTATGGCTGATCTCAATTGATAAATTCAGATCAAGTAATTGGCATGGAGAAATTTTATGCTTTTCATTGTAAGTTAAGTGTGGCGTGATGCGTAGGAGGGTTTTAGAAAAATTATTATTGTTAAAAGTTTGATAATCTTATGTTTTAATTACATTTTTGCTCAAAATTTAAATGAAAAAGAGGAAACAGAAATAAACAAGAGTAAAGATCGCGTAGTTTAGAATGCGTGAAAAAGTAGATTTAATGACATTAAATCAAGTAATCAGAAAGTTTGGTTACAACAGGTGGTCTTAACATGAAAGGATTTAGAAAACGATCAGTGTCAAAATCCAAGGGTTTTGTCAAAACCACAAATCAGGACTTCTAGTTCAGTTGTTCTGATCAGATCGAGCATGTTTCAAACATACAGTTCGAATCTTGTACAGGTTAATGCCCTGCTGGCGAAATTGGTTATCGCTTTTGACTTCTAATCAAAGGATTCTGGGTTCGAGTCCCAGGTAGGGTTTAACTTTCTTTTTTGCTTTACATCACTTGATGTAGCGTTAAGGTTATATTTTTTTTGTTTTTGATCACCTATTATGGTTTTCATGAAGGTAAGTCACGTTCAAGATAGATTCGTTGTTAGAAGATGCATACTAGTTTGATAAGTCATATACAGTTTAATCAATATCCTTGCTATCATAGTCGTATTGTCTCCTAGTTTATTAACTGTCCAATGGATCCACATAATTTCCCAACTATTATATAACAAATGAAATCACGTCCAAGAAAATAAAACAAATACTTGTAGTTACCGAAGTGTCTTGAAACAGACGCTACCAACCTTTATAAAATTCGCAGCTTTAGCTCATCTGGGAGAGCGTCAGACTGAAGATACTTTAGGTAATCTGGAGGTACTGTGTTCGAGCCACAGAAGCTGCATTTTCTTTTCTTTTTTTGATTTTGGATTTTGAAATCACTGTTGCAAAAATAAAAACTACACTTACAGAGGGAGGTTGATCTCATAGAAAGGAATACTTTATTTTTCCTCTTGTGTATTAAATGTTAAATATTAAATCTTCTTCTATATAATCATCCAGTTTTAAAGCATCTAGGAAATCATCATCAAGAATATTTTTATTAATATTTTCCACATTATTTGTAGTTTTCATCATCAATACATTTCCCACTAGGGAAAATCTTGAAATAAATTCATTTGATTGATTTTTCAAATATGTATTTAATGATTCCAAATCTTTTAATTCTGAGGATAAATTAAAATCAAATGTTATTTTCCCATGATCTTGTTTATCATCATGGATTTCATTTATAAAATCAGATAAATTATTTGAATTTATAGTTCGATGCATTTTATTAATATTTGTTGATTTATCAATTGGATTTGTACTTGAAGTATTTGAAATTATATCATCTTCTGAAGTGTCAACATAAATTATATCAGATTCATCAAAAATTGAATCTATTTGTGATTGAATAGTTGTTTGAGGACTACTACTATTACTTGGAGATACTTGAAATATTGTTGAATGTCTTTTATTTATTACAGCATCATTACTGGATTTACTGGACAATATAGGTACACTTGATCTTGTTTTCAAAGTTCGATAATTGTTTTCTTTATTTGACTGATCATCATCAATATCTTCAATTTGGAGTAATTTGGACAGGGAAAGAATGTTTGAGATATTGAATGAAGATAAACTTATACTTAATGGACGTTGTGATGATGATGATGTTGTTGTTCGCAGATTAGTTCTAGTTAATTCATTTTCTGATTTCTTTGATCTTAAAGATCTTAAAAACCCTGAGGATGTTTTATTGGTATTTAAATTGTTAATACTTTGACTGCGTAACATTCTTTATACTTGTTGTTGTTTCAATGGAGAATTATATAACGAATGAATAATTTTTTATTTACTTTTATTTTTATTTTTTTTTGCTTGATACTTTGTTCTTCAGGGATCTGCAAGTAATTTAAATGGGTTTAGGAAATGTTGTCAAATGGAATAACGAAAGAAAGAAGAATATCTATTGGTTTATATACATATATGAATAAAAAAAAGAAGAAAAGGGGAAGGAAAATGGGTTAATTTATATTTTTAAACAAGAAACAAAACAAATACCAAAAAATCCTGTCAAATGGACAAGAGTGAAAAGATCTTGTGGTTATTCGCACTGTAAACAAACAAACGAACAAAAAAAAACATTCTATGCAAAACACAAATAGGAAGCCAAAAGCAAAAATTTTTTTTTTCTTTGTTTCCTTAATTAAAAGCAAAAAATTAAATTAAAAAAGTCGCATAATTTCGTGTACTCTGGGACAATTTCAAAACGACAGTATAGGATTTTGCTTTCATCAGATACCGCGAATTGGGACAAAAGATAAACAATGGCCAGTGTTACGTTCTTTTTTTGGAAATCCTTTGTGATATTATGAACAATAGGAGCTCATCAAATTCCCTTTCAAATTATATCACTATAACTACGACCATTTAAACTAAAGAAAATTAACAAGACGCGTCGTTGTAGATGTGCTAAAGTGAATGAATTGAGATGGAGTTGATCTAATTGTCGTCAAGTAGAGTGAAAAGTGTTTTTAGTGGGGTGGGCAGAATTATACATGAACAATCTAAAATTCTCAATCTGAAAATCCTTCTAATTTTTGTGTCCACTATCATAGATAGAAAACCAGAGAAAAAAAATTGAATTGATACTCATTGACGAACATTCAATAAAAAGTCAATATTTCCCGTTTAACGAAGATATTTTCTTGTATTTAATTTATTCAACACACACACACACACGAGATATGCCCGTTTATAATTGACAGCGGATCAGTTGCTGTAATCATATACGAAAACCACCTGTTTAATATGGGCGATTTGGTACAGTAAGTCCATTCAATAATTAATCATTTGAGGAGCAAATAAGAAAAAAAAAGGAGAGCCTGACACAATTTAGATCTCTTTTTCTTTACCCCGGTATGCATCGAGAGAATTTTTTTTATACAAATTAGGACGAATCTGTGATTCAACAGTGGTCTAGCCAAGGGGGAGCAGTTCCGAATTTTTAAATTAGCATTTTCTCTCATTCTGCCCTTCCCCCCTTTCACAACTATCGTACCATATATATAAAAAAAAAGATATTGTCTAATCCATCGATTGAATTAATTTATTTACAGTATATACAAGATATTTAAGAATTCTCCTTGCATGCTTTTTTTTCTACTCTTTCCAGAAGTCAAACTTGTTATCCGAAGTAAGTGCATACTCCAGATTGTATTCACGACCATTTGATACGAATGAATTAACTTGTTCGTATTCATTTACGTCAGCTTTTGTAGTAGGAATCAATTTACTATAGAATGGATCCTCATTTGTGTATCTACTCAAATAGAATGTACTAAGACGATTCCAATCACGTTTAGGTAAAGGATTTCCCTTTTCGTCTTGTCCTGTAAATGTTTTATTGATGTAGTTCATTATAGGTTGTCTGATAATTGTATTAATACTTGGATGCAAATAAAACTTGACTAAGCTGTTGGTCTTTTTAGCTCCAACAGGTTTGATATTGATATATCCAATGTTTTCCAACACCAAGTCTACTATACCATAAAATGGTGGAACAAGGTATCGATTAAATTGGGACAACTCCGGAGTTTGATCTTGAAGTAAGAAAACAGGGTACAACGATTTGGGAACATCATAAAGAAGCGATTCAACTTTTGTAATATCCCTAAATACATGCAACTTAAGATCAGTAGAATTTCTAATTTGATACATCGTGTTTTCAGGAAATTCCAAAAACCCAATTCCTTCAATACTTAATACATTTGGTCCTTTCACCGTGATATATTGTGATTTATAAGTTGCCTTTTTTTGAGCCAAACTCCCTCTAAACAAATGTGCAATGGTTTTACTATCCAATTTTTCATAAATATTTCTCAAGTATGTATTTGATGTAAATCCAGGTACATCATAAATGGTTTTATTCCCGTTGATATATACTGGCATAATATCACGAGTGAAACCAGGTAAATGAGAAACTCCGGGTCCGACATTAGCAAATGATTTATCAATTAATTTATCAGTTTTACCGAAATCTTTCTTATGAGAAGTGCCAGGAAATTTTTTCAATTCTTCTGCGACTTTAATACTTTTAATCAAGGTAGATTTACCACAATTGGTATGACCAATGAAATAACTATAATTAGGAATAAATTCATACAATCGTTTAACTCTCCAACGTTTCTTTCCTGAACCAATAAAGATATTTTCCGGTGGTACATTATATTTCTTACCCAAATAATCATTTAAAAATGTCTTACAATAATCATGATGTGATCCACTTGATTTGGGAAATAAGTTGTCAGTTTTTGTCATGATGAAATATAAATCCTTTGGATCTCTATGTTCAAAAATCTCTGGATTGATACCCATAGGGAAATCCAATGCACTAAATACGTAAACCAATGGGGAATCATTAGGAATTGTTGAAAGAACTTTATCCAACTCATCAATAACAAATTCTTTTGCATTCATAGTGAATTTTGAACGATGATGAATATCACGACATCTTATACAGGTATAATCACTCTCAAGTAATTCTGCTGGATTTGTATCTGAATGTATATCTTCATCTTTTTCAATAACAGTAGGATTCTCTTCTTGTTTAGAGATAGTTAAAGATATTGGTTTGGTGGCTATATTTTTTGGAACATTGAAATTATTAATCAATAAATCTCTATCTGACACATCTAATTTAGACAAAAATTGATTATATTTCTGATTGGCTTCAGATATATATTTTGGTTTCTTTCGATCTATTGAAGTACCAAGTTTGAAAAATCCTGGCTTATCCGGTGATTCTTGTTGTAATTTAATCCCACAAGATCGACATTTTTCATCAAAAAGGGTTAAAACTCTGGAACGCGTTGAAAACAATCGTAGAAGTGGTTTATTCAGTGCTTGTGCAATATATCTATGAAACATTTGTCTGGATGCTGGTGGTGCTGGTGGTGGTCTCAAATCTGAGATGAAGAGATTTTTATTTTTTTTTGTTGCTGTGAAGACCAACAGCCCTTATTCCATCAAACCTATGTGCAGGACACAGATAAAATTACTAGCATGAGTGTTTGGTTCATTAATGTCTATTTCTCATTCACCAACCGTGAAATATCACTGACTATTTATTTTAAAGAATGTTTATTTAATGAGAAGTTAAGAAATTATTGGCGAGTCCCGCATGTTGCATAAAACAAAAAAAAGAAAAAAAAATGGAAAGATAGGAGATAGAAGGTATCCATTATGTTCAATTTACATTTGATCCATTATGGAATAAACATAGCCCAAATGTTTCGCAATTTAGGTTTTAATCAAAGCCCAAGTTTAGTCTTTCTTGTACTTAAAAATCATTGAGTTGAACTTCACATTTTTGTTGTTTTTGGTTGAAGAGTCATTTTCTTTTGACTTACTTATCTAAATCAGGTATAATAGCGATAGTATTGTTACATTTTAAGGTACGGCTTGAATGGTGTTGCAATCAGCAACAATGTAAAGTATTTATGAAAGTATAATGATTCAAAACACTACTACGAAACAGAATGATCAATACAAGTAAGATAATTGTTTGGTTCACGTGACAACCATCAGTGATAGAGTTGAACCCAAATAATAGTATCATATGCAAATAAAATAGAATTTCTCATGACGTAATAGAATGACAACATACCAAGAAGCAGAACGAGATAAAATATACAAATTGCAAATGAACAATAACAACCAAAAATAATAAATAAAAAAAAAATAGAATTAGTAACAAAGCTTAACCTACTGTAATAAATTAAAATTATGTACAATTTCCTATAACTAAAATAATATTCCAAAAAAAGAAACTACACCACCAAGAACGTTATTATTAACTTCGGAAAATTTACGTAATACGCAGGATCAGAAAAAATAAAGGAGTTATGAATTTCTTTTTTATTCTTTCAATGAACAATTACAAGAGGGGGAGGGGGCGAGGAATGGAGAACAAGAATATATAAAACCCCTTGAATACTTCCATTTCTGCAGAATAAGAGAATGCTAATATGGAAAAACAAAAGATTATCAGGAGTAATAACGTAAATTAACAACATAAAATTTTAATACATATTGTTTAAGATAAGTTGAGAACTTTATTATGGAATTTCAAATTGAACGACAATTGCGACTAACAAAAAAATTTTTTTTTTAATAAATAAACAAAAATTATATATTTTTTTTAGTTTTGCAAATCGGATTAAAATTTATTTAAAATAATGATGCAGAAGGGCTAAAATTACGACAATATGCAATGCAGAATAGAATAAAGCGTAGTTACAGTCATCTAATGTTTATTTCACCCCCTGTGGATCTGTTCACACCCCAAGGAAATTGGAAACAAAAATCAAAAAAAAAGAAAGTCAGTCATACAGTAAACGGTCACACATGCACACAAAAGATAATGCATTCTTAGATACGTACACTTTCAATTATTAGTTCCCATTTCCAGAATAGAAACCTAGTCAGTCTATTACAAGTGCACGTGGTTTGTATCATGAATTCATGAAATTCAGAAAGATCTCTTTCTTCATTATCTTCATCTTCGGGTACTGAAAGAGAGAAGGGGGGATACGGGCCGATACAAATAGAAGATAGGGAATGGAAAGATTACAATGAAATTACCAACAAAAAATAAAAATACCAATATTCTAAGCCAAACTTAAAAAAAGTAAAAGTAAAATTTAAAATTAAAATAATTTGCTTTTAGATCATACAGACTTTTATTCCACCTGAAGTTTTAAATTTTCTTAAATTCTAATCAAAACAATTAAATTAGTTTAAATTATGCATAAAATGGGCTTAATTTTAAAACAATTGCAAAAAAATGGGATCAATTGTTTTTTTTTTTGTTGAAGTACACTGCATGACAATGCAGCATAATTTATTTTTCTTTGAAGCACACAATAGGGAAATCTGACTTTTATTTTTTTTTTTTTTTTGATTTCTCAGCAACAACAACAACAGCAGCAGGAGCAGCAGTAGAAAAAAAAAAATAATAATATGAGAAACTTATAATTAGACACGTAAACAATAATATAATCGTCAGCTTAATAACCTCGGAATAGGTTATAGGTGGTGACCCATTAGTGATGGTTGTCATATATCAAATGTAAGCTAACTACAGATTAGTAATGATTAGTTTGTGCATTAACCTTTAAGTCTATGATATTTAGCCTAGTGAAAGTCTCTATCAAAATTAAATATCAATACTCTTGCCAAAAAAAAAAATCAGTTCTAGTTTCGTCTGAAGTGATATTTATTAATAATTGCACTTTAAGCATTGTACAATAGAACATATTAAGAAACTCTGAATGTAGGAAAAAATAAAAGAGGTGATTATTAATATAAAGAGAAAGAGTTTTGTGGCAAAGCCATTAACTTAAACAAGGGCAAATTACTTTTCCTTAATAAGGTTCAGTAAAGAAACTAGATAGGAAACAAACAAAAAATCAAAGTCAAAACCTTGTTTTATCTTTGCTTGGAATCATGTTTTAAATAGATGATCAACTGCGTTATAAACCCAAGTTATACAAATTAGAGTATCGTCAATTTTTAATGTATAAAACAAATCAAGAAGTCGTTCCTTCTTTTTCACTCATCGTCATCTGTCTTCTTCAACACACACTCGCGCCCACTTTCAAGTAGAAACTGATTAAACCCGGCAGGATAAAATTACTCAAAAAAAAAAATAATATAAAATGGAAAATTCAAATTAAATCAACCGGCATACATCATAGTACAAATACATATATACTTATGCATTAAGTCCTAACATGTTGCGTATACGTCGATTGAGCGCTACATAACCTTCAACGAATAAACAATCATAGGATACAAATAAAAATAAAATGATGCTCAAAATTGTTGGGGGAACAGGAAATTTATGATATTACAATAATTGTTGCTTGCTTTTTTTTTTTTATAAATTTGTTTTGCTTATACTACTCGAATCTCCACTGTTTTATTTTTTTTTTTTTTGTTTAGAAATATTTTACTAAAATAGCAAAGTTAAACCGATAAAGCCAATTAAAATTCAAACAAATCTTTTAGATCAATAGAATAGAATATTGTCACGGATGGGTATAATTACCAAATTGAATGCACATAAAAATATATATATATATAAATATCAACCTTGACGAGCAAAATTTAAATATCTTATTAAATATTGCATTTTGTGAGAGGAATATAGTTCCTATTTATTTGCCAAATATCTACTAATTGGAATTCAATTCCGAATGTAACACTGTTTTCACCATACCACTTCTAAGTAGAGAAATTTCATTTATGCAACAGTCTTTCCTATTGTTAGTTTCTATTCATTTAGTTTTCGATTTACTAAATTTTTTAGTTGTTTCGCAGATGTAAAAATAGCAAGCAGGATAATCAATCAACTAGAGTATACATGATGCAAGGTTTGTTGCTACTTAACCCTGTTTAGACTTTCTCTAATATTCAAATTGAAGTGAAATCTCATGTTAGAATTTATGTCGTACTAAAAAAAAAGTATGTTAAACTTTGCAAAATCACTATTGTACTGTTATTGTCATTGTCGTGATAATGAATAAGAAAGCAAAACATTTTAATACATTTTTTTTTGTAATTCCGTGTTGCAATGTATCTCCTCTAGAATTCGGTATATATAATCAATTATATCTAGAGGAAAATGTGAAAGTTGGATAATTAGAGCCCGAGTAAAGACCAGAACAAACGGATTCATTCATGTGGAAAATTGCACGGGACGGAAAAAAAATCTCTGATACTTGGGAAAAACTCATCGGAAATATAAATTCTACAAAAACGGTGAGAGTTGAAAAAATCAAATAAAAAATAAACTCAGTTAGTGTCATATAACCATTAGAATAATAAAGGGAACAAGTGTAACATATAGAATCGCCTAAATTATATAATAAGATATATTATGTTATTTTAATCTATACTACGAAGAGAGTGGGAAAAAACAAAACAAAGCTTTTGTTCTTCTTTGATAACCATCGTTGGCTCAGTCGTACGTTAGTGAAGGGAAGAAACCTGGCTATTTATATAAAAAAAGGATTTGATAGTTTCACAGATTCAAGAAAGAAAGAATTGCAGTTTTAATATTGCATTAAGTTGCAAGTCGTGACAACTAAGCAAAAAAAAAAAAAAAACAAAACAAAATTTGAGTGAACGAATAATTTACCGAAACATGTGACATGTCTTAAAATAAATTGATTTATTGTGCATTGCAGATTTCTTCTGCATTATGTTTTTTTTACTGTAACTGTTAAATCACAATCAATGATGCAGCATGTACAATACGGTAAAATATAGTACAATATAGCTCATTGTAAGTTCTCGATTGGATCACACATTCGACTGTTTTTTTTTTTTTCAAACCACGCCTACGCAATACCTTGTCTTCTCACCATACAACAAAAAATAAACCCCATTCGTTTAACCACACTACAATAAACCATTAACACCGTGGCCCTGACTCCACCAATCATTGATGAAATAACGAGACATCCATTGTCTGTTTCTTAAAGGTTTAGAACTCTTTAGCTAATCTTTAATTTTTTTTTTCTTGTGCTAACAAACTTCCATGTCAACACCAATAAGGTTTCTCTGTCATGATCCCAGATATTTTACTTTCTTGGTTTCATAACTTGCACAATTTCCGGACGAGTCATCCACTGGGGGTGAGGAGGGGGTTATATGAAGCACATGAAACAATAATAAGAAGTTTGATGGGAAAACTAACTTTCCTTTCATTTATCATTTCTAAATGCGTTTCATGTATTATGGACAGAATTACACTTCAATAAATAAACATCAATTATGCTCTTTTCTTTCTCTTCCTTAATGTTTCTTTTTTTTTTCATATAAGGTTAGTATCATTTATACTTCTATTTAATAATCTTAATTTCTCTTGTCTTATTATGTTTTACCTTTTTGCTTACCCCCACTCGTTAACTAAGCTTTTTTTTTTCTTTTGGTTCTGCTATATTATCCTTCTTCTTGTTGAGTTTCAATGTTAATTTGTGGTGTATTATCAAATGATGCAATACTAATGCTTATAAAAAAAAAAACAAAGCCAAACTTTTAGACTGTATCAATTACAAATAAGAATCTTTTAGGTTGAGTAGTTACCGTTTTGATTACAACATGACTACTAGCAACTTTGATTTTGCTTTATTGCCCGTAAGATTTATGATTGTTGTTGTTATTGGGTGTGTTTCTTTTTTGTGAATCCCGAACTTCATAACCCCCTTTTTTTATTTTATTTTTTTTATTATCTTTGTTTTTTTTTATTTTCAGGCAACACGCGGAACTGCTTAAATAATTTTATTATAACGCAGCACAGGAGGACGTACATAATACGATGCCCTATGTACAGTCCTGATCCAGATGGTAGCATATGGAATATTACATTAATTGATAAAACAAAATAGACTTGTCATTGTGCATAATTCTACTTTATGAATAAAACAAACATTTCAAGTTCAAATTTAACTCAGGTATACTTTTATCATCAATTAGCTTTGCTTTTTAACTTATTTTGATTATATGTTTCATCAAATTAATAGCCATCAAACATGTATATTGATAGCGGGAGAGGGACAGGTACAACTGCCACGGAAATGGACAGCAATCATAAGGGGATTGCATACATGTATTCTCTAACTCAAATTTGCAGTACCAGCAGATGATTTGGGCTGAGCAGAGAGATTTTCTTTGTTACGGTTGTGTAGAAAATCTGAGTGTTTTAGTTGAAATGTACCACGAATTAAACCTTACATATAAAACCTACATGCATTAAAACTTACTTCTCTCTCTTTTTGTTCATTTTTTTTAGTTTGTAATAAAATTTTAATCAAAAGCAGTACAGTACTTACAGAAGGGAATATTGCACAAACCCCATTCTTTATCATTGTATTATAACAATTGCATTGTTAGTAATAAAATTTTTAACTAACTTTACATATTACATATTATATGTATAATCTAAAATCTAAAATAATTACTCTAAAGAAAAATTCCACCTTTCCAACAACAACACAATGCAAATTCTAAAAAAAAAGCAAAAAAAAAAAAAACACACACACACTCTCACACACTTCAACTCACACAGAAACATTTCATTTTCACTTCATTTCCCACTTACCCACTTTAACCAAAAAAAAAAAGGAAGAAAAATTTATTAAAAAAAAAATCATCAACACTTTTTTCTTTCTTCTTTCTGTTAGTTCATTCAGTATTGCTGGTGTTATTAGTTTTAAATTCAACTTCTAAAAAGTATTATCTCAAGTCATTGTAATCCCAAATCATATTCAAGCGTTTCATCAAATTTCACATACCCATTCACCAACCAACTAGCGCTTGTCTCAAAGTTTTTAATTTGTTAATTTTTTTATTTCCCCTTTTACACCCTTCTTTAACATCCAATGACCAAATCACCCATATTAAAAATGTCAACATACGATGCAGCCGCAACCGAAACTTGGATCAAGTGTGGTGAATGTGCAACCACCTTGGGTTTAATTGTTCCAGCAATCAAATCGTTTGAAAGTGCCGTCAATAGAGATCCTTCAAACCCTACCGCATTGATTGGATTAAGTTCTGCATTGAGATTAAATGATATTAGTTTAAATGAAACCATTGGTTCTCAATCAGCCATTGAAAAATTAAACAAATCACTTGAATCTTTTCCAAATTTATTGAAACAAGCAAATATTTTTAAAGAATTGTGCGAATGTTATTTATTAGTTGGATTAAATGATCAAGCTTACCAAGCTATTCAATCAGGTGTCAATTTGGCTCCTCAAGATCCTTCCTTATGGTTATTAATGGCACAAACTTTAATCAGAGCAGGTGCCAGAAGCCATGCCACCGGTACTTTGGCTCACTGTTTATCCCTTTTGCCGGATGGTAAATTTTCTCCTAGTGATATAGAAACCGCAAGAGCAGCTCATGCTGAATTGGCTGCTATTTCAGCTGCCGATGGTAACATTGAACTTTCAATTAAAGAATTGAGAGCATCTTTGGAATTACCTCCACCACCTTTATCAAGAATGGATGAATACGTTGCTTTAATATGTGCTTTAGCCACTGCATTAGAAAGAGAAAATGATATACCGGGAGCCACCAAGGTTTGTGAAGATGGAGAAATGGTTGTTGGAAATTCTCCAAGATTATTAATGGCTCATGCGTATCTTTTATTGTACTCCAAAAATGGAGCAGAACAAGCTATTAACTTGTTGACTAAAGTTGTCAATTTAGAAAATGAAAGTGCTACTCAAGAAGGATCTGATTTCTTGCCATGGTATTTGTTAGGAAAAGCCTATTCATACTTGGATCCTCGTGCTGCTTATGATTGTTATCAAGTAGCATTGAGATGCGCGTCAAATTGTTCTATCATTTGGTTAGCAGTTGGTAAACTATACTTGGAATTGAAGCAATTGAAGGATGCATTGGAAGCTTATTCACAAGCTTTGAAATTACAAATTGGAGATGGATCTCATGGAACTGCCACAGCATGGGATGGATTAAGTTGTGTTTATGAAAGATGTGAAGACCAATTAATGGATGCATCTGATGCATGTAATAGAGCAGCAGCTTGTTTTAAAGCCATTGGAGATGTTAAGAACAGTCAGTTTTTTGAAGAAAGAGCTAATGCATTGATCAAGGCATCCAAGAAAGAAGGTCCAATGTTAGATTTACGTGAACCTCCGGATGTACCAACTTTTTTAATTACAGAATTAGTTGCTTTAGCACCAAACGAAAGAATTTCATATACTCAACAACAATTACAAGCTCAACAACAAGCTCAGGAACAAGCTCAAGAACAAGCACAACTACAAGCCCAACAACAAGCACAACTACAAGCTCAACAACAAGCACAGGCCCAAGCTCAAGCCCAAGCCCAAGCACAAGCACAAGCCCAAGCACAAGCCCAAGCCCAAGCCCAAGCACAGGCCCAGGCCCAAGCACAAGCACAAGCCCAAGCCCAAGCACAAGCACAGGCACAGGCACAGGCACAGGCACAGGCACAGGCACAGGCACAGGCACAGGCACAGGCACAAGCCCAAGCCCAAGCTCAGCAACAACAACAACAACAGGCCCAACAGCAGCAACAACAACAACATCATCATCACCCATCACAAGATACATCGCGAAACAGCCCGCAAGTGCCAATACATACACCACAACAACAAGCTATACAATACCAAGGTCCACCACCTCCACAAGGACAACCACCACAGCAGCAACAACTGTACCTTTATCCAATGCAAAAGAATTCTCCACGTCCACCTCAATTGGCTACTCCACAAATACAACATGCTTGGTCACCACAACCTCAACAACAGGGTCCACCACCTCCACCGCCACAAGGACAACCACCACAACAACAGCAGCAGCAACAACAGCAACAACCACAGGGTCCCTCACCTCAGCAACAAGGACCTCCTCCACCACAGGGCCAACCACAACCACCACAACAATATTTCTACCCACCTCCACCTCCTCAAGGACAACCTTCACAAGGTCAACCAAATGGAGGCCCACACCGTTCACCAATGAATCCAACACAAATCATCCCTGCTGGTGCAACTCCTTATCAAATGGGCCCTGGTGGTCCCAACTCTGTTCCACCTGGTTATTATGGGTACGTTCCTATTCCAGGTGGTGTTCATAATCTGCAATATACATCACCAACATGGAGAAGATAGAGGATCTAAGATATAAAAGGAAGAGAGAGGAAGAATAATGATTTATCTTTGTTTTTATTTTATTTTGCAATGCTATTAGGTTTAGTTTATTTTTTTTATTTCCGCGTTCCATTGGGTGATTAATTGTATAGTTTATATTTATCAGTATTATTATCATCATTTTACTTTTTCTTTTTCTTTGTATATTTATTCCTCTTTAATAAAATCTACAAAATCGTGCCAATTACCGATATTTATCCTATCTTGTAAATTCAAATTATTAATAATGTTTACAATTTTTGTATCTTCGATAGCACATGGAATATCAGCATGTAACAAAGGTAACAAATCAGTACCGCTATCTCCAACATACATTATATTACTACCATCGAATTTTTGTTTAATAACATCTAATTTATCTTGAGATACTCTAATTCTATTTGATTTATCCCAATAACCAGTAGTTTTACCATTTTCAAATATTAATTCATTTGTAATTATTTGATTTACTTGAATTCCATGGTTTAGTAAAGCTTGATTAATAACTAAACTTGTCCAATTTGCACTCAAGATAATAATAGGAATATTTAATTTATTACATTTATCAACAAATTCAACAAAACCTGATCTAAATTTAATTTTATAAGCTTGTTTTTCAAAATTTGATCTAGTTAAGTTTTTAAATATTTCAAAATCTTCAATTGATTCAATTGATTTAGATTCAATTGATAATATACCATTTTGAAAATTTATTTCATCTTCTAATGTTTTCCTATCTCCAAAACTCTTTGAATATGATAAATAATTATTAAAATAATTATTAACAAATTGTGAAAAAGGTGGTGATAATGAAGGATTATTTAAATAAGGAACTTCAGATACATATTGAATTGTATCTTCAATTGTGACTGTTTCATCCCAATCAGTAATAACAACTCTTGGTCGTTGTTTAGAAAAAGATGAAGATTTCATGAATTGTGGAATTAATCGAAAAGTAGCCGATGTTGAAGGCGATCTCATAAAAAAGACATGTTACACATAAAGAGGTGTTACGTTTTTATTCTTATTTTTTTTTTTTTTTTCTTTTTGTAAGCGATCGTTTGAAAGTTGTTGCCGTTGTTGATGGTGAATCTGTCAGTTGAAACAAATTTGCAACTTGTTCTATTTCTTGTCAATATAAATTCCCTTCAATTGTATAGGGTTGATTACCCCAAGGATAACTGAAGTCAAATTTTATAAAACAAATTCAGGTCAAGGCAAGAGAGTGATGTTGTAGTTGTCAAGTGACTATATAGAGTTTGTTTTTATTTTTCTCCCTGTTTTTTTTTTATTTTTTTCTTTATTCTTTGGTACAATAGTCATCGTCTTTTTTTTAGGGGACTAATTGCTTACTTTTTTCTTTTTATTTTACGTATTCAGTAAATTAATACTATACTTGGTAAAGATAAATATGAGTGGAGGTAAAGAATTCGGTCACTTGGGTGATGTCAAAAAACATGTCGATGAAAAATCATCAAAAGATGAGAACAAGAAGCCTTTAGGTAAAGTTGAAGGTAATGCCGGCAAGGTAGAAGGAAAGTCGGGTAAGGTAGAAGGTAATGCTGGAAAGGTAGAAGGTAATGTCGGTAAAGTAGAGGGCCAGGTTGGAAAGGTAGAAGGTAATGTCGGTAAGGTAGAGGGCCAGGTTGGTAAAGTGGAAGGTCAATTGGGTAAAGTTGAAGGTCAAGTTGGCAAATTTGAAGGTGATTCCAAACCAAAGAAAAATTAAGGGGGATTAATTAATCAAGAACGGAACAAACAATGATTTCATTTCCTTAGCCAATCTAACCGATCCATCAGCGCACGACTTTTTCCCACCTAATTCGAAAGATAAATTTCCTATTGTAGAAAAGAGAGAAAAAGCAAGCAATTTCCATGTGTGTAAGCGTTTATTCACGTCGAGTTTAAGTGTAGATCTAGTGGCGAACTAATAATATAAACAATTGCCAATTTACTTGCATTCTTTCTTCTTTTAATTCAATCAATTACTACAAAAATGACTTCTGAAGAACAACAACAACAACAATCCACCAACCCAAATGCAAAGGAAGAACTCAATCAAAATGATTTGAATCAAATAAAAGATATTGCACAAAAAATCCTTAATCCTAACAATAATAACCCCACCATGAATGAATATATTCAAAGTACATTCGCTTATATTGGTACCGCTTTGATGAAAATGCAAACTACTAATGATAAACAAGCTACTGCCAAAGAAATTGCTGATGATTTAACTCAAAGATTCGAAACTTGGGTTCAAAACAGAGAGGCTGAACAGAAGAAACAACAAGAAGCTGTAACAACAGAAGACAAACCAGCAATCACTGATAAAAAAGAGTAATTAAAATGTTTACAATCCTTATATCCATTACAAGTATAATATATCATTAAAAATGAATATTTGTTCATAACGGACTCAAACCATGTAATATTTAAAATCAATTTAGCAAGATGAATATGTAAGACACACAGTATATGATATCACCGAATGTCCTATAATAAAATTATCTTCCTGCAAAAGTATCTCTACATTATAATCAGATTCAATAGTATTAATGTATATTAGTGATTATTATTGCTTATGAAAAGGAAAGAAGAAGAAGGAAAAAAAAGTGGGAATCAAAAGTTGAAAATTTTTATTCATCGGATTTTTTTTTTTCATTCGTTTTTATCTGCGTATTTCTTCTCATCGCAAGAAAACATCTAACCCAGACATTTCAATTATACAATGAGTTCTATCCCAGCTTGGAAGCGTGCAGGTTTACTAGTCAAGGCTGAACAAGAAGCCGAAGACGAATCATTATCAACTAAAAGAATTGAGACTGATGATTTAACTACTAAACAAATTAAGAAAATTAGTAACAAACGTAAGCTTCAAGATGATACTAAACATAAGACAAATAAAAAACCACCTAAAAGAGTAAAACTACCTAAAAATGAAAGAGCTCCACCTCCAGTAAAAGATCAATTAACATATCTTAAACAGTTCCATGAAGACAAAGCAAACTGGAAGTTCAACAAGCTGAAACAAAATTGGATCTTGAAGAACATTAGGGATATTCCTGCTGATTACGAAGAAGCATTAGTAAGCTATTTGGGTACCCTACAAGGTGGATCTAGAGATAGACTTATACCCGAATTGAAAGAGGTGATCAATAAGTGGAATACTCAATACGAAGAAGCTGAAAAGAAGATTGAAGAACAATTAGCCAAAAAGTTAGAAGGTGATGAGCCAGAAAAAGAGGAAGAAAAGAAGGGTGACAAAGAAAAGAAAGAAGAACTGAAAGAAGAAAAGAAGGAGGATGTTGTAAATGTTGTTAATTTGGAGTATGCTGTTAGATGTAAAAGTATTCTTTCACAATTGACAGAAGAGGATGTAGAAGTTAAAGGTGAATAGAATCTACAGGTAAGGAGCGAAAAAAAATATATATACAGTATGTACAAAAAAACAAAAGCGCACTTCAAAAAGTGGCAATCAGTCGTACAACAATTATCACACACACACACTCTCCGTCACAGACTTTCTTTTACTTGTACGTTTCCTTAGCCCCCCCACACACAATGGTTGATATCAATTTCACCGTCTTAAAAGACAGGGCAATGGACGTTGACCCTGATATTAGATTTATGGCATTGGAAGATTTGCGTAAATTTTTACAAGATGAACCTGTTGCATCAACAAGAACAAACTTGAATTATTCATTGGAATCCCTTTTCCCAGTTTTATTAAACATGTTAAGTGACCTGAACCCTGATGTTCAAAGTCAAGCAGTGAAATCTTTTGAACCAATGGTTAAATATTTGTCCAATGACACTCTTTTGAAATTAGTCAAGAAATTGTTCACTTTAGTTCAACAAGGAAGTGGTAGTTCAGGGTCGTCGACAGTTGCCAATTTGAAAAATTTCGCCATTTCAATCCCAAACATGGCTCTTCGTTCATTATTTGCCCAATCTAACTCCAGAGATAAATCGGAATTTGTTTCAGATAAATTGTCTAGTTCAAATTATAGATTCGACCCTCGTTTGGCAAGAGCTATTATGGATTATCTTATCCCTCAAATTGTTGACAACGACGTGACTATTGATTCAATTGAATTGTTAATCGATTTGATTGCAGAAATTGGATACGTTTTACATCAAGATGAATTGCTTAACTTGTCAATGTTCTTGATTAAAGTTGCGTTATCTGAAACGGGGCTCATTGGTAAGAAATCCTTAGTAGCTTTGGAAAAAGTTGTTCCCTTGATACGTACTAATTCAGTTATTGATAACTTATTAGCACAAATAAGTCAACTGGAAAACCAATCCAACTTGAACATTATTTTACAGTTATATTCTGTATGCTTAAGACGCGGACTTCAACCAAACTCAGTTGATGGTATATACAATACCATTGTTTCTATTTTAAGAGCAGACTTGGGTGATGACATTGATGATTTAGATTTTGATGATTTGGTTAAGAAGAATTCATTGAAGGACGAATCTTTTACTACATTGATTGATTTGGTTGCTCAAAATTTCCTTCCAGCCCAAAATATTGAACAGGTTGTGGAAATAATCAAGTTTTATTTGAAGTATAACCCATTAGCTCAAGATGATGATTTTGATGAAGATGAAGACGACGACATTGTCTTCAGTGATGATGAACAAGAAGGTGAAGAAGATAGCGAGAATGATGGATCATGGAAATTGAGAGCTAGAGCAACAATTTTAGTTAGAGCAATGCTTGATGCTTTCCCTGAATTACTCGAATCCTTAACCAATGACGTGCTTCTTTTGTTACCATTTGATGATTCCAATGATCAAGTCGTTGCTGAGTCAATCAAAACTGCCATCGTTATTGTCAACGCTACTTCGCCTCGTGATGCTCAAAACGTCCACAATATTGGCCCAATTATCACCTCTCGTTTGTCATCTGCTAATGAAACTCAATTGCCATTGTTTCTCAAACTTGTTGAATGCTTGAATCGTTTTGATAATGTTGCTTTAGTTGAGGAGACGTTCAATATTTTTCAATCACGTATGTTGGTGACATCTGGTTCATTTGACTACTTGCAATTTTATTCAAGTGCTTTGAAATTTCATGATATATTACCTTCAAGCGTTATTACATGGATGGTTAAGGATTTCATTACCAATCTTGAAGATAAATCATTCAACATGATCATTGACACTATAAAGTGTTTGACTTTATTATTCCAGCAGGCTAATCTTGGAAATGTTGACAAAATTGTTGATCAATTGATTTGCAAATTAGAAAATAGCAAGAAATATCCGAGTGATTTGATTCGTCAATCCATTATTGCTTTAGGGCAAGCATATGCAAAGTCTGATAAAGAGAAGATCTTGACTGCTTTGAAAACTTCCATTGGATTTGAAGGTACCAATAAAGCTACCATTGATGTTCTTAATCAGGTTTATTCAGATGAAGTGCCTGTAGATTACTCATCATTTATTCTTGGAAAATTGAGTACATCCATCATGTCAAGCAACGAAGGGACCTCTATTGCCTCATTGTCGTTAATGCGCAAGATATTATCCATTGTACCAGGAGGACAATACGATGAAATCATTCGTAACTTGATTCAATTATTGACTGTTACCAATAAAACTAATTATGAATGTATTTTTGATATATTCAACAGATTAGCAGAAGGCATATTTCTGAACACCAATTTCAAGGAGCAACTTTTGAGTTCAATTGTTAAGTTGGTCAATGAAAATAAGATCGATGTTGAGGAAAGTTCATTCTTTGAATTTTTAACAAGAGCCTGTCAATTTGATGTTACTTTGTACGACTACTTCGAAGGTGCTCTTAACTTAGATTCTCAAGTCAGTGCCAAAATTCTTGCACTTTGTGCAATTCAGAATCAACTCGATGATAAGATTACTAAGCGAAGACAAGATTTCCAACTTTACTTTAGTAGTGACGTTAACAACAAAAAATTTGCATTCGATATTTTGTTCCTTGGTTATGTCGGCAGTCAGGTCGAAATTAAAGAGTTGGATATACAAACTTTAATTGGATTGTTGCAGGCAGATAAATTTAGCAGTGCTTTGAATATCCAAGCTGCTTCGACTGCCTTAGGTTTGATTGCTAGGAAAAACGTTGAATCTGGGGTACCAATGATCTTGGATACCTTCACGAAGAGTGATAAATCTTCTATTAGGGGTGCATTACTCGATGCCTTGTGTATTGCAGTTAATGCATGCACTGAAGAGCAGAAGAAGTTCATATGGGATAAAGTTTTCAACTATCCAATTGAATTTCATCACGATGTGATCTCCGAACTTAGAAAATCAGGTGAGTTATTAGGAAAGATTGTCCATTTTGAAGAATTGGCTATCAAAACAGATAATTTAAAGGAGATATATCTTATTCTAGTAATTACCAAGTCTTTATTGAGTAATCTTCAAGCTACTCAAGTTAACAATTCCTTGCTAGATAATTTGATCAAATCATCAGTTGAATGGCTTAATGTTTTAAATATTGACATTAGACAAATCATCATTGGCAATTTACTTACTGGATTGCACACTAAGCCAACAACACTTTTGCCAATATTACAAGCAATTATACTTCCTGGTATTTTTGCTCAATTAAAGGCGGAAGAGCAATTTAAGAAAATCATAACTATGGGGCCATCCAAATATGTTTTAGATGAAGGATTAGAAATTAGAAAGCTTTGTTACGAGTTTATTTATTCAATAATTTCATTAGACGAGGCAACACTTGCTAAAAATCAAGTAAACCTTGAAGACATTGCTGCCAAGATCATAGAGTTTGGTTTAACAGATGATCAAACCGACATTACATTATTGACATGTATTAATTTGATTAACTATATTGATTTGCACAAGTCTAGTGCAGTTGAATTGGTCAGCAGAGACAGAGGTGTCTTGTTAGGTAATATGATTACCAGTTTGAAAAAACAATTGGGTAAGAAATTGTCATCCAAAGCAACAGCTCAAGAAACAGAGACTTTTCAAGAAAGAATCAAGTCGATAATCAAGTTGTCCAAAAAATTCAACGGTGTAGTTGAAGCAGCTGAAAATAGTGAGCTAGCAACAGTTATTAGATCATGGAATGACTACATTTCTGACTTAAAAGCCAACTTTACTATATATTATAATAGCACTGAAGATTTATAGCGAGAATAAATAAGTATTGACACTTTGAAGAGTACTTCTACTTGGGTTGGCTTTACATACGTGTGAGACTTTACTCAAATGCTGTTTGATCAAAGTTTTGGTGATTTTTGGTGGTTCTGTAGTTCTCTTCCAATCCAAGTCGAAATTCAAACATAACAAAATGATAGCAATCCCCACACTCATATCGCGACCAGAATCACATAGAATAGTACAAGGAGCTGTTAATGGTAATTGTGGAAGGATGGATCTGAGAATATTGGCACCCTTTTTGTTATTGGATATTCTATGGTGCACGACCGACTTGGTTTCTGGAATATCAACAACCGAGTACTGTTCATGAAAGACAATGGTGGTGGCGTCTGGATTGAGTAGACTATACGGTATGTTACTTTCAATTTTCCCAACTGTTATACCAGTCTCTCTTAGTGAGTGTGTTTCCAAGGACCCCAGGGACTGTTTGTAACCATTGATAATCTCTTCGAGTTCAGAATCTCCTATAGTGATATATCCGTCATGAGTGATTTTATCACACACATCCCAAAATACATCAGCTCTTAAGTGGCCGGGGGCCCAGAGTTCATGGTCGTCTGCTGAGCCTTGAACATAGTCAAAGGATATTGTCGAGTTGACATTGACTTGTTTGTGTACATCAACCTTTCTGCTCGCAGAGACACAACAGATATTGTAGACCGAATCATCTATGGATTGCTCCCCACATGATGGGTAATACCAGGTTGGAACCAACGGTTTCTGCAACCTTTCACACCCATCAAGCAACCCCATGCGTTTGACCTCCGCCACGAAGGAGGGAATGAGTTTGTTGATTGAGTTGTGTTCGCTTTCAGATACCATCGACAATGGAGTCTTCAACCAGTCCCCTTCTCGGTAGAGCACCGAGTTGACAACGGCACACCATATGGGGATGGTTTTCAGTAACGCATCAGGCATTAGTTTTTCTCTTCGTGTTGAATCCACAACTGTGACCCCACCTGACGATTCAATAAGTGGGAGCAAGTGCAAGTTGAGTCGACGCAAGGAAAATGTCCACACATTTGTATGCCCATCAGTTGACTTGAAATAACATGTATCTTGTCTCTCTTTCGGAGGCACATACCATGTGCCGCATCGTTCGTTCGCAACTAGTGGGTACTCAATTGCGTGATGCACAGCTTTGACAAATTGGTAGTCATGGAGAATCGACTGGAGTCGGTTTTTCAACGACAACAGTGACTTCTTCAAGTCCTTGTTGATCTCATTGATATCGTTGTTGACATTGAAAATTGGTTGTGTGAAGGTCATCAAAGAGGTGAACAGAGGTGTAAATAAGTTTTTTTTTTTTTTTTTCCTTCTTTCTCTTTGTCCTGTATTGATCTATATATCATCTACCTAATCTCTTTTTCTTCAAAGCTTGCAACCTCTTTTCTCGCTCCATTTCTTTACGATCTTCCATTTCAGCGTCCAATCTGGATTGAAACTCTTCGTCAAAAATCTCAGCTCCCGTTGCCTCCATGTCGTCCGAGTCGTAGTCATCTGCATAATACGACCGTTTCTTTCCTCTATTGAACATGGCCCAGATCTCACTTCTATGATTATCGTTATAGTCATCCTCCTCCTCCTCGTCGTCTTCAACAAACGAATCCAAATCATCGTCATCGTCGTAATCATCTCTCTCGTGCACAGACTTGGCCATTTTCTTCTGTTCTAATCTCTCTTTGATCTTGTTTGACGGTTGTCGTGTAGGTAATGGTGTTCTGACCACTAGCTTCGGAGGACGTGGTGCTGGAACTGAAGTTTGTTTCTTCACTGGTTTCACTGATGTCCCTGTTGGTTTATGCGGAGTAGGTTTGGGTGGCACTGGCGAAGCACTCTTTCGTTGTTGCTCAGCTTCTGGGGACTTGCTCTTGTTCAAAAGATTTATAGAAAGTTTCTCCGTATTGATAGCCGACGCCTTTTTCATCAACTCAGCATAATTCAATTGTTTCTTTGGTGCTGGACGTGGAGGTAGTGCTTGTGATGATGGTGCTCTATTCTGCTGGGACGTGACTTGTTGTTTCTGGCGGGGAGCAGTTCTACCTGTAGTACTTTTGTTTGCAGTTGACTTCTTCTGGACCGGCTTCAACCCCTTTCTTTCTCTTTCTGCACGTTCTTTCTCTTCTCTTTCCAATCGTCGTTTCTCTTTCAATCTGGCCACCACTGGATCTATGGGACGATTAGGTGTTGGTCTTCGATGCTCGGTTTTCGTGGCAGAAGGTTTTCCATTATTAGTAGAGGGAGTTACCGGTTTGGCCAGTTCAACTTTTCCCTTTTTCTCGATTCTCAGTAGGATAGATGATAACCCCATGTCTGATTAATTAGGTTATGGACCTCTCATGAGTTGTCACATAAAAGTGAAGTTAAACAAAGTGAGCAGCGAAAGGAAAAAAAAAAAGAAAAAAGAAAAAGTCAACTAAATTGATCTGGTGCACGATTTTCTGGTCACGTGAAAACGATGAATGCCCAATAGGAAAAATTTGATATTGAAACAATTCATTAGAACCTTATTGTAGGTATTTGATACAACCATGTATATGATATATGTTAGAAATTTAACAAAATGATGCAATATAGGTGTAATAATTCATGTAGTAGTTTTCAGATATAATCATACAGAGTTTGAGCTAAGGTTTGGAACAAAAAAAAAAGAAAGAAAAAATCAAATCAATGAAAACTCTATTACTGTTTGTTGGTAGAAAGCCTGTATAAATACTGTCATAATGAAATCCGAATCACCACAATCTGCTCAAGTATTAGATTACCTAAAATCAGAATATACCAATTATTTAACAAAGGCTAAGGAGGATAAAGAAGGGGAAAAATACAAGGTTTATCGATCCTTAGAATCACCAAATCAATGGACAAGCAATACAGGCAGCAATAGACAAAACAACAACAAAAATAATCCTAAAGAAGTGATAAGAAACCGTCCAGGAAATAACAACACATTAGACTTGCTATTTGAAATCAATCGTTCAGTTTACCAACAGAGAGAAAGACAAAATAAATAATAATTAAGAGATGGAATGAACAACGTTTAGCAGGAATCAACACGGGTTTATTCATTATTTTCAATTGTATTTAATCAAAAAAAAAAAAAAATTATTAATAAAGAAACTAGGAATATATATATATTTTGAGCACGATTAATCATATGTATTTACTTATTTTGGACCAATCATTTCTTCTGGTTTGACCCATTCGTCGAATTCTTCAGAGGTCAAGACACCCAATTCCAAAGCAGATTCCTTTAAGGTCAAACCTTTCTTGTGAGCATTCTTGGCAACTTTAGAAGCAGCATCATAACCGATCTTAGAGTTCAAGGCAGTAACCAACATCAAAGATTTGTTCATCAAGTCACTGATTCTTTCTTTATTGGCAACAATTCCGTCAACACAGTGTTCACGGAAACTCTTAGAACCGTCAGCAATTAATCTAATTGAGCTGAGCAAGTTGCTGATAAGGACTGGTTTGAAAACATTTAATTCAAATTGACCGTTGGCACCAGCAAAAGTAATGGCAGTGTGGTTACCGAAGACTTGAGCAGCAACCATGGTAAGAGCTTCATTTTGAGTTGGGTTAACCTTACCTGGCATAATGGAACTACCTGGTTCATTTTCTGGCAAAGCCAATTCACCGTAACCACAACGTGGACCAGATCCCAAGTATCTGATATCATTGGCAATTTTATGCAAACTGACAGCAACGGTGTTAAGAGCACCAGAAGCTTCAACAATGGCGTCATGGGCAGCCAAAGCTTCGAACTTGTTTGGAGCAGTCTTAAATGGGAAACCAGTAGCTTTGGAAATTTCTTCAGCAATTTTGACATCCCAACCTTTTTTGGTGTTCAAACCAGTACCGACAGCAGTACCACCTTGAGCCAAGTACAACAAGTTTGGCAAAGCCTTTTCAACTCTTTCAATACCGAAAGTCAATTGTTGAGCGTAACCGGAGAATTCTTGACCCAAAGTCAATGGAGTGGCATCTTGCAAGTGGGTACGACCAATCTTGATAATTTCTTGGAATTCATCAGCTTTAGCTTGCAAAGAGTCACGCAATGCAGTCAATTCTGGGAGCAAAGAATTGTTAATTTCAGTAACAGCAGCAATGTGCATGACAGTTGGGAAAGTATCATTGGAAGATTGAGACATGTTACAGTGGTCGTTTGGATGAACTGGTTTTTTAGAACCCATTTCACCACCCAAGATTTCGATGGCTCTGTTGGAGATAACTTCGTTAGCATTCATGTTGGATTGGGTACCAGAACCAGTTTGGAAGACAACCAATGGGAAATGTTCGTCCAATTTACCTTCTGCAACTTCAGTGGCAGCTTCTTGAATAGCGGCAGATAATTTTGGGTCTAAACTTCCCAATTCTTCATTAACTCTAGCGGCAGATCTCTTCAAAATACCAAAAGCTCTAACAACTGGAATTGGCATACGGGCAGCCTCACCACCAATCTTGAAATTCATTTTTGATCTAGCGGTTTGAGCACCGTAGTATTTGTCACTTGGCACTTCGATTTCACCAAAAGCATCAGATTCGATTCTGGTGCTATTGACAGATGAAGTGGCAAAGGATCTCATTGGAATAGATAATTTAGCGTTTCTGGTTAATCTTAACATTCTGTTGTTCTTTGGAAAATCAAGAACGTAAAGAAAGAAATAAACTAAGGGGGATTTAGCGTGGTTTTTATTTTATTTTTCAGCTCAATTACTCGCTCACTTCTCTGCGGGTCTGGGGTTTATTTTTTTTCTCATTCGGAATTTTCTTGGGCATGATTCCCGAAAACAAAATCTGATTGGTCAATGGTGGGAGAGCTACCCCGGAGCTCTTGTCGATTGCAACACATTAAATCTATCATGTCTATTTCCTATTTACAATATATACGTTGAATTCATCTATACTAGGCCATGGCCAATCTCTCTTCAGGTGAACCTTTTCGTGATGTTTGATGTGTCTTTCAGCAAATTCTTTTGGTAATGCCCCTAACAATGTGAGAAGCAATTCTTTACTGGGCTCAAATCTTAAATCTTCCCACCATTTCATTATCTTGGAAAGTTCTGATACATAATCATATCGAATTAGTAACTTGGTATACAAACCCCATAACCATTCATTTGGTACAAGTCCCATACCCTTTGTTTTCACGTGCTTTTGAAACTCCATCACCGCTATTTCAGGGGCAGTAAACCCATTCCAAAGAATCGATTCCCCATCAAAGCATGCAACTCTCAATAATGTTCCAAGACAAGTTTTGTTAGGAGATAATCCTTTATCTATGAGCTCCGTCTTATATACTTCAAACACCTTGCTAGGGTTGGACTTTGCATAGGATTCCAAGACCAACCCCACATTTTCAATCGAGGTTGTTGGAAACGAGTTCAAAATCTCTTCACCCCAGGGGAATTTTGGTAATGGACCTTCATGATTGTTTGCTAATTGAACATATTTCTTAATGAAAAGTCTGGCGGTCTTTGTGTCCACCAGATTTGCCATAGCTCTCAAAACCACCAAACTGTCAATATGTCTAACAAGTTCAGTAACCACATCACTGGTTATACTGATTTTGCTAATTACCAACTCATTTAGAATTTGCTTTGATCTTGTTTCATCTAACATACCAAACTGATTTAATCTCCGTATGAAGAATAACCATATATTCAAAGAATTTTCAAGTTTTCGGGTTGCAACATTGAATACGTGTAAAAGATGGTCTGGAGTATCGCAAAGGCATATCCGAGCAATATAATAAGCAACCAAATCCTTCTGTGACTTTTTATGCTGAGAAAACTTTCTTTCTGCTATTTGAAACAACTTCTCCCCTTTGCTATGAGAAACCCTTGCTATAACTATAGTAATTCCCATATATGCTTTAAACGACAACTTTTCAACCAGGCTGATATAAGAAATCAACAATTCTTGAGCATTGGCAATAACTGTGGGATCGAGATCTCGGTACTTAGAAGAGTATAGTGCCAAATTCCAAATCGATTCGTTTATGAAATTGTTGCCTAGTTCCACATGGATACCAGTTCTGGATGACTTAAAAAATTTGAACGACTCCTCAATAATCGGCTGTAAATAACCTGGCTCAAACATAATACTGTAGTAAATTAAATTATCAAGTACATCTTTCAAAATGGAAACCAGCTTCAATCTTAGCAACGCAAAATTTCTCATATTATCTCGCCATATATTTACCTGTAACAAGAACTCTTCCCTGAACTGGGGATTCTTCAACATAATGTCAAATAATACAAATGGCGGTGGCGAGTCTAGCTGTTTTATACTGTTGTAACTTTCCGTTATTGTGCGGGACTTGATAGCTGTTATCCAGGACACCAATTCATCTATATTATACTGTCTATTGATTTTTTGTGTTACAATATAGTAACACTTTAAGGGAATATTTAACTTCTCAGGGCTTGTGCGAGTAATATCACTGACATATTGGACATCCTCGGAAAGATCTGGCGCTTCACCAAGAAACTCGTATAGTCGTTCAAAATATAGATGAGATTGGGTTGAGTTATTTATAATGCAAATTAGATGAAATACAATTGGTTCTAACATAAGTTCCAATTTTTCAGGTGATTTTTTTTTGAAAATATCTGTATTTATCTTCAGATGTTCGATTTTGGAACAGATCGGTAGGTACTCCATTCGTGGTTGAATTTTAACTGGGTTCTTATTAAATTTGGTTAGCTCATTATGCAATTTATTGGGGATTCTTCCAATGGGTCTATGTAGGAAAGTTGATGCATTTCTTAATCCTAGTAGTAAATATGACTTAGACGGTAGAATGGGTCGACATTTTCGTAGTAGTTCCAAGTGTGTCATGTTGTGCTTTGCTAGATCATAATTGTTCTTATAATTTGTAAACCCTCTCTGAATGTGAATTTTTCACATCTGTAATAATTTTCTTCTTTCTCGTGCTCTCTAAATTTTGCGTGCCGATTAGACTAAAAATATTATCCAAAAATAAAAAAAAAAATAAAGAGTAAAAACCTCACAATCTTGATAGTGTTTGGAAATAAGAGCTCAGCATGAACTCAAATACCCCCAGTATTCATCATAAAGTGCTATTGAATGAAATAGATACCTCTGAATCAACAAACAATAGGAAAAGACGCGGTACAAGAACCGATCCTGTTATTGTTGAAGACAATTCCGAAGATAGCTCTTCTGATTCGGATGAATTTGAAGACGTGGACCTAGACATATCGGATGCCGAAGAATTTGAAGACATTGATCTTACAGGTTCCAACATAGTCCCAGAGAAGAATGACACATTAGTTATACGAATTAAAAAGGATGAACAGACTAAGAAACGAAAGTATGTGATTAGTTTAGAGGAAAGACGAAAGCGTATTTTGCTCCACAAAATGTACTTAGTTATGATGGCGGTACACGGAAGTCTTCGTAACTCATGGTGCAATAATAAGGGGTTACAGAAATCACTAAAATCGTCTTGCATTACCAGTCAAATTACGCAGTTACTTCAAATGGATGATAAGGTTCTGGATCAGGTTAAGTCTCGAAGGTTGCTAGATGTGTTGAAAAAGATCATGACAATATATCTGGCTAAATTCAGAGTAACATCACAGGGAATAATACGCAAGGATTGGAATGAACTTGAAATACCACAAAAGTCAGATATTGTGGGTGGTAAGACATTCAAGAAATTAGTCAGCAATCTACGTGGAAGCAGGGATTTGGGAGCACAGGGATTTGTCATTCTTCTTCGGGGGTTAGGGTTGAATGCGAGGTTAGTGATGTCAATGCAGCCTCCAGATTTCACCAAAATAACTATAGATAAGAATCCAAAAATTGAAACTAGCAAGAAAAGAAAACTACTGCCACTGGTGTTGAAGGATTCAGAATATCCAGTTTTTTGGGTTGAAGTTTGGAACAAATTTCTGCATCAGTGGGTGAGTATAGATCCTATAATGAAAAAGATCATCGAGGTTTGTCCAAAGAGAAAGAGATCATCATTCGAACCTCCTGTTTCTGATGAACGAAACCAACTCACATACGTGCTTGCTTTTGACAAGTATGGCCAAGTGCGGGACGTGACCAGAAGATATAGCCACCAATATAATGCCCGAACAATTCGGAAAAGGATTGAATTTAGATCAGTGGAAGATAAATTATGGTATCAGAAAATTTTGAGCATATGTGATCGGAAGAATTCAAACAACACAGCGGATGTTTATGAACAGAAAGAATTCCATGAACGCGATTTAGCAGAAGGGATGCCCAATAACATACAAGCTTTTAGAAATCACCCACTTTATGCTCTAGAGTCACAACTTCGACAAGATGAAATTATATACCCCAAAGATAGCTCAACACAATGTGGTACCTTTCGCTCAAAGACAACTTCAAAAGCGATACCAGTTTACAAGAGAACCAGTGTACATCGTCTACGGTCCGCCAAAGCATGGGCTATGAGGGGAAGACAATTGAAGATTGGTGCTATTCCATTGAAACAGAAAGACGAAGATGTGCGGTTGTATGCAGAGTTTCAAACACAGTTGTATTTAGCACCACCCGTGAAAGATGGAATTGTACCAAAAAATCAGTACGGAAACATCGATGTGTATAAAGATACAATGTTGCCTGAATATTCTGTGATGATTGAAAGTTCAGACAAATGCTCAATGAAATTACTTCAACAAGCCGCAAGGTTGTTAGATATCGATTATGCTAGAGCAATTGTTGCATTTGATTTTAAGGGAAGAAAACTGAAGAATAAACCAACGGCAAAAGAAGGGGGGATAGTCATTGCCAGTGAATTTGAGGAAGCAATGAGGCTTGTGATAGACCATTTATTAGAAGAGAAAGAAGATGTCAAGCGTCAATCTTCAGAAACAAACGCCTTGAATAATTGGAAGTACTTCTTGTTGAAGTTGAGATTGGAAGATCGTTTGAACAAATCACACGGTGTAATTGACGATAATGGAGATATCGCCAATGACGTCATAAATGATAACATACCTGATAGCGAGCTCATACAGTCACATGATGAGGACAATCTGTCCATCGATGGAGGCGGCTTTATAGTTGATGATGATGATGATGAAGGTAGTGCTGGTGGTACTAAGATTGAAAGTCCAAGACAACGTTCAACAAGAAATAACGAGCCTACTTATTATGAAAGTGGCGACCAAGATAGTCTGTCAGACGCAGAAGTGGAAACTGATCTGGATATCGATTTTTATTACGAAAGTGAATAGGGCAATATATAATAAATCAAAACCGCGTTATAAGATATTGTAATGTGAAGTTGGGAACAAACTAAAATGTATACGTAAAAGAACCAAGAAAATATAAAAAATAAAAAGGAAAAAAAAAAATACTATCAATGAAAAAGAAAAAGAAAACATGTTTACCATTTTACTGTTTCATTGAAGATGTTCCCAAACAGGCTTATCGATGGTGTGATCTAATGGTGGTGTGATTGAGAAAACTATGATTTTGATTCATCCCCATCTTTATTCTGCAAAGTTGTATGAAGTTATTTCCTGTTCCTTTTTTTTTCGCATGAGTCTATATTATAAAAGACGATTGAATTATTCTGTTAATTCGTAAATATGTACATATTTGCCAAACTTGGCGATATTCACCGAATAGTTTGAGGTAGTGGATTTGTTTATGGAGATGCTTTCACTTTTTGGCTTGAAGAAATAAAAAATTTGGAATCATCATGGCAGTTGTAGTTACAGGATAACCTACGCCGTGTTGGCTGCTTCAAACACAAGATGCAAATAACTTGCATAAAATTTGAATAAGCGCAAGCGGCTTCTTGGGATAAGCGCAAGACGCAACCAATGTACTTTTCATAGGGATAGAAGGAGAAAAAAAAAAAATTTTTTTTTCTTACTCTGAACCAATGACTATTGATTTTGTAAAATATTGATATTTTCTTCTTAATAAATAATAATAATAAATTGAAACAAGTAAACGAAAAAGAATACAACTTAGTATTACTTTTTTTTGTCTTTGGTTTATGCGTTCCGAGATTCTACTATAAATAATAGAAAGATTTCCCTTCCCCCCCAGTACTTTTATCACTAGACTGGGTTGCTTTGTATATTTATTTGCTTGTTCTACTACTCTCTCAATCTGTTGTGTTTTGAATTAGGAATAGCATTTTTCTATAAATGTCAAACTCAGTAGCTGAAAATGTCTTGGGGACAATAGGGACCGTGTTATGGTGTATTCAACTTATTCCCCAAGTTATTAGGAACTATAGGAAAAAGGATTGTGAAGGTTTACCTCCACTGATGATGTTTTTATGGGCTGCTAGTGGTGTTCCATTTTCTATTTATTTCATAGCTATTGATGGATCCATTCCTTTGAGAATTCAACCACAGTTGTTTACGTTCTTCTGTACCATTTCATGGATTCAAACATTATACTATCCACCTAAAAATGTCACACGCACCAGATTGGCTGCTTATGTGGGATCTTTTATTTTAATTTCTGTTGGCCTAGAAGTGGGATTGATTTTATGGCTAAGACCTTTGTATAGAAGAGGAATAGAATGGCCAATGTTGATTATTGGTATTATTGCTTCGGTGTTGTTAGCTGTTGGGCTAATTCCTCCGTACTTTGAATTGGCAAAACGCAAAGGAAGAGTTGTTGGTATCAACTTTTTATTTTTGAGCATGGACTGCACAGGTGCTTTGTTTTCTATGTTGAGTGTATTAGTTGGTACTATGGATATCATGAGTATCGTATTGTATGCCATTGTGATGGCTTTAGAGATTGGTATCTTCCTCAGTCATGTTATCTGGTGGTTGAGAATTGGAAGAAAAGGCGATACCGAATCAATTGAACTAGAAAAGCATACCGATATTTCCAGCAAAGAAGACATTAAGAAAGATGATGTGTCAGTGTAACACATGAAATTGTATGTATATATATATATATATATGTTTTGAGCTTGATATAAGCAAATAGATAGAGTGGATTGTATAAACGATAACGATGTAGACTTTTTGAGACCAGAAAAGCCATATCACTTTGTAAGTAATAATTTATTTGATTCGCATTTTGGTGTTTAAACTCAAGACAGAAAGGGGAATGAAAAACAAAACAAAAAAAAAACCACCAGCCAGACCTCTGTTAAGGATTACACTACTATCACAGAATGGTATGTCGAATAACGTGAAACAATGCCTTATACCGATTTGATATACTAACAAATTCACAGTCTTCATTTGTACCGTTGAATTTCTTGGATGATTCACTATCCAAGAAGGATTTGGAGGAAGAACATACACGAGAATTGCAAGTCGAGCAAGCATATCAACTATTTCAGTCTGCATTGAGATTTCAAAAACTGAAACAATATGAAGCGGCATATAAAGTTTATGATGATTTGTTTAAGTTAAATATCATTTCGAATCATTACTATGAAGAAGTGGATTTCATCAGAGGATTACAGAATGGATCACAAAATACTATCCCAGACGAGTTGGCATTGACTTCTCCCAATGTCAAATCGTTGAGATATTTAATCTTCAGAAACAGAGGGTTCCTATACTTGGAAATGTTAAAACATAATTCACATGATACCACAGAACTGAAAATGAAAGATCTATTCTATCCGTTGTTAGATGATTTTTGCATTGCATTGTTATATAACGAGGCAGATGAAAAATTGTTGGCTACTTTGTATGACATATTTATCTATATTGGATCTGATAGGTTGGCAAGATACACATTGGAATATATTTTGAGTTCCCAAAAGGAAAGTGACGACTTATCTGGATTGCTCCCTCCAGATAAAAATGCAATAACACGTCACCACCAGTTCTTGCAAAAACTACAAATAGGGCAATCAAGCCAAAAGAATCTAGAATACTTACTGTTTCTAGAACCCATTAGATTAGATATTGAATCTCAGCAAGAAAAACTCAACAAGACGTTTGTCACCACCATCACAGTTTCTACACGGAATTGGACCGATTTGATTGATGCAGTAAATCATCACTTGAAGGAGAAGCAAGATGAAAACAAAATCGAGGATGTTCATCGGCCAAAGATCAAATCAATCGAACCTTATATTTTAAGTGAGGAGCCAATAGACAAAATCATATTTCAATTTGAAAAGAAGGAAAATAGCCAACCAGCACCGGTGGAGCCAGAAGTCAATGAACAATCTCAAACAGGGACAACCGCAACGGTAACAACAGTATCCACCACCACTATAACAGAGGAAAAGAAAACAGAAGAAGAGAGTAGAATATATCGTTCATCAAAGAGATTGCTGAAAAATGACAGTGAAACTCCACCAACTGAATTAGAAAAGTCTCATTTTGGTTTAATGGATACCTTCAGAACAAAAATTTCAGAGTACATCCCAGGTCCCGATTTAATCGATGTCACGCTGGTATACCTTCTGAAGGAAGAAATTAACAAAAAATATATTAAAGATTTTTTGCACATACTTGCGAATTGGAATGATCACTACTCTAGTGCACTTTTGAGTTTTGACAATGCAAAATCAGAGGATGACAATCTAAAATTGCTTGATTTATTGAGTGGATATGGTAGCAATGATGAAACAAAGGATAGAAATGTTCCATTGTTAGGTGAAATTGATATAGATCTTTCGGGTTTGAATTATGTGGAGTTTAAAACTTGCCTCATCGAACATTTATTGACTAAAATTACTACTACAAAATGGGATGATAAATTATACAGCAAGTTTTCTGAATGGATTATTCAGTTTGAAGGGTATTTGTATAGAACAGTCGGGATTCAACTGGCTGTTGGAATACTTGAAGTTTTAATAGATGCATCGATCAATTTAGAATTGCACATCAAGGATCTGGTGCAAGGCAAATTTAACAAGGCCCATGTTAATGGTTTATGTCAAGACTTACTTCGGTTGAATGACAAGATCAAGCGCTGGGTTAGTTACATTGAAGATCTTCCCTCGGAGGATAAAGATATTGAGTCGAGGTTCAAATGGTGTCAAATAATAAAAGAAAAGTCTGAAACAGAATCGTGGAACGAAAATGTCTCGTTGAAGTTTAAATTGGAGAAATTGGCTTGCACAGTAACGGGAAAAATTGTTTTTCCAAATTACAACAACTTTATCGAGTTAAGTGAAGCTAGTATTGGTAATCAGTTGACAATGATTTCGGTCCTTTCCATATTTTGGAAGATTTTCAACAGTACTACAAAGGATGATGATAATGATGCTATAGGTCTTCTTGAAAGTATATTAATGGATCAAGATCAAGAGGAAAACTTGGCCATACAATCGATCAAGAAATTTTTAAAACAAAGTTCTATTGATATGAGATTGAACTTATGGAATATTCTTTTACTGTTTTACCTCCTGGGTAATCTCAACGAAAAAATTGCAATTGGTTTTCAAGAATGTGTATCGTTTCTCAATAGGTACTTGGAGAATGACTACAATGAGTTAGATGAAGAGACAAGGCTTTTGACGTTGCTGAGGATTTTGGGATTTTATGGAATTAGTATGTCGATGGTCATCAAACAGATTAAATCAAACAATTGGAAGTTGTCCAAACCAATAAACGTAAAGGACTTGAAACTATTCTTGGAATTGGGGTTGCTTCATGAAACCAACGAGGAGGCTAGTTTGATCACGTCTTTGGCCAACTCTGTGAAACCTAGATCTTTAAAGTCATATTGTCATTTGACAAATATGTTACTAAAATCAATTGTAATGGTGCTTGCGTGCATTGAGAAACAAAATCTGGAAATTTTACATAGCGCAATTCAACTATTCCACACCCATTTGGGAATGATTGGTATATGTGATGACGAGGATGGAGCTTTCCTAGAAATTTCCCAAGAGTATTTGAAACATTTGCCTGACTCAGAGAAGGACATAAGTCAAATCATCAAGTGTAAATACCATTACTCAATAAGCATGGATGGATTTACCCCAATAGACCACGATACTGAACGACTTGAAGAACTAAATCGAAAAGATTGTCAAGAATTGGCGCATTTTGTTTTCCCGCTATGTTTTCTGAAAGGAACTACCATTAACAATGTACCTAAGCACGATATTAAATTGTTGGTTGACGAGATGTATGAGGTGGTGGGTGAACCGTCTTTTGAAACTAACGAAGTACTTTCGAGAAATATGACTTCGTTCCGGTATTTCCTTGACAATACGAGAATCACAAAGAACTTTTTGAAAGAGTCATTTTATGGATTAGTGGATCTTGATTTGGAAAGGAATGAACAAGACGTGGTTGCAGAGAGTTTGTACTACATCGAAGGTTTGTTAATATTCTCCGCTAGTAAAGCAAGAAAAAAGAATCTGCAAGGCAGAGGTGTGGAATTAGAAAAGGCAATTTCTTTATTTGAATATGATATAATCCATGGAAGCAATAGGTTTGAAAGTTGGTTTCTTCTTGGACAAGCTTATGGGTTCCTTGTTGAGGATGATTTGATTTGGACTTCTGATAAGTTGACTGCACCAGAAAGAAAGTTAATCACAGCCAATTTGCAAAGGAAATCATTGATTTGCTATCTCATGGCCATCAACAGATCCACTGATGAATCTGTAAGAGATTTAGTAAAACCAGTAATTCGAGAGTTGATGTCTTCTTTTGGCAAAGAAATGTACAGTGCTATCCAAAAACCTATGAATATGCATGCTTTGAAAGTTCAATCGCATCCAAGGTTTGTCCAGCGTAACAATGGTGCTTTATTTGAAAGTGTGTCAACCGTACCGACTGCACCCAAAGATGTTTGCATGAAGTTAATCCAACAATCATTGCATCTCGCGCTAAAGCCCAAATCACGTGATTGGTCAGACTATTACTACTTGGCTAAAGTGCAACGGAAGTTGCAAAAGCCTGCTGTGTTGGTTATGGATACTATGGCCCAGGCCTGTCATCATGCTTACACATATAAATATGCGGATAATTTTGTTGAGCCACATTATAGTTTAGTGTCATTGGCATACAAGTATGTCAAAAACGACATGTTGACAGCGACGGCGGCCACAGAATACTTAAAAAATGATCCAGTAGTCAAACTTGATGCCGGTGACGAAAAGGATTTTAGACAGTTAGTTATTAAAGCTCTTGAAAAAGTGATTTCATATGACAGGAAGAATTGGCAGCATAAGGCCAAGTACAGGTTGGCTCGTATTATGAAAGATGAGTTAGATTCGGTGAAGCAGGCCACAGAGATCATGTCACATTTTATTTCCATTAAAGCAACTAACAAAGCACTTGTTCTGATATGGAAACCGGAATCAGAAAGACCAGGGAAACATTTCGTGTACACTTATGAGTATATTTACTTTTTTGTGGAGTTACTCAAGGAAGCTGATGATCTTGAAAACTTACTTCTCATGCTTCCAAAATTGCGTCGTTCAAATTCGGTTATGATTAATTTGTCCAGTGCTTGGGAGTTGCTTTGTTCCTCCATATGTCGAGTCATTAGGGAAGCATTTGGTATGCCTGATTCTTTTGGATTTACGGAAAATTTAATCAATACATTGTCCTATCTGGTCTTCAGTGCTAACGTTAAGTCAATGTCGGACACAATGAAACAAAAGGGTCTACCAGAAGATTTGAAACCCCATTTTTGTTTCTTGTATGCTGTAAATGATATGAAGAAGGCAAACAATGGGTATGGGCCAACTTCGTTTATCGATGACACTCTTGTTACACTTTATTTTTTGATTTATCTTTACTATTGTAAAGATATGTCGACTCCCACTATAGTTGATTCACCAAGTGCCAAGAAGAAAATTGCCAAAAGAGATATTTTCCCATTGACAAATGATGTATTAAAGCTATTCAAGTCTGAGTTGGATACACTTGTGAAACTGGAGATATTTAATGAATATGTTGCAAATGGGAAAAAGAAGGTTGAAACCGAAAGGAAATTAAAACTAGAGAAACAGGAACAAGCAGAGCAAAAAGAACCAGAAACATCGGTGAGCAATGCACCAGAGATCATTGTGATCGATGATGACTGTTCTTCACAGGAACAAGATCAGAGAGCCAAGAGAGAATTGGAAACAAGTGGAGAAAAAGTTGAGACAAAGAAAGTAAAAACTGATGCAATAATTTATGAAGTAATTGATTAAACTACTTCACCTTTTGTTACTATTAAATTTCTGAGCGACAAATCGTATACAATCTTATTTAGTCTTTGAGAATTATATTTCAAACTATCATACCTTTTTCTTAGAGCGTCATTTTTCAAATCCAATAACTGGAATCCGTTTTGAAGTTTGGATACAATTTGCAGATTTATTATACTGATGGTATAGTTTGGAGATTTTGAACCTGTAGATCCAACGGATTCGTTGATCACTGTAGTTGTAGTGTATTCAACTATAGTATCAACTAATCGAAGTAAAGCCAACAAGTAGGATTGGTAATCAAATTTTTCTAAACCTAAAATCTCTGAAACTTCGTCTGGGTTCATGATGGCACCGACATCTTGGGAAGTAGTTATCATTGGGATCTCGATAGGATCTTTAATGAAACCATTTGCGATGGCAAGAAAATATCTATTACTCACCAAGACATAGATGGAATCTTCAATGAATTTGTTTAAAATTCTTTCTTTTTGGCTTGGTTTGCAATCCAAGTCAAGTAATAATGTTTTAAATTTATCATAATTATCGAAAATGATCTTTCCTGAAGCACCCTTTTCAATTATACTACTGCTTAGTCTGTTTGGACTACAGTTGATCCATTCATTAATGGTTGATTTATATGGAATGAGAGCTAAATCAAATTGATGTTCAATTTCCTGCAAGGATGACTTTCGATTCAAGCTAGTTCATGTTAGTAAGGTTTTGTTCTCCACTATGTTGTAATCATAAAACATACTCTTGTTCGATTTCATCTTTGATATGAGCAAAGAATTGGTCTAAAGACATAATGATTTTCAAATCAGGTGATGGGGCGATGTCTATGCTCTTATCAAATTGTACAGGAAGACTAAAAAAAAAAAGTTACAGAGAAAAAAAAAAAAAAAGAAAAAAATTTTTCTGTTTTTTCATATGGTTTTCAAGTTATGTCTCTTAATACGCTGCAATTGAAGGGGTAGTCGCGGAATATTTATATGCCCCCCCAAATCTAAAATAATATTCGATACACTTTTTTCTTTTTACTGTATCCAGATTTATAAATAGTTATATACATATTCACGATGTCAAAGAAAATCTTGTGTTTGCCGGGCTATTTGCAAAATGGTTCCACTTTTGCAGCTAAATCTTCCGGTATTCGTAAAATTTTAACCAAAAAATTAAATTTCGAATTAGATTACGTGGACCCATGTCATAAAATTGAATCCTGGCGTGAATTTTCTTTCCCAATTGCTCCAACACCTGAAGAATCAGACAAGACTTGGGAATCTATTGTTGCTAGTGGTAATAATGTTCGTTGGTTTGAACATAAGGAACCAGGTGTCAATATTGGATTAGAAGAAAGTGTTGAATACTTGATCAATCATATCAAACAAAACGGTCCTTATGATGGTATTATTGGTTTTTCTCAAGGGGCTGCAATGGCTGAATTTTTAACCAATTGCATAAGAAAGTTATTGCCTTCCCATCCTGATTTCAAGGTTAGTTTGTTTATCTCGGGTTTTTTCTTAACTGAACCAGTTAATGGTGATAATTCTTTGGCACATAGAGAAGAACTTCACGATCTTACTGATTTGGAAGAATACAAGAAACAAGTCAAAATTTCTCCTGATGTTGAAAAATATTGTATTCCTCCAGAAGATTTAACAACTAAAGTCTGTATTGTCTATGGTGATGGAGATAACATTGTCTCTCCGATTAGAGCTAAATACATGGCTAGTTTCTATAACTCACCACATGTATTCCCACATGAAGGTGCCCACTATGTTCCAAACAAAAAGGGTTTCCTTGAACCTATTGTCAAAGTTTTTGATGAGGCAATGAATGAAAAACCATTGTTGTAGAATATATATATAGAATAGATTCGTATATAATAATAGACATTATCTGTGTCCCTCCAATTCGTGTATGTGCGCGCAAGTAAACCAAGAACCAAAAAAAAAAAAAAATAAAAATGAAAAAGTAAAGCGAAAGAAAAAAACTGTCATCACTGAGAGGTAGATTCCTGTACCCATAATACAGTCAACAATTATAGAGCAAATGTCAACTGATAGTTATACACCTTCAAAAGAACCAGATTCAAAGCGTTTCAAGCCAAACGAACCGCAATTTTCAAGAAGACATGATAGTTCCGCACGTTCAACACCTTCATCATCTTTTGTAAATCATGAAAAGAAAACCCCATCTTGGTTGAGAAGTAATCAAAGTGAGATAAATGGCAAGTACGATAAATATGGTGAACGTCCACTGTCTCACTCCAGTGCAAGTTCTACTGATGATAGAGTAAATAGATTGAAGCGAGCACGTGAACTGCAAAGACCACCCGATAGATACCGCCACCAAGAGTCTGGAGATCAGAATGAAGAAGAGGAGACGGATGAAGGTATTTCGCCGTACATCAATTTACAAGTAGCTAATCCTTCAGCATATAATAATGAAGGAGAGCCTAGGTACCAAACTTTCCAGAGCAGAATTTCCAATAGAGAGTACAGAGATACCAATAGTATTGTTAGAGCCCATTATAATCAAAGAACTCAACAAGCCAAGCAGCAAGGGTCAAGAGTAAACTCGCCGATTTACAAGTTAAGGAATTTTAACAATGCCATCAAGTACATACTATTGGGAAATTGGGTAAAGAACCATCCTGAAGAGTCTGATTTGTTTTCACTTTTGGATTTGTGTTGTGGTAAAGGTGGTGATTTAAACAAATGTGAGTTTGTGGGGATTGATCAATACATTGGGATTGATATTGCAGACCTTTCAGTTAGAGAGGCATATGAAAGATATTCTAAACAAAAGGCCAGATTCAAACAAGCGAGTCGAAATTCCAATCGATACAACTTTGAAGCATGCTTTGCAACTGGGGATTGTTTCACACAATTTGTGCCTGATGTTCTAGAACCAAATTTTCCTGGTATTATCAATCGTGCATTTCCGGTGGATGCTGTTTCTGCTCAATTTTCATTGCACTACTCGTTTGAAAGTGAAGAAAAGGTGCGTACATTGTTAACGAATGTGACTAGATCTTTGTGTCCTGGAGGTACATTTATTGGTACGATTCCATCGTCTGATTTTATAAAGTCCCAGATTGTGGAGAAGAAATATACTCGTGACGATAAAGGAAAGTTGAAATTTGGTAATAGTTTGTATTCTGTGACATTTGAAAAGGATCCGCCAGAAGATGGGGTTTTCAGCCCTGCTTTCGGTAACAAATATAATTATTGGTTAAAAGATGCGGTTGATAATGTCCCTGAATATGTTGTTCCCTTTGAGACATTGCGAGCCTTGTGTGAAGAGTATGATCTTGTGTTGAAATATAAAAAGAATTTTATCGACATTTTCAATCTGGAAATCCCAAAGTATTTCAATAAATTGAACAAGAACTTGATTGAAGGGATGAAACGAAGTGATGGAAAGTACGGAGCTGAAGGGGATGAAAAGGAAGCTGTGGGGTTCTATATAGGATTTGTATTTGAAAAAGTCTAAAACACTTTAAATATATAAATGGAAAATGGAAATCAGAAAAGCCTCTTCTCCTATATTCTGAGACAAGAAATGATAGTTGGTTATGTAACTATATATATCCTGGTTCATAATCTTGCAAAAAAACAAACAAGAGTGGTTAAAATCTTATCCGATAGTAGATATAATAAACTCAATGATAATTATTTTATTTCATTTCAATTTACATTACTTTTTGGTTAAATAATTGACGTAAAAAAAAACATCCCTCCTACATTCATGCATACCTTGTTTCAAAATTTTTTTTTTTTAGTTTTCGTCTAATTTTGCATCTAATGCTTACAAAGAGATACTTTAAGGAAGAATACTGGTCAAAATAAGAATATTTTTAAACAGATGGAAACTTATCAACTAATAAAAGGGATTCTCATTGACATGAAGGTTTTATAGAAATGGAAATATGCCTAAGAACAATTTATGACACATTTTAGCTTTAATCTAAAAAAGTAAAAAAAAACCAACAATGTAAGCTAAAAGTTAAAAAGCCATCAGTTGTAGGATTTCTTAATTTTAAATCCTTTTTTTTGGGGATAATCATCCTAGTACATTTTAATCACAAAATTAATGAAAGGATGTTTCAAATCAAAATGTTCTTGGTTGTTGCTCCTTGTTTTGTTCCTGGTGATGATTCCTTTTTTTTTTTTTTTTGTTTTGTTTTATTTTTATGGCCAGGGGTAATGGTAAAACAAAAAAAGGGATCAGTGTAAATAGCATTAGACTTTATTCAACATCCCGCCTCGTCACCGTAATGTCCTGTGCCCCTTGAAAATCTCTTTATAGTTGAATAACTGCAGATGATTCTAGACAGATGTTACGTCACGGGAACAATAAATTAAACTTTTTAATAACTGTTGTATATATTTGATTTATTTATTTTCAATAGTGAAACTAAAACTAGGGGATCGTAACCTGCAATTTAAGAAACTCAAACCAAAAATGAAAAAGAAAATATAATACGTCAGCCTATTAAACCTTGCACTGGTGGTCCTACAGCCACGTCTTCTTCTATAAGAAAAAGGGCTGATCCAGATAAATTTCACATGAAAGCACAATGCATACGCCTTGATACTAGAAGATTATTATTATTAGTATTATTTTTTTTTTTGATCGTTAGAAATTAGTTGATGTGGAATTACCACAATGAGACTACTTTTGAAATAATAATTTATTATATTTGCATTTAATCATTCCATGCATTTCCTAAATTATTTATCCTCTAGAACCCACCTTGGAAACTGTCGAAACAATAGAGACTATTTGGCCGTTTAAAGTTGCCTGCTGATCGCCTAGTGTTGAATACATTTCATCTGTTAAACACCACCCCCATTCAAGTTGAAGCGATATATATGTGTAACCTAACTACTGTAAGGTGATCACCATTACAACACGCAGTTGTCAAGTTACTAGTGAATTATGATTCTGCAGCTAGTCTATTCTATTTAGATGAATCAAAACTAGTGGTTGCTTCCTCTCCCCCACTAGATTATCTGGGCTTCTAAATAATACGTTGTATTTAGTTCTACGCCGAGCCCCCTCGAATTAGCGATAAGAAGGTAAAGGGTGTGGTGAACGCAACGGAGTAGTCAGTTGAAGGAACGGGTATCCATTTAAAGAGAGAGTCATATTTTCCCATCCGCATTACCCAAGGAAATAAGTTTGCGATGCCAAGTTCACCTGATCTACGACCATTTCAAAGTGCAGTCCGTCGTTTCAGAATTCAGGTCCCCCATTCCGATGGGAATATTAACATTAACATTCACATTAACATTATTATTATTTTTGCTTTTTAATTTTTGATGTTTTACCTGTAGTGAAGAAAACGGGATAGATATAATTCTTTAACTGTACTGTTTATTACTCAGTATGCCCTATGCACATTAGTCATTGAAATGGTTAATGAATTCATTGTCCAAAATAGCGATCGCACTTGAACTAAATTATAGCACCGGAGTTAGTGAGACATTAACACCGTTTTGTGGTAATACAGAAGAAGTGAGCACTTTCAAAAACTAATAAGTATTGAATATCTTTCACTCCTTAACGACAACCTCTTGACTAAATCAGGCGCCCCATGTGCACATTAATAAAGCAACGCAACAATAGATGTGAGAGAGGATCTTCACGTTTTATTTTTTGTTGCCTTCCTTTTCTCCAAACAACAATTGGATCATGTATCCTTTGAAGAAAGTCTCTTTTTTTTTATTTGTTGGTTTTCAACGTGCATGAGCTATATACAGGACACCAATTTAGTATTCCAAGTGCATGCATTATCGTGATACGCCACTGTAGTTGTTATTATTTATTAGTACAAAAAAAAATAAATTGCCCGCTCCACTGCATTGCTAATTTCAACATACGAGCTTTTTATTTTAGTTTTCTTCAGTTTAAGTTTTTAATCAGTTTGTAAATGATTCATTTTATCTAAGACTCAAACGGAGCGAGAAAAAAAAAAAAAGAATGCGATTGCAAGCGTAACTAGCACAAAACAATACCCAATTTAGAAAATTTAAATGGTTGCGGAAATGTCGCTGTGTTGTCCACTGCAGATCAATTCGGTAGTTTAATAACGCACAAGCTCTAGGGCTAGATTAGCGGCGTGTTTTGTGGTATATTAGGTCATGGTGTTTTCATTTCTTTTCTCAGTTCATACATGTATTTCATGATGAAATTCATATAGAGCCATCTACGGGTATTGTATATTTTTATTGTTCAAGATATTTCCACCGTACTGGAAGAAGAAGAAGAAAAAAAGAAAAATGGATTAATCCCTCACACAATAGAAAGATGGTGTTGTAGTTGTAGTTGTTGTTGTTTTTAGTATGTGTAATTTTAAGGTTTCATTGGTTGGTAAGATAGTGATATCAGGGATCAGAACCAAAAAAGGGCTATTTATATAATCTAGCAAAAAATAAAATAGATAGCAGGGTTAGAGATTGATTAGTATCCAAATCGGATTTTGTTCTACAGCGGAGGAGGAGGAGAAGGAGAAAGAGGAAGTGGAGGAAATCTTGTAAATTTTTAATTTTACTTTGTCACCACTTGTTGTTATTGCACAATTCAATAATGGAGCCTAAAATTTACATGCATCTCGGCGTAAATATGACTCAAAGGCTATACCCCCCGAAAAGAAAGAACAATAGTGGAATATCCAATGGTATAAAAGAGATTAAATTAGTTTCAACAAGCACAATGGATGGTTTGAATGTACAAAATCATGAAAAGAATAGCCTAGTTAATACAAGAAAATATCTCAAAATATAAATAGAATCATGAAGATAACTCGCACGTAGAAAACTGAATGACAATTGGGGGCATTTATTTATTCTCCTCTTGTTAAGCGTATAATCAACACCGCAGGAAAAAAAAACTTGCATCATGTAATGCCTAATTTTAAGGCGGCAACTAAAAAGTTTTTTTTTTCTTTTAAACAAAAATTAAAATTAGAAAGAAGGAAGGAAAGAAAACTTTGGAATTGTCCAATTCCATTCATAACCAGCGAGAATAATGCTTACATCATAATTATCAATAAGCGGAGAAATTAGTCTCCTGTATAATCTCTCTCTCTTTTTTATTATTATTTTTCAACTATTCATTGGAATATGAAAGGCACATAACAATAAAATATTAAAAAGGAAAACTGGTTTTCTGGATTACCGGGGAAAACAATTTCTTGGATTATAGATGACAAGAATTTAGAAATCTGGTTTTCTTTTTCTTATTTTTGCGCCCTTTACTTGATATTGCTAATCGTGCCATCTAATCAAACACGTAATAAATGGTGAATTGTAGCAAAATTGCCTATTCCGGGTTTATCTGCGATATGTGTAACCATGATCTGTATCTATAGTATCCACTTAAATGCCAATACGGGGACGTGATCTAGTAAATTGTAATTCATTATTGCAAACGATGACGACAAGCACAGCACTTCGTAAACAGAATAAAGTTAGTTAATGTGCTGTTGGGGTTGTTATTTCAGCTTTTTATTTTTCCTGTTTTTTGCTGTAAGTTGCTCAAAAAGAATTATTGACCGAAAAGGAAAAATTTCCAGCAGAGTCATATTCATAACCATAAATTATTGACGGTAATGATGTTTTATGGTCAAAGTGATGATCTGCTACATCAAATATCAAGCAACGAAAAAAATAATAATTATAGAATGCTCATGTACATAGATCCGTTACAGGTGTATCTCGTTAACGATTTCCTTGTGAAAAATCAAAAAAAAAAAAAATAATTGTTGTTGGTTCTTTTTTTTTATCTTGATTAATGTGATAATCATGTAGATATCGGTGATACCACAGATAGAATTATTCGAAAGAAGAAATTAAATCTGCACTTACTTAATTTAGTTCAACTAAACTAATATCTATTCCGCGGTCCTTACGCATATGTTCTTGAACTTTTTCTTTTGTTAAGAAAACAAAAAGAATAAGTTGCGCCTATTATGTAATTGGTAGTTCAATTCTGCATTAAACTGAAATTGCAATTGATATCATTAAAAGTTAAACATCAATTAAAAACAAAACAAACGAGAACTTTAAATGCAATACTACGATAAATAAACAACAGTCAATCCCTAATCGCTAAAAAAAAAACCTAATAAAAAGGGGGAGACAAGATGAAGATCCTCTTGCCATCACCGTCAATTTTCGTCATCATCATCAAACTCATCACGTTGTACAAACCATGCATGAAGAGTAAGTTTAATGGCTAACATGTAGTACACAAAATAGATCTGGGATTACAAAATTATGCAAATGAAGAAAAAAAAAAAAATGGATATTGGAAGGAATTTTTTATTTTATTTTCGTTATTTAACTGTTTTTATTTTTCCGTCATTAATATGGAAAAATGGAATCAGAAACACAAGGTGGAATAAAGGCGGACCAAAAAGTAAGAACGACAAATAAGAAATCTGAGTGAAATCCATATTCCAGATTTAAATTCGTAACCATAACTAAGGTATTGCGTTGAAAAAGGTTTTCATCTATATATTGAATTGTAATGATGAATCTATTTAAATAGTATAATCGTTCTTTACGTAGGTACTATCTATAAAACTTAGTAAATTAAGTGGAAATTGTTGTTGGATACAAATCAATTAATCAAGATCTTTCTCTAATTGAATATCTATCACAAATCGAATATCTAACGATCCCATATATTTCATGAAAAAAAAGAAAACTATACATGATACAGAAACGACAAACTCCAACTAATGCCTCTAGGTTAATTCTTTATCCTTTGATTTTTCTGTTTTTCGGTTATTTTTTACTAGAACGAAACCCACGGAACTGTGGATATTCTTCCCATTAGCTTACATCAGCAATCAATACTAGAGTACACAAATACGTTACAAAAATTTTATGTAAAAGATTTTGTGACAAGGACTCTTTTACTCTCATTGGCTCTCAGCAACCAAAATTTCAGATTTTGTTTCATTTCTTTTTTCCTTTATTTCACACCCAGCTATATGCAGGAAACGCATGTACATTTATTAATGCATTATGCATTGTGTAATAATGGGTGATTTTTTTTTTTCTTTTTGGGTGAACAAGTTTTTGACTAAATGTAAAATTTAAAATGCTTTATTACAAAAACAGAATGGAAATAATTTAATAAACAAAGTAACAAAAGTTATTGTATTCTGCAGAATAAACTATACTATGGTTGTGAGTCTTGTAACCTGTTATTCGTACTAAAATAAAGAAAAGATGCTGAATAGTAATACAAAAATAAAAATAATATTAAAAAAAAAAAAACCAAAAAAAAATAAAGAAAATTCTCAAGAATGGGTTATATACATGTCTCTATAAATATATCAAAACTCGCCTTAGTCTTCTATTTCACTTTTTCTTTTACCTTTTGAAAACTTGTAATTTTCAATAACGAGTTTATCAATTCACCATCACTGGTTAGCGAAGAAAGTACACTTCTATTCCTTGTTCTGTACTCCCCCATTTGACTTTTTTCTTTTTTTTTATTTTTTTTCCGTACACAAGAAACTATTCACATTTATTTTTATTATTTGTTTGTCTTTTAGGTTATATATAACCATTATTTTTGGATTCTATTTTATTTTAAGTGGTATTATTTAATTTTGTCACCAACTTAAACCAAGTCCCCCCAGATCAATCACCCTTGTCTTAATTCCTTGTTGCTTTTATTTTTTGATCCAGTTACTCAATATATAACTGCTAATATCAATCTAAGAGGAATCAATTATTCTTTTTTTTTATTGTTGGGACTAGAAGTTTAGAATTTAAATACTTTATCCCTCCAACAATTAATCTCCTATAATCTGCAATAGATATCAATTTGATACTTGTGGTCGCTTCGTATTTCGGAACGTCAAATCGAAGCATTATTTGAAACAAAGTTTGTTTTGAGTTTAATATTCCTTAAAGCTTAATAAATAAACCTTGGAACAAAAGTCAAATTCTGGAAGAAGAAATTCTATACTTTATTATTATTGATTTCTAATTCTTCACCTGAGTTTCATATTTCAACACCGTTTGGTTAATTGTTATTATTATCAATACAATATTTTATTTACCTTGGAAGGTATTACAACAAGAGGAAAAATAATAATAATCCGTATACATGAATATGGTAAGTGATAATAAACCTGATCAAGACGATCAAGGATCCTTTAAAGACTATAAAAATGTATCCATAAATCAAATAATAAGAAAATCTCAAGATAGTAAGCTCACCTTACCTCCGTTGGGCGTGAAATCGGATTCTCAACAACAACAACTGCAACAGCAATCTCAATTAAGTCCTCCTCAGCCTCAGCAACAGGCTGATTATACTTACTCAACCTTTCAAGCTCAATCATATGATCCATACCGTCAAATGACTCTTCCACAGCAGCAATCCCAACAACAGCAACAACAACAACAACAACCGACATACGCGTCTCCATCACAGTATCCAATACCTCAACAATCTTTTTCCATTGCAGCTGTCTCGCAATTTCAACCTCAGGCTTATACCACTCATTCTGAGTATGATCAACAACAAATACAAATGCAAATGCAGCAGTCATTGCAAACCCAACAACAACAACAACAACAACAACAGCAGGCACCTCTTCAACAATCGCATGTTGCTATGCCACAAACACAAGTTCCACAACACTCAATATTGGCCGACAATAAACGTGGTAGAAGATTTAGAAGACGTTACAATCAAATTGTGAGAAAATATCCTTGCTCTTTTCCTGGTTGTATTAAGAGTTATGGATCTTTAAACCACTTGAATACTCATATTGTTACCAAAAAGCACGGACACAGAAAATCTAAAGCTGATTTCCAACATTCCCTGCAATCAAAGGAAGATGGTTCCAACAAAGCTGGTGATGCTTCTCAATACGTTCAACCTGGTAACGACTACACTGTTGGTAATTATTGGTATGGTTACTCAACACATTTACGACCTACCACATCACAAGCAGATAGTTTTACGCAGCAAGTACCAGCCCTGCAGAATAACAACTACATGTACTTTCAGGGCTATCAACAAGGATCTTCCACTTCCAACTCAACAAGTACTGTTACGTCGCAACAATCCCAACAACAACAACATCATCAACCACAAGCTCAACAGATTCAACAACAATATGTAGCTCAACTCCAAGCAGCTACTGGATCTAGTTCTGCTGCATCCTCAATCCCTCAGCAAAGAGTGGTGATGGGAAGTATGGGATATTATCAACCACAACAACAACAGCAACAACAAATTCCACAATATTTTGCTCCTCCACAATTACAACAACAACTGCCGCAACAGTCGCAACTTATAAACAACGATGGTACACAAAGAGTTTCTGGTTTAGACGATAATAAACAAAACCAACCTGGCATGTAAAACAATCAATAATTTACCCTTGGCTTTTAATCTGATAAAAAGAAAATTAGTACAAAAAAATTTCAAGAGATTGATTCTCTACTGTAATAATAAATTATTTAAAATATATACCAAATATATTCATTTCATTCTTTAACTTCATTTTATTACATACTGTAGATTTACAAAGTTTGTCAAACAAAAAGATGGGTTTTCCTGCATAATGTTTCGACCTCTTTTTTTTTGTTGATCTATTTGTACAATGATTTTTTTTTTTTTCGATTCTTTTAAATTCGTGTCGTCTTTTTTTTTTCCTTGTAATTGTTGTCATCAGATCTACCTATAGAGATTATAATAACAGATAATGGAAGACAGCTCTGATAAACAGCCTATTGTGGTCGATGATAAGGAAAAGGTCGTTGAAGATGAATCTCATATGAGTAGTCCTGATACTACTATAGACAACAACAACAAAGATGAATCACCTGAACCTCAAGATACGATTGATTCACAAATACAAGAGAACGAACGACCAAAGCCAAAGAAAAGACTTACATTACAGGAAAGATTGGCTCAAGCAGCAAAGGGTAAAAAGAAACAAGGATCAGAGACATCAGTTTCTCCGGTTTTGTCCCGAACAACCAGTATTGAAGAGGTCAAACCTAGTGCTATCATGCAACAGGAGCTTGATCGATTGAAGCTAGAAAATGCTACTCTAACAGAGAAGTTAAAAAACAGATCCAATTTTGATAAGGAGAAGAACGATTTGTTAGCTAAAATAGCTACCAAAGATGAAACCATTCAACAACTTCTTAAAGAAGGTGAAGCCTTATCATTGAGAGAACTCAAACTCAATGAAACAATCAAGAAACTCAAGTCAGCAAATCAAGATTTGGAATCAAATCTTCAGGATTATAGCATTAAAAGTGAGGAATCAACGTTGAAATTAGAGGAGTTTAATGATTTTTTAAAGAGTCATAAATTCAAAACCACCGAACAGCTTATGCGCAAGTATCAAGAGTTGAATAACGAATTATCAAAAGCAAAATCTGAATTGGGAGATGCTGGAGATTGGGAAAAGAGATATAATGAATTATTAAAGAACTATGAAGAAGAGACCGATACAAGAAAGAATGCATTAAAAGAAGCCAATGATCTCAAAATCGAGTTGAACATGCTTAAAAGACAGCACAATTTAGAGTTAGAAGGAAGAAATGCTTCAATTAAGGATTTGAAAATGGAGATGTCCAATTCTAAGCAAAGGTACACACAAGAAATATCGCGTCTTGAAGAGAAGATTGAAAATTTAAGATTAGAGAATGAATCCAATGAAGCCATGTCTGATTCAACTAGAGATGAAGGAAAAATTGATTTCAATGAATTCAACAAATTATCTGAAACACATCATAACCTTCAAAAACAGTATCTATCTGCTCAAGAAAACTGGAAAACCATTGAGTCAAGCTTGCTACTTAAGATTGATAATTTGTCGTCTTCTACTGACTCATTGAAAAAATCGAAAAACAAATTATCACAAGATTTGGCAAGATTAAATAATTCATTACAAGTACAATCTGTAGAGCTAAAGAATGCTCTCGCTGAAATCGATTCATTGAAGGAAGAGAAAAACCAACTTCAACTTGCGGTTGACTTGAAAGATAACGACAACGTTGAGTTGAATGAGAAGTTGGAAAAAATTCAGTCTGTATACAACCAAGAAAGAGCAAACTTGAATGCCAAAATTCAAAACTTGACTGAAAAATTAAAGGAAGAAAAGAAACCAGAAAGATTGAATCTTAATCGAGACTATTCTGTTAGTTCCGGGTTGAGTTGGGATAACGATATAAGACTTGGAGAATCATCCACTACCCCGGCTATCAATAGAGATTTCTCCACTTTCCTTGATAGAAACATCTCCCAAAATTCATTTACTGAGATTGGTGATGATAGTTATGATCGTGAACAGTATTCTTTCCATAGTCAAATAGGCGGTGGGAGTATCGGCGGTGCAAATATCCCAACTTCGTCACATAGCAATAACATCCAACTAGTCAATAAAATGAGTTCGAACATTCGAAGGCTAGAAATTGAGTTGAATACATTAAAAGAAGAATACAACAAAGTTTCCGAAGCTAAAGAGGAAGTGGAACAGGAATTATTAGAAAGTATCAAATTAAACGATGAAGTAAAAGGATTACAAGAAGAGATCAAACATTTGCAACAAGTTATCAACAGTAATGAAAACAAAGAACAAACAATGTTAGAACTTATTGGAGAAAAATCTGAACAGGTTGAAGAATTAAAAGCAGATATAGTTGACTTGAAAGAATTATTGAAACTTCAAGTGCAACAATTGGTAGAGCAAAGTCGTGTATAGTGTTATTTTCTTTTTTTTTTTTTGCTCTCTCTCTTCATAGAAATATCTAATGTGCATCTGAATCTCATCGTGAAAAAAAAAAAAAATCATATAAAAAAATTATCCATAAACGTTAGTAATAACAATCACTCTCCATACCCATTCTTCTGTCATCATGAAATACTTAGTGAATGGAACTAAAATTGCCACCCTAATAATTAGAAATGGTAAAGATGAACTTAGAGTTTATAATATAGACAAAAATGGTGGTACAGAAGTTGTGGCATCAATTATTTTAGATGGAATAATAGATTTCATTTGGGCATCACAAACCAGTAGAAAGAAGAGAACTTCTAATGGAAGTAATAAAGAAAGTAAAGATAGTGATATCTTAGTGGTTTTATTAAAGAATAATGATTTTGTTATTATTTCCCAAGAGTCTGAAATTAATAGATTTAACATTGGTGAAGAAATAAAAAAACTTGTGCATTTTGATGAATACTTATGGGCAACAAGTACTAATGATAAAATATTGAAAATATCACTCACTGGACAAGTAAAAGAACAAGTTCATGCACCTAGTTTTACCACCATAGATATCAATAAGAAAACAGTAGCATTGGGAAGCAGTGATTTAAAGATTGGGAAAATTTCTAGGGGGAAATTTGTAAGTCAAAGTGAAATTACCCTTGATGAAAAGGTGACTAAAATCATACAAGGAGAGCACATGGTTGCGTTGACCAATGATAAGAATGCATATTTGATTCAAGATCCAATCCAGAAAATTGCTGGCGATATCAACCATATTCAATTTTTAAACTACCAAGGCAAGGACTACATACTAGCAATCAACAATTCCATATACTTTTACAATGGCGGAAAGCTTGAAAACACCATTGCAAGTGATAGATCATTGATGGGTGTTGTATGTGTGGAAAATTCACTTGTGGCATTTTGGGAAGGAACTAATGAACTTTTGTTCAAACTAATTAACTGGAACGATCAAGAAATTTCAATTCCTAATGGTTCTGCACAATTGAATGGGAGTGGCTCCAGAGCTCATATTGAAGTTCCTCATCATACTAAAGTTAAAGAAATAGATAGTGAAAGTTTATTAAAGTCATTAAACAAACAAAAGGACAGTGCTTCAATTATTGAACTTTGTTCCGCTGTTAATGATGCTGCTGTTGTCAAAGATGTTACCAAACAGATCGGATTGGAATTATTCCCAACTATCAATGAAGGTGTCATCAAGGATGCAACAAACGCCAATCTTGCCTTATGGCTTAAATGGATCTTGTTGTTTTACGGGGGTCATATTTCTACACAACAGGATACCGGATCTGTTAAAAATTTGAAGTCGCAACTTGAAAACGGGTCTAAACTCATTCCCCATTTAGTTTCCATCAAGGGAAAATTACAGCTTTTAAAATTACAAAATGAAATGAGAAAGAAAAGTCCAGTGGGAGAAGTGACCACGACAATTGAGGATGACAGTCTAATTTACGTAAACGGGGAAGCTGAATGATTGGTTGTACACTTGTATACTTGTCTATAATTTAGAGTATCTTTCAAAAAAATCTACACTAATTCTAGCGACAATTTCTGGCTGTTCTCTTTGTAAGAAATGACCAGCATTTGGGAGAATCTTAACTTCTGCCTTTGGATACTTTGCCAACTTGATTTTCTCTGCCTCGGCAATTCTCTTGGACATACAACCATCTTCTGCACCAACCATGATCAAAGTAGGAACTTTATTGAAATCAACCAACCATCTTGACTTGAAAAGTGAGTATGGGCGGAAAAGATGTCTATAGTAAGAAGTGACAGCATCAACAACACCATCTTTACTGAATGCTTCTCTAATTTCATCAATCTCGGCTTGTGTGAAATTATATGTTGGGGACCAGTATTTCCAAAGGTAACTGAGATATTCGTTGTTTTCTGTCAACTTAGGTCTGTAGACACTAGCGAGTTGCATGGTCAAAAAGTATGATGATAAGTAGATCTGCTCCGGAGCATACCACAACAAATCCCAGATATGAAAATTAGCAAGATATGGGATTGCCAACGTAACCATCGAAGTGATCAACTCAGGAAACATGTTTGCAGTTTTAAAACTAACAAGTGCACCCCAATCATGTCCAAGCAAATGAACAGGTTTTTTACTCTCGGGGTTAACTTCCAAAATCCAAGCTCTAACGTCTTCAGCGATGCGTGGCAACATGTATTCCTCTTCAGGACCAATACTTGATATTTCATATCCACGTAATTTAGGTGCCAAGAATAAGACCTTCTCACCAGTGAATGAATCTTCTAAAAATGGCCATGCTTTGTCAAAAGTACTATTGACATCAGGGAAACCATGGAGAAGAAACACAACACGATCCCATTTTCCGTCTCTGACATCTGATTCTGGAAGATTACTCTTGGTAGAAAATGATCTTCTACCATTGTGAAGTTGGAGTTCGTACTTTGACATTTAAGAAACAACTGGTGAACATAAAAACACAACAACAACAAAAAAAAAGAAGGGATAACAGGAGGGACGGGGTCAAGTAGCATTTATATTCAATTGCAAAACATTTTGCATGTGAGTATATCAAAATAAAAACTAAAAAGGGGAAAAAATTGTTGGAAAATTTCCTTATCTGCATGTGAGTGTGGGGGGAGGGTTAAAGTACAAACCGAAAATAAAAGAGAGATTAACCAATTGAATAGTTGGATGGATAATAGAGATCTTTCACGTGATTGGGAATTATTACAACAGTTTACAAAGGAAACTACAGAGAAGGTGTTGCGATAAAAAAGCTTAGTAAAACAAACCATCAAAATGCAGTTTAAAATATATCATTCTCATATGGACAATTAATACTACTATGGCCATCACGTTCACATAACCCACACCAATCATTTTTTCCATCACTAGGATCACTTGGGTTTAGTGCTTTATAAATAGGCAATTCTTTTGGCACATCATCAGTAACATTTTGATTGAGACGAAGAGGAGGGGTTAAGCTTTGTGAGTCAGAGCCTCCATTAAGTTTACCATTTAAGACTTTCTTGCTATTCTCTTCATGAAGTTTGATGTTTTCTTCTTTGAGTCTCGAGTTCTCTAATTGAAGATCCTTGATGACAGCCTCTTTTTCATCCAACTTTTGTTGATAAATTGTTTCCAATTCATCCAAAGAAGTTTGCAACTCTTCAAGATCCTTTAATTGTGGACGGACAGCTAATTCATGTTTCAATCTATCTAGCTCCTTTTGGTGATCTCCAATTTCAACACCATTGACCTTGTCACTTAAAAAGCCTTCAATGTTTTGTTCAAGGTCCTTGATTTTATGATCAGCTGCTTGAAGCGATTCATGAGATTTTTTGATTTGTTCCTGTTGTAACATATTCTCTTGTTCTAGCTCTTGGATTCTATCCTCAAACGTTTGAATACCTTCTTGTTGAACTGCAACCAATTCATCCATAGCTGCTCTCCATTCTTCTCTCTGGCTGGCAAAATTATCCAATCTCTTCTCCTTTTCTCGTAATGATCGTTGCAATTCCGCTATTTCAGCTTCGTATTTTAGTGACATGTCTTCAGATTTAGCAACGTTTTCATTAATCATGCTTACCCTTGCATTCTGGTAGGATCTATTGTTAATCGGTGTCAATGGCAGCCTAGTAGAAAATCTATTGTTTGGTAAGCCTGGATTTACAGACTTTAATCTATCAAATGGAAGAAACAATCCACTTTTGGGAATCTCAACCTGGAAATAACTGATTCCATCAACAGACCCTGAATTTTTTCCTCTTGTTGTTGCCAAGGTGCCTAGAAGCTCAACCCCAGCAAAAGTACCATTTTTGCCCTGGATTGGACCAATATATCTAATTATACCAGCACCAGATGCTCCTGGAATAGCCACCTTGGTACCTATAATGTCACTCATGTCAAATGATATCTTGATGTGGTGGTAATTGGCTCAAAATAAAAGTGGTTTGTTTCAAGACCAAACACAAGAAAAAAAAAATACTGTAACAGAAAAATCAAAACAAAGAAAACAATCACAAACGATCAAGGGTCGTGTGTGCTGGCCGCGCGCCGTTTTGTAATGGTAAAATATTGTACTATAGTCTCTCCGCTACACATAAACTTATAAACACTCTAATACATAATTGTTTTAGTTTGTTTTAACTTCCTTCTTAACTTCAATTTAGAAGAATTTGATGATACAGTAATTTCTTTCTTTGGTTCAATTTCCAATTTATCCAACTGGGAAACTAAATTGTCAACTGCCTCAGTGCGATCCAAGATCTGTTCATTAATCTGGAAAACAATTCTTTCAATATTGTCAATAGTATGGGAATTCATGGAGTTTTTGGCCTTCAATGGCATTAGCATCGTTAACAATTTTTGCTCGTCACTTTTGATTTGAGCCAACTTTTTGCGTAATTGTGTTCTCATGCAATCGTCCTTCACATCTAATGGACGACTCTTGAGCACCGGTGTGTTTTCTACCTTGTTCTCGGCAATCAAAGCCAATTGACTGTAGAGCTTGTCAATCTTGGTCTTTTCAGTGTAACTCTGTTGAATGTTGGAGCCTAACTTGTTCAACTGGGATAATTGCAACTCCAACTCGTGCGTTCTTTCAACAAGCGGTACTCTTGTTTGTGCCAACTCAAGGCTATCAACCGGCACAAAGTTGTCTTGCTGTCCATCGATGTACGAGTTTAATAAATTTCCATTCTCAGCAGCAATTTGTAAATTACCTTCAGTGTTTGCAATAATCTTGATAGTCTCTTTAACAATTTCGTTTGAAGATGAATTGACAATTGGTTTTGTAAACCCGGCAAATGTCAAAAACTCAGCTGGCTTTGATTCAAGTTTTACTTCTTTGACCTTCTGGGTAACATCTTTTATCTCTTCGATTTCCTTTTTGGTAGATTGTGCTTGATCACTTAAGGATTCAAGCTCACTTTCATGAATAGTCACATCTTCAAATCGATTCAAATCTTCAATGGAATCTGATTGTTCTAACGATACATCTTCTGACTCCACATCCGACTCAAAGGCATTCTCGTCCGTTTCCACTTCTTCCTCATCTTCCACTTCTGACTTCACAAGCTCCTTGAATGGGGAATCATCAAGGGATGATTTGGCTCTCTCTGAAAATGGACTACCAGCAAGTACATTTGTAGCAGAAAACTCAACGGAGGTGTTTTCCTTCTTTGTTTCACGTGATGCTTCTTTTTCTGTTTTACGTTCTGTTGGTTCTTCCTTCATTCCAAACCCTCTGAACGGTGATTCTTCCTTCTTGGTAATTTCCTTTAATGGTGGCACTGTCGACTTGTTCAATTTTCCAAATGGCAAGTCAACAGCTTTACCAAATGGTGATTCTGTAGCTTTTCCAAATGGCGATTCTGTAGCTTTACCAAATGGTGATGCTTCTTTCTTTTGTGTATCACCAAATGGCGATTCTGTAGTTTTACCAAATGGTGATTCTGTAGTTTTACCAAATGGTGATTCTGTAGCTTTACCAAATGGCGATTCTGTAGTTTTACCAAATGGTGATTCTGTAGCTTTACCAAATGGTGATTCTGTAGCTTTACCAAATGGTGATTCTGTAGCTTTACCAAATGGTGATGCTTCTTTCTTTTGTGTATCACCAAATGGTGATTCTGCTTTTTCATTAGGGCCAAAGATTGAGTTCTTAGAGTTTGCAAACTTGGCAAATCCAGAAGACGCGGACATTGTCAGTTTCCCAAATCCACTTTGACCAAACCCAGATGGTGCAGCTGAGGACGTTTGTCCAAAACCTGAGCTTCCAAAACCTGAGCTTCCAAAACTAGTGCTACCAAAACCCGTATTTCCAAAAGCAGATGTTCCTCTTTGTTTCAGGCTATCACTTGATCCAAAACCAGTTGATCCAAAACCTGAGCTTCCAAATGCAGAAGTCTTTCCGAACAGAGTAGGTCCTTGTGAGGTTTGCGAGTCTGATTTAGCTATACTAGTATTGGCAGTTTTAGGAGTGCTGAATCCACCGAACGCACTTGCCGCTGTTGACCCAAATGGATTGTCAACTTTCTTCGGTTCTTCTTGTTTCACTTCAGCGGCCAAACTTTCACCAAGTGGTTGTTCCATTTCCTTTGGTATTGAATATTCCACTGCTTTTTGTAATGATAATGTGTCATTTAAAATACCCGCCTTGTGGAAGATCCACCATGATACTAAACTACCGGTATGAAGTAAAACATAGAGTCTTGGTAATTTTCCCGTCACGTCATCAACACCAGGACATGGCTCTACCACCTTCGATGAAAACTCGTGCAATGAAAGGGCAAAACCAACAGGTGAACAGTCATCACCAGTTTCTTCGTCCAATGGGAATTGAGCACGATTAATATCTTCAGACTGGCCATAAATTTGGAGGGTTTCCGTTTCCAATATCCCAATGTCTGTGGCCAATGAGGACGTGATCAATGAAAGATTTTCATTTTCATGCCAGTGTGATAAAGTAGCATGATAATTGGTCATGGATCTGGCAGTAGAACTAAATGCCGGTGCTATATCAATATCTATGGCGGTATACTTATCATCATGTTCTTCTAACAAATATGTTGTCACTTCATGGTCATCTAGTTCGGCATCAACTCTGTCATATGCAACAAATAAATACTTTTCACTGACAGCAAACATATCTGCAATGTAAAATCCAGACATACCCTCCAAGTCAATTTTTTTGTTCTTGATTTCTAACGGCCTATCCTTTATGGCATAAACATACAGTGATTTTGTCCAACAAAATGCAGACACATTAGTGGCCACTTTCTTAGAATCCAAATACAATTCATAAGATGAATCTAACGCCAATATTCCTGAAGATGAAGGAGCAATGTCAATATATCCAGATTGGAGTGTTTGAAAAGAATAGTCTTTGTTACGAAGTTGATCAACTGACAATTTCTTGATGTTGACGTCATCTAACACATATAAGTCATTCCCAACAAAGTGCAATTGAGTTATATTAAAGTCATCACCAATGGTAGTGCTATTTTCTAGATTATTAGGAAGTAAAACTTTCAATGACTTACCATTGGATGCCACAATCAAATCGTCATGAACGGCAAGCAACTTTAATGATTTACCACCAAGGCTCTCTAAATCCAATGGATCAAAAACAGAAACACCGTGTTCTTGTGTGTTCAATTTAAACCCCAAATCTTCCGATATAGTTTCTTCAACAGACATTGATGATGTAGACAAGGTGTAGCAGACTTATTTTTCTTCTTGTTTGATAAAGACGATGTTTTTACTTCAGATGATCAAACCGAGAGTTTGTAAACTGAAAGAAAAAAAAAATCTTGCAAATATCTGGTAGTGAGTACACGACCTTGTGTGATAGCATTTAAAATAGTCTTATGATAATAGAGACAAAATAGTACCTAATGAATATGGTCATAGTATAATGTGATGTTTGAAAATAGTTTATTTTCTTTTATTTTTGATTTTCTAAATTTTTTTTTTTTTTGGTGAGTCTTTGATGAATTTTTGTTGTAAAACTTGACTTTTAGGTTCGTTTAAATATATGATATTTCTAATTCACAAAGATTTACAATATGAAGTATAGAAACCAATCAAGTGACTTCATTCATTACAATTTCATGGACCAAACAAATCAATAGTTATTGAATATTAATGCCATATATAATAAACGTTCTTAAATCACCCCCATTTTTATTTTCTTGTGATTTGACAATTATAATACCTACTGGTATTGGGGGATTTGTGTTTTGTCCGGGGGGATGGCAGGTCAAATCTTGTAAATTGTGAACAAAGCAAAAAATTTTTGTACACAGATACAAATTTCCGTTAACTAATGGTTAGTAATTCCACTTAGTTTTTCCAGGAATCCTGCCTCATGAAGGATAGCATGCATGAATTGAGTTTTTCCGAAGGGGAATATTATGCCGAGCGGCTTAACTAAGTGGGGGAGGGCTTACCCCATTGGGGGCGAGAAACAGAAAAATAAGAGAGAAGGTCAGCCAACAAATAAAAAAGAAAAAGAAAATAAAAGTATGAACGGCATATTTACAAAAACGCAGACAAAATTTCCGAATAAATTTCCGACTAAAAATCATGGAATAATTTTTACTTGACTATATTTCTCTACTTGCTTTTTTTTTGTTTCTCCTATTATAAATACATCAATTTACTCCTAGTCATCTTTTTCAAGACAAGAAAAAGCACAACCTGAGTTTTTTTTTTTATATCTTTCAGTATACTTAGGAGTTTACTTTTATTTTGTCAAGTTATAGAATTTAATATCCGTTCAATCTTTGAACAATAGAATACAAGAGACGAAAGGAAAAAAAAAGAAAAATCTAACAGAAAGATAGAAAAAAAAAAACATACAAAAATTCAGTTCATATCCAATCGAAGGAGAAAAAAAAAATCCAAGAAAGCATTTTAAGTACTCCTCAACTGTTATTAGTACCCACAATTATCTGGACAAAGTTTTTAATCAAACCAACCCTTTGCCATGTTTGGATCACCATTCACTAATGGCTCTGCCCAGAAGAACTCGGCACCAACGTATTTTAAAGATAATGCGAGAAATGCCATCTACAAGCAATTACCAGTTATAACGTCAAATTCAGCTCAATCTATACGTTCAGCGCCGCTGCAGTTTCTCCAGAACCGACGTCAACTGCTGCTGCATAGGTCCATGTCATCATCGTCGTCCATATTTTCGTCTATTACTGGTGGTAAACGTTCAGTTCGGTCGGCTCCGTCCATTTACTCCACATCAACAGCCACTATTCCAGAGGACCTGGAACCGGTATCCACCACTGTTGAACAATTGGTCAATGATATAGTATTACATGAAAATCACTTCAAGACCGTTTCCATGCAGAATAATATGAACAATCCAAATATTCTCAACGGCAGCGTTGACGTAGAAGAGATGTACAAAATATCGCTTGGATCCGACTTGCAATATCAGAATGTACCTGAATCATTAATAGATTGGAACTTAAATGTTACTAGATGCAAATTAATATTGACTCAATTACCACAACTAACATCAACCGATACCCCATATAACCAGAACGCATTACCACAATTGATTGGTGATTTAGCAACTGTTTGCCACATTATTCTCATTCAACCTCATATTTCGGACAAGGAGCTTATATATACATTGTTTTCTTCAAATCTATATCAAGAACACAACTTGGATGCAAGTTTCAAGAAATCAGTTGCCGAAATCTCAGTTAAACAAAGTCGGCTTTTACAAATAAATAGTGATGCAGGTTCATCATCTTCAATCAGCCCCGACCATTCATTCTTAAAGTTCAAGTTCAAGGAGATTGCAATTCGAAACTATCTAATCAACCTTGCTGCTGCTGCAACAACAGCTCATGAGTATAAAATGAAAGTGGAAGAGTACAAATCTTCCTTAAAAGCCGAACAGTCTGGTAAAAAAGTCAAGATATCCAAAGAGGACAAGAAAATACTCTGGGAACAAGTTCGTCTGGATGTTTTCAAACGTGCTGGTTTATAAGGGGGATACAAGTAAAGTTTTTTTTTTTTTTTAAAAAAAGAGAGAGTAAATAAGTCAAATACAGATGTGTATATATATATATGTATGTATAAGTTGTACAATCTAGTACTTTTTTCTAGCATTCTTGACCTTTTTATAGTGTCCTTTTCTACCACTAGTCTTTGTTTCTTGAATTTCGTGATACTTTCTTTTAAAATATTTTTTAGTATTATCGTCATTAAGTAACTCTTCCACCATTGTTTTACCTCTTTCTTTCTTCTTTAATCTTGCAGAATAGAATTCAGTATTACCTTCAATAATTGTTCCCATTTGAAAATACTTTGGGATTTCCCACTTATCTTTCTTATAGTGTCTTTTTGGATCCAAAGCACTTCTTTGTTTAATAATTTGTAAATCTCTCTTGATTTCGGGTGTCATTTCCGGCTGCTTCATGTTGAACCATCTTGCATCCGTGGTTTCCGTTTGCTTTTTTGGTACAACTATAGGATCGTATATCTTTATGGATTCTTTCTTTGACTTCAGCACCAAATTTTCTTTTATTTTAGGCAAGTTTCTAATGGATTTTTCAATGGATCTATAATCTTCAATTGGAATGGATGTCTGGGTTTCTTTTTCAAGTTCAGCAAACAAGTCATCTAGAGTCGTGCTATCTTCTTGACTGTGGTATCTCTCACTAAAAGACTCAGTTTCTGAGCTTTCAGGTATGGTATGTATATCGTTTGGCATAGGTTAATATTAAAGCGATGAGGCAATGACCAAAAAGAAAAAGGGGAGAAGACTTAGTACAATTTTTTTTTTTCGGTGATATATATTTTTTCTTTTACTTTGTGAAAAAATACTGTACAAATATACTATAAAATACAAAAATTGGAAATGATACTGTGATATATATATATATATATATATAATGTAATTTTTTTTTTATTCCTACTTCTTCTTCTCTAAATACCGTCAGAGAATCCACTGACAAGTGATTTGCTGAATCCACCTTCTTTGACAGCCAATTCATAGTAACCGTAAATGGTAGTGACAGCCAACAAAATAGAAGTACCAGAACCCAAAGTACCCATCAAATCACAAACAACAGATAAAGCACCAATGGTGGCACCACCAAAGGCAGCAGCAACTGGGATGATTTTCTTCAATTCCTTGTAGGCAGAAGTGTCTCTGTGACCAGCAATAACCAAACCTTGTTCCTTGAATTGTTTGGCAACGTCTCTTGGAGAAGTACCACTGATTTCAATCCAGGTGGTGGAGAAAACAGCACAGGAGCCCAAGACAAAGGCAATGTAAATGGTGGTCTTGATTGGGTCCAACAAAGCTTCAGTAAAGCTGAATGGTGGTTGAATGTAGTAAGCTAAACCACCGTTGGCGTACAATTGGGAAGAACCTGGTCTGGCGTCCCAAGTACCCAATAATTTGATAAACAAGTTGTTTGGCCATCTCATGAATAATAATTGAGAAATAATGAAAATGTTGGAGGACAAGGCGCTTTGCAACATAATTGGAATGTTTGAAGTGTAGAACAATCTAATTGGGTACATACCATATGGTCCTCGTTGTCTGGTGGATTTCATTGGCAATTCAATTCTGAAACCTTGCAAGTAGACAACAGTGAAGAAAACAACCAAGGTGGCCAACAATTGGAACATGTTTGGCAAGTTTGGTCTGTAGAAAGCTTCAATCAAAGCTCTCTTTTTGTCCTTTCTAGAACCCAACAAGTGGAACATAGCAACAACAGCACCATCAAATTCAGTTCCTTTAGCGGAAGAAGAAGTGGTTGGTGCAAAAGCTTTCCAGAAGACTTGTTCACAAGTGTTGGTGGCAGTGAATAAGGAAACACCACTACCTAAACCATAACCCTTTTGTAACAATTCATCTAACAAAATAACAATGGTACTGGCAAAGACCAATTGCAAGATCAACAACAAACAAACACCAAAACCCAAGTCACTTGGTCTACCGTACATACCAGTCAAGACATAGACGGTGGCTTGACCAACAGCCAACAACATGGCCAACAATTTTTGAGCAGTTTGGAAAGTTTCTCTATCATTCTTGTTTTGCATATCAACATGGATAATCTTGGTACCTTGTAACAATTGGAACAACATACCGGAGGAAATAATTGGAGAAATACCCAATTCCATTAAGGTACCTCTATTGGAAGCCAACATCATTCTCAACCAGAATAATGGATCACTGGAATCACTAGAAACAATACCATATAATGGGATTTCGGACATAACCAAGAAAATCAACAAAGTAATGATCGTCCACATCACACGTTGTTGGAACTGAACTTTACGTTCTGGAGCAATGACTTCTGGTAAGAAGGGACTGAAAGGTTTCACTAAATCTAATACACGGAATCCACTCATAGTAGTTAAACTCTAGTTGGTGATTGATTTAACAAGAAGAAAAAGAATATATGGAGGTTGGAAGAAATAAATAGTGAGCAAAGAAAAAAAAAAAAAGAACAAAAAAACTGGTGTTTTACAATTAACAGGACAACTAAGTGAAAAATTATTTCACAACCGAACACGTCAATAGTGCGAAAGAGACAACGAGTTAAAAAGAGAAAAAAAAAAAAAAAATATTGAAAAAAAATTTAGATCTAATTTGTTGACTTCTGAAAAGGGAAGTATATGAAACAATGTGCGCGGATAAATTGCTGGGATTAGTACAGCCGTTTGTTCATAGCGAGAATAAATAAGTATTGACACTTTGAAGAGTACTTCTACTTGGGTTGGCTCTACATACGTGTGAGACTTTACTCAAATGCTGTTTGATCAAAGTTTTGGTGATTTTTGGTGGTTCTGTAGTTCTCTTCCAATCCAAGTCGAAATTCAAACATAACAAAATGATAGCAATCCCCACACTCATATCGCGACCAGAATCACATAGAATAGTACAAGGAACTGTTAATGGTAATTGCGGAAGGATGGATCTGAGAATATTGGCACCCTTTTTGTTATTGGATATTCTATGGTGCACGACCGACTTGGTTTCTGGAATATCAACAACCGAGTACTGTTCATGAAAGACAATGGTCGTGGCGTCTGGATTGAGTAGACTATACGGTATGTCACTTTCAATTTTCCCAACTGTTATACCAGTCTCTCCTAGTGAGTGTGCATCCAAGGACCCCAGGGACTGTTTGTAACCATTGATAATCTCTTCGAGTTCAGAATCTCCTATAGTGATATATCCGTCATGAGTGATTTTATCACACACATCCCAAAATACATCAGCTCTTAAGTGGCTGGGGGCCCAGAGTTCATGGTCGTCTGCTGAGCCTTGAACATAGTCAAAGGATATTGTCGAGTTGACATTGACTTGTTTGTGTACATCAACCTTTCTGCTCGCAGAGACACAACAGATATTGTAGACCGAATCATCTATGGATTGCTCCCCACATGATGGGTAATACCAGGTTGGAACCAACGGTTTCTGCAACCTTTCACACCCATCAAGCAACCCCATGCGTTTGACCTCCGCCACGAAGGAGGGAATGAGTTTGTTGATTGAGTTGTGTTCGCTTTCAGATACCATCGACAATGGAGTCTTCAACCAGTCCCCTTCTCGGTAGAGCACCGAGTTGACAACGGCACACCATATGGGGATGGTTTTCAGTAACGCATCAGGCATTAGTTTTCCTCTTCGTGTTGAATCCACAACTGTGACCCCACCTGACGATTCAATAAGTGGGAGCAAGTGCAAGTTGAGTCGACGCAAGGAAAATGTCCACACATTTGTATGCCCATCAGTTGACTTGAAATAACATGTATCTTGTCTCTCTTTCGGAGGCACATACCATGTGCCGCATCGTTCGTTCGCAACTAGTGGGTACTCAATTGCGTGATGCACAGCTTTGACAAATTGGTAGTCATGGAGAATCGACTGGAGTCGGTTTTTCAACGACAACAGTGACTTCTTCAAGTCCTTGTTGATCTCATTGATATCGTTGTTGACATTGAAAATTGGTTGTGTGAAGGTCATCAAAGAGGTGAACAGAGGTGTAAATAAGTTTTTTTTTTTTTTTTTCCTTCTTTCTCTTTGTCCTGTATTGATCTATATATCATCTACCTAATCTCTTTTTCTTCAAAGCTTGCAACCTCTTTTCTCGCTCCATTTCTTTACGATCTTCCATTTCAGCGTCCAATCTGGATTGAAACTCTTCGTCAAAAATCTCAGCTCCCGTTGCCTCCATGTCGTCCGAGTCGTAGTCATCTGCATAATACGACCGTTTCTTTCCTCTATTGAACATGGCCCAGATCTCACTTCTATGATTATCGTTATAGTCATCCTCCTCCTCCTCGTCGTCTTCAACAAACGAATCCAAATCATCGTCATCGTCGTAATCATCTCTCTCGTGCACAGACTTGGCCATTTTCTTCTGTTCTAATCTCTCTTTGATCTTGTTTGACGGTTGTCGTGTAGGTAATGGTGTTCTGACCACTAGCTTCGGAGGACGTGGTGCTGGAACTGAAGTTTGTTTCTTCACTGGTTTCACTGATGTCCCTGTTGGTTTATGCGGAGTAGGTTTGGGTGGCACTGGCGAAGCACTCTTTCGTTGTTGCTCAGCTTCTGGGGACTTGCTCTTGTTCAAAAGATTTATAGAAAGTTTCTCCGTATTGATAGCCGACGCCTTTTTCATCAACTCAGCATAATTCAATTGTTTCTTTGGTGCTGGACGTGGAGGTAGTGCTTGTGATGCTGCTGCTCTATTCTGCTGGGACGTGACTTGTTGTTTCTGGCGGGGAGCACTTCTACCTGTAGTACTTTTGTTTGCAGTTGACTTCTTCTGGACCGGCTTCAACCCCTTTCTTTCTCTTTCTGCACGTTCTTTCTCTTCTCTTTCCAATCGTCGTTTCTCTTTCAATCTGGCCACCACTGGATCTATGGGACGATTAGGTGTTGGTCTTCGATGCTCGGTTTTCGTGGCAGAAGGTTTTCCATTATTAGTAGAGGGAGTTACCGGTTTGGCCAGTTCAACTTTTCCCTTTTTCTCGATTCTCAGTAGGATAGATGATAACCCCATGTCTGATTAATTAGGTTATGGACCTCTCATGAGTTGTCACATAAAAGTGAAGTTAAACAAAGTGAACAGCGAAAGGAAAAAAAAAAAAGAAAAAAGAAAAAGTCAACTACATTGATCTGGTGCACGATTTTCTGGTCACGTGGAGGCATAAGCCGGTTTTTAAATTCCGACTACTTCGAACAACCCTGAACATTGGATGCCTTTATTTTTGTTCAACCTAAAAACAACTCTCATGTAAAGCAAGTCCAAAAAACAAAAAAAAAAAATGTGACCATAGAGTTATCTCGGGTTTTAGAGTCTGCCCAAAGACGCAAAAATCTTACTGTAAAATGTTGCCATAGATAGTGGATAAAACAAAACCAACCTGTCACAACAGCCCGTATTAACTACTAATCCGATTTTCCATTAAATCACAAGGGAGAAAATACAACTTCGGATTAATAAGATTTTTGTATTTTCCCATTTGTAACCATTACTATTGAACTACTTACTGGTTGTGAAACTTTGATTTTATATGTAAATTTTTAGTAAGAGGAAAAAGTCAAAATAAAAAAAGAGCACGAGGAAAAAAAAATCATTATGTCACTTGCAGAACAGTACCCCGGGGTTGTTTTTTTTTTTTACTTCCCCCTTCTATCCATTCTCGGGAAATACAGGAAATAGGAAAAATACACATTACGCCGTTGGACTATAAAAAGTATGGGGTACCAATGCAATTTTTTTTTATTTCAGTTGAACACTTTTTTTTTTTCTATCTTTCTTTTTCTTTTTATCATTATTGTTTATTTTATCCTTCCTTCTTAATTATATATTCCACGATGTCTGAAGCTAATGACACAATTGCCAAACAAATGAATGTCGATACTGACATTATCACATTAACACGTTTCATTTTACAAGAACAACAAAACGTTGCTCCAACCGCTACTGGTGAATTGTCATTATTGTTGAATGCCCTTCAATTTGCTTTTAAATTCATTGCGCATAACATCAGAAGAGCCGAATTGGTTAATCTTATTGGTGTTTCTGGGTCAGCTAATTCTACCGGTGACGTTCAAAAGAAATTGGATGTCATTGGTGACGAAATTTTCATCAATGCCATGAGATCTTCCAACAATGTCAAGGTCTTGGTTTCAGAAGAACAAGAAGATCTTATTATTTTCCCAGGTGGTGGTACTTATGCTGTTTGTACTGATCCAATCGATGGTTCTTCCAATATTGATGCTGGTGTCTCTGTTGGTACAATTTTCGGTGTCTACAAATTACAAGATGGTTCTTCTGGATCTATTGCTGATGTCTTGAGACCAGGTAAAGAATTGGTTGCTGCTGGTTATACCATGTATGGTGCTTCTGCACACTTGGCATTGACTACTGGACACGGTGTCAACATGTTCACTTTGGATACTCAATTGGGAGAATTCATCCTTACTCATCCAAATGTTAGAATTCCAAACACCAGAAAGATCTACTCTCTTAACGAAGGTTATGCTAAGAAGTTCAACAAACAAGTCAGAGCCTACTTGGACCACCTTAAAGATGACGGTTATTCTGCTAGATACATTGGGTCCATGGTTGCTGATATCCACCGTACTTTATTATATGGAGGTATTTTCCTTTATCCAACACTTAAATTAAGATTACTTTATGAAAGTAACCCAATGAGTTTCCTTGTTGAACAAGCTGGTGGTCTTGGTGTTACTATTGAAGGTGACAGAATCTTAGATATTGTTCCAAAATCCATTCACGAAAAGAGTTCTATTGTTATTGGCTCCAAAGGTGAAGTTGAAAAGTTTTTAGAATTTCTTAAATAGTTGATACAAGATCACACGAAAAATATATATGATTATTTATGTCCCATAAATGTTTATGAGACACACAGTGGGGGAGAACACAAAAACCCTTCTCCTTTTATCCGGTGAATGGCCACCACATTGACAGAGAGCAACAAGCAAAAAAAAAAAAAAAAAGAAAAAATAAAACGGAAAGTTTGTGATGATGAATATCATCCACCAACTATCAGATCTACTAGAAGTACTAGATCTGTAGCCATGCACAAACATCTTCACCATGTATCTCATAGTATAAAAAAATATTTATCGCAACATATTGCCTTAGATAATCTAAAGAAACTAGCATTTTTATTCTCCCTTCTTTCGTGTCTTGTGGCTGGATCTATTTTGTTATTCACATTATACACAGCGTCATTCCATGATTTACTAGGATTGTCATATCTTCAAATAAATTCTATAGCGTCGTTATCGGCCCTTGGAATGTACTTTTGCTTGCCAGTTTTGGGGTACCTTGCAGATTCATATGGCCCAGCATTATTGTCATTATTCCTGATTTGGTTCTTTTGTCCGAGTTATTTTGTCAATAGTTACTTGGTGAGTTTGAAAGTAACTTCGATCTACGGGTATTGTATCACATTTTGTTTTATTGGATTAGCAACATCATCGTTATATTTCTCCAGCTTGATTACATGTGCTAGAATCTATCCTGATCATAAAGGGTTGGCCATTTCATTACCAATCACATGTTATGGTTTGTCGGCATTAATTGGAGCCCAGCTTTTGAAATTGGACTGTTTCCACCAAGGTGGGTATTTGAATCTTAAGGTTGTGTTTCTGGTTTTTGGCTGGCTTTATTTGATTGTGGGGATACTTAGTTTTATTTCAAGTTCAATTGTCATTGTGGAACTGGAGTTGTTGTTCAACATAGCTGCTCCGGAAGATGACGTTGATTCTACTGATGAAGAATCGCCATTACTTGAACTCACCCCAACAAGATCTTTAGAACCACCAAACCATCACCAGAGATTTATAAGATTTTTGAAGGATCCATCGGCGTGGATTTTATTAGTATCGTTGATCTTGAATATTGGTCCGATGGAAAGTTACCAGAATAATCTCAGTTCCATATTGAAACATAGCAATCACGCAGATTTATCGAACCAAGTCAGTCTTATGGCGGCATCATCAACCGTGGCTAGGCTTGTATTGGGTGTGTTGTCGGATTATTTGTCTAAATACATCTGTCGTGTGTGGTTGTTGTTGTTTATTGTTGTCGTTGGTCTTATGGGCCAATTGACTGAAACATCGGCCATATTAAACGGGGCTGCTTATGGGGGTATGTTTACACTTTATCCTACCATCGTTGCATCTATTTGGGGGATTGATATCATGGGCTCAACCTGGGGTTCATTTATGGTTGCTCCAGCAACAGGATCGGTGTTGTTTTCCATGTTGTATGGTAAAAACGCCGACTCTTGTTCTACATGCTTACAGCGATACTTTTACTTGACCGCAAGTTCATTAGGCGTCAGTTGTATATTAGTACTTATAGCATGGAGATTATGGTTTAAACGTGGCTTCAAGAAGTTTTAAAAAAGTCCCAAAAATCCAAGTCTAACCCAAAGTTTACAACCTTGATTCGATCTATCCAGGTGTTGGATACCATTTCTTCCAGTTGTATAGCATCCATAGCATTCCAGAAATTCTGACATTGAAGCTCATCTAAAAGATCCATTTCAGTCTCCCCTAACGACTTGGCGGCCTGTATTTCTCTTGTTTTAATGTATTTTTTGAGAAAACCGTTGATTTCTTTCACCGGGAGAGGGTATGAAGCTTTCTGAACAAGATCTGGAACACTTGTTAATACTGCACCGGCTCGTTCTTTAACCTTCTCTGCATTGCTGTACACATTCCTTACCTGCCATGCAAACTTTTGCAGAAGCGAAAGTGTGCCCAATTCTCTGATCTTTGCATAGGTGATATTTTTCAAATAAGATGTGCACTCGTGCAAGTCCTGGGCCATAACGCCATTTTGACTGCTGGTAATACATTCAATTCTAGTTCTTAGACAAAGAGATACCATTAGCACAAAATGGACATAGATGGTGTAGAAATGGCTCAACATGGGACAATTGTTTCGAAACTCGGCCAATTCAACAAATAAAATTTCCAATGCTCGAAGGAGGTACTTGTCCTGTAGAGGGTTCTGTTTGTACAAGTAGATAGTGTAGTACATATATGCCAAGAATAGTTTGACCAGGAAAATCAACACCCTTTGGAAGGCGCTTTCATACTCAAGGTTTCTATATTCAATGGTAAGTTTCTGCAATATCTTGTCGGCTTTCTCTAGTAGACCAATAACCAACGAAATGGGTGTATCATGTTTTACTTGCAACTCAATGGATACTATTTGTTGCAAAGTGGACAACAACTCTTCGCTCTCCCAAAATGTCTGATTAATTTTCTTTTCCATTTCCGAGGTGTATGTTACGCTTGTATCGGGGAGTTGTGTATCATAAATTTCTGGATTTGTGGCCAAAGTTGTTTGGAAAGTCATTGAATCAATGATATCAAACCTGACCAAGACATGCCAGATTCTTCGCTTCAAATTCTGGGACCTGGGGTTGGTATCACGGGAATACTTTGGGTCGCGGTGAAGACCAAGCGAGTAGCAGCTGTGCACGAGAGAACCAACGGTCATTTGTGTTACCCAACTTTGGGTGTGCATTTCCGGTGACACAATGATGTAGAAGCGCAACATGATCTCTGCTTGAAGTGCTGGTAATGATGGGGACTTGTAGATATTGAACTCCTTCATTATTGTTTCTGCTGCTCGGAATGCATCAAAGGATACGGCGTAAGTAGTTGCATTTGGTACTTGCAAGTAAGTAAGTCGGAGGATCAATAAAAACAACGCCAATATGGGCAAAGATTCAGCTGACGGGACATTGGGGAAGGAATTAATGTACTGACCTTCTATCACTGGACCCAAAATAATGTCTAGTGAGCTGCGAAACTCTTGTTCGTCGACAATAGGTATCACTGGGTAGATATACTTGAAGAATGCGTCCAATAGCTTGGCATTTACCCAAGCTGGAGGAATCAACGAAAAGAAAGAGGCCAATGGATCTGAAAAGTCACCTGAAAACACAAACAACGGGTTTTTGCACACTACTTGTTTTAACTGTTCGATTGTGCAGCCCTCTTCCAAACCGGGGATATACCCTTCACCTCGAATATACTTGGCTTTCTGGGTCAATTGTTGACGCTGCTCGGAGGAAAGACTCAGAAGTAGTTGTGAAGTTTCAAAGTTCTCTTTTTTAAGACCCAAATCATTGAAGGCAACTCTCCATAACAACACCGCCCCCGGATCTCTTGCCATGAGTAGAATATACGGAAACACACGGTACCCAATCAGCAATGGCTCTCCTGTATCAAATGATCTGCTGAAGTTGATGGCATCGACTTTTGGCAGTTCCAATTTCCCTTCCAACTTGGATATTCTTTGCTTGATGGCCAAAATTTGATTAGCCGTTTGCTTATCTGACTTTTTCATGTTGATTTGCAATTCTCTTTCTTTGGATATGGTGTATACACATGGTTGGTTTAAATTTTTGCATGAAGCACATGGGCTCTCCCTGTTGCATCGTATTTTGCGTCTTCGACACCTATCACAACTGAATATAACTCTATTTCGTTTCAGCATTTCTTATACGGAGTTAGCAACAAGGTGTGGAAAAAGGAAAAAGGAAAAAGGATAAACGAGAAATATTTTTTTTTTTTTTTGTTGTTGTTGTTTCCCGTTGTTGAACAGTGGGGGGGGGGGGGGGAGGATCGATTCCGCGAAAAAAGCTCGATGATAACTTATATCCTTGAAGTGATTACTTTGATAAACTCATCTAATTCAGTTTGTAATTGGCTTGCTTCTTCAACTTTAGACTCTAATGGTGATTCGAAGGCTGGTGATAATGAGCCATGTAAGGTTTGTAACATTTTTTGTTTTTCCTTGTTGTTAGCTTCAAGCTGGGCAATTAAGAATGAAAGGTCGATGGTTGTAGGTGGCTTGGGCGATGTGTACTTTTTGATTAGTTCTTGTAGAATCACAGATGTAGTTGCAGTATTGATTGTATCGTTTTTATCGTGATTATATGGGATTCTTCCATATGTGTCATACAACGCAATTATTTGTTTATCAATTGAATCGGAATCATGTAGTGTGGGCAAGACCCGATCACAGTCCCTGGTGAATTGTTCAACACGGCTGATATCTTTCTTTAACTGGTTTGAGTAAGCATTAGTAGGAGTTTCTTGTTGAATGATATCTTGTAATCTGTTACGTAATGACATGTTTGATTGGTGGAACTGAAAAGAGAGACAAAACAAAAAAAAAAAAAAAAAAAGAAAAAAATTTTTTAGCTTTCCAATCTGTATTAATCGTTTTCAACAGCAGTAACCATGTCTACTATATCCACCAGTGCTATTCAAAACCTCGATGAGGTTTCCAGAAAGGAAATCATGCAATTTGTTGAAGCTGAACAATCCAAATCCAAGGTTCAACTGTCTATTCATAATTTCACTGATATGTGTTTCAAAAAGTGCAACAAGGATAAACCAATCACCAGTGGTAGTTTAGATGGTCAAGAAGAAGCTTGTCTTAGAAACTGTTTGAACAGATTTTTGGATACAAATATTAAAGTTGTTGAAGCATTACAAGGTCGTTGATTACACGTTTATATATGTACATAGTTCTATAATTTCAGCGTCATTGTTTACTAGTTTCTTTAATGAGGTTACATTCTGTTCGATTTGTCTCTTGATAACATCGTCTTCTCGCCGCAGGAGGAGTGTCCATGCACCGATAAAGTCGTAAGCATAGGTGGCGATGAATGGGTGGTTGAGATCAATGATTTGTTTTTGTATTTTAAGCAGCAGAATGATATCACCAGTGGTTGTATCCAACCCAACTAGTAGTTGGTTTAAGGTGAAAAATATCTTTGACGTGCTGATAAAGATATCTGTCGACACACGTGAGATGAATATAGACAATTGTTCAAGTAGGAATGGTCGAATTGGGGAGTTGATGGTGGATAGGATTGTGGAGATGGTTTGTATACATTCAATTTTGGTTTCGTTTAACTTGTTGATCCAAGAATATGCTCGTTGAAGAAGAGATAAAGATTGATCTTCAGCAGTTATAGGAGGAACATGGACAAGACAAGCGGCAATGGATTTCTTTAACTGTGGAATTAGTGATTTGTTGAGGGTAGGTAAATGGGATAAAAGGTCCAAAGCTTGTATTTTGCTTGGTATACTTTGACCAAGTACATCAATGACAAGTAGGATAACGAGGATGGTGATTTCGTCGTCATGAGCATAATCAATTAAAAACCACGCTTGGGAAAGAGGTATTAGGTTTTCTTTTTCAATTGATATCATTCTGTTCAATCCATTCTTGGTGAGCTTTTTCAGTGTAGATTTGAATTCACGGATTAGATTGGGGATGTATTGTTGGTAGTTGATGGTATCCATGATGGATTTGACGAGCTGAGTGTTTTGCTGTGAACACCACGGGAGGTATGGGTCAGCATGGTAGGATAATGCACGGATTAGTTCAAATGAAGGTGATTCATTGAGGGAAGATAAAATAGAGGTATAGTACCCTGGTTCATGTGACGTATCGAGTAGTTGATCCATTATGGGAGAGAAAATGGAAAAAAAAAAATATAAAAACTGGAATGAAAAATATAAAAACTGGAATTTTTTTTTTGCTCATT